GTGACATTGCTGTAACTGGTTTAATTGACCTAGTTCAGGTAATTCTTACGCGTTCATGTTTCAATGACATACCTACATAGGTTAATGAGCTTAGGTTGCGAGATATTACGTTAATTAAAGACACCGAGCGACACCGAACTGAGAAAGTTGATACATTCTATAGACGTTCGCATGTTGATGATGACGATGATGATGTTCAAGCAAATTTATTTAAAAAAAACCGAACAAGTGCGAGTCGTACTCGCCCACCGAGGGTTCCGTCACATGTGCGTACCTACACATGTGATGGAACCCGCGGTGGGCGAGTATATATAAATAATTTAGGAATCGAATTTCGCAGTTTTTTCCGAGCTTTACCGGAAATTCAGTTACCAAAACCTATAATTACTTATATTCTTGAGTTTTATAATAGAAATTGTATCTCGATGATTGATTACATACTTTAAATAAAGACTATATTTTAACTTAGGAGTTTGATTATTTTATAGCTTCAAGGTACCGTAGACCTAAGTATATGGTTTTAATTTCAACTCGATACCTCTAAGCATTTCCGAGATAAAGGGTATTGACAGACAGACAGTAGAACAACAAAGTGATCCTATACGGGTTCCATGTTTTTTCTTTTGAGGTACGGAACCCTAAAAATGAAAGTTTCCCCGACAAGGACTGTGGATTATTCCAACTAAATTATTGAGACAATAAAGTGGAAAGTTAACAGCACTCCCACACGAAAGGCTTAGATTAAATTAAATTAAAACATTTGCCGCATCAAGAGGACAGACCGCAGGCGACACGACCTTATCCTCGCCATTAGGCATGGTTAAAAGTTAGACCAGTTCAACACGTCACTCTAGAAACTAACTATCAAAAAATATATCTATCCGATCTAAAAGGACTGTTATACTGTTATAACCGCTGGATTCTTTACTGAAGTTATAAGGGTTTCATTCGTCGAAAAAAGAAAACAAACCTTTATAAGATTAGTTGTGAGTGTGTCTCCCTGACTTGTCAAGACTCTTTCAAGTAAGTTAATTATAGCTTCTAAGTAACGCAATCAGAAAACACGGCCCTTTAGGACACGGGCTCAGATTTCAATTAATTTGAACATATAATTTGTTAAATTGTTGTTCTGAGTCTGGGTGTTCTTTGTATCTGTTTCATAAATGTTTGTAAGCACCCCCGCAACACAGAATATATTCTTAGTACAGGCGTTGCGAAAAAAATGAAAATTGGAAATCTAGGTACATTTCAGCATCATGCATGCAGAACCATGGTCTGGCATCATAAGCACGGAAAAAATACAAAAGACGTTAATTTATAGTGATTTCACCTATTTTTTTTTTTGTAGTCACTAATTTATATTCTGCAGTTGGAAAATTTATTACTAATTAAATTGATGTATACTGATACATGTAGAGTATTTTTAGGGCTGTGAAGTTTATTTTGTCATTCGTGAAAAAGGGAAAAAAAAATACGAGGATTGATTCCCGAAATAAACGAGCTTTCTAAATTAGTTAGTATGATTAAAGAAAACTTCATGCACGAGTCAGATTCGCACTTAACCCGTTTGAATGTTGTTAACAATATTTGATGAGTTGCGTGTCATTTTTTTTTAATTAACTTCCTTTTCTTTTATTTCAATTATATGACGTCTACACGCAGATTTTAAAAAAAACATAGGCATGAAGATGACTATGCTTACTTCATTATTAAAAAAAATCTTTACGTTTGGCACGCTAAAATGTCAAGTCAAAGCGAAAACATCACGAATGGCACATTCCTTGGAGAAACACGGTTTGATTAATTACTTAATGGTAAATTTAGTAGTTAATCTGTTACAGCCATTAAAGTGACACATTTTGTTTTGGCGGAAAGTTAGTAATTTTATACATATACCTACATACTTATATTATGTGTATAATATGCTGTTACAAGTTATTTGTATTATTTCTATAAGTGATTATAACGCAGAGACATATTGAACGTAGCCTGTTAAAATCTAGCTTTGAGATGACGATCCAGCTTACTGGCATTCATCAGAATAGTAATTCAGTCAGTAAAGTGATGATTATACACCTCCCCCCCCCTTCACCATAACTACCCTTTTTTTTTTTTTCGTGCGGAAATCCCCTCGGATACCACCTGTCGGTGGCATGTCGGACACGAACCGACTAAAACCGCACGCCGTCGCCGGGTACTAATAGCCGGGGAACCAGGTATACCCTAGAAAGGAAGTCCCTGGTGCACCATAACTACCATGATTCTAGGGAACCCAAAGGGCGTCAACGTACTTATAACACTTGAGTTGCCCATGAGCGACAGTAGTCACTTACCATCAGTTGACCCTGTCTGTTCGTTTGCCGGCTTTACGTAAAAAAAGATTACGTGAAGTTGTCAAGGTTTTAAGTACTCTGTCCTCTCATTAGATAACATATATGTAAAAGTAACCAACAAGTGGCTTCATCATAAAAACCTCTTTACAAATGAATGAACTAGTGTAAGTCAGAGTACTTCAATAACTTTATCTCCCACGTTTGTGTATGAAGATGTTTCATTTTGATAACATTAAAAATTAAGAATGGAACGTAAGGAGAGAGTTAGATTTCATATTCGAGGCAGTTCCAACCTTATTCCTAATGAATTATAGTTGAGAATTGTTAGTTTACTATCTGAATAGTTTCGTCAATTATGTGGGCAGTTGTTGCACAATGATCACTGAAACGAAGTCATTGATGAGCATTTAATACAGAGAACAATTTATTGAACGAGACGGTTACGTAACATACAATTTAATGTATAATGATATTTAGTATCGTTCATGTTCGTATCAACTACTTGTAAACAATATCTCGTGGGGCTATGCCTAAGTGGTAACCGAGTTGGTTAACACATTGCAAAGTTAAGCAATCCCAGCCAGGTCAGTCTATGAATGGGTAACCATTCTTAACACATTGATACCCGTCCGTACCTCGGAGAACACGTAAGTCTTTGGTCCCGGTTGCCATACGAAATATTCGAACATCTGTGGCAATCGTGCTGGTAGCTGGAGCTTTAAAAAGTCCTTCTACAGAACTTCGGCCTAATACTTGGGTTGTGGAGGTCTGAACTGTCTTAAAATAGTTTTCTTCTCATCCGCTAGAGGGAAAAGGTTTTATTGGAATAAGAAATGTTTTTAAAAATACTGTAGATAGTCAGATTTCCTTTTTTTAAGGTTAAAAGTTGAAAGTGGTAATGGACTGTATTCATCAGGACAAGCTAGAAAAGTGCATCGCCCAATCGGTCGACTGGCAGAGAAGGCCTTAGGAATTAAGTTCGCCGACGTATATATTTGTGCATGAAGTCATAAATAAATAAATAAAAAGTGTGGAAATTCAACAGAGTGGTACCCAAGGAATGGGGGTGAGATTAAGAGCAAGAGCAAAAAAAGGATGGAAGGATGATCTGCCTAAAGCGTCGAAAAGCTTTTGGTCTTTTTAGAAACAAATGAACGCAGCTAGAGAAACTTTCTTTCTGCAGGCAACCGGCTGATTTAGATTATAATTAACTAGGATTTAATGTTAGCTGTTCTGAATCTAAAAATAGATACTTAGAATGATGACAGTAGGAAAGGTGATTTAACAACAAATAAATTACTCTACTGACTACGCAATAAAACCCATATAGCCGTTTTAACTTTAGCGTGGGTTGAATGAGGCACTAGATCTTCTTTTGTTCTAAAAGGGGTACTGTACATATCAAGATAGACATGTCAGTGGTTATTTCTTAGGAGAGATACACTACATTGTAAGCGCGCAAGACTCATCTCAGTGACACCAGCTGGGGACCACCCTGACAGGATAATGAGATACGCCAAAAAAAAACTTTACGATCAATAAATTGTGCTAGAGATCGTCGGGCTATAGATTTTCGACCGTTTTTAATGTCTTCTTTTATTTCATCGACCAGTACAAGTTGAACTGCCATGTTGTGGACTTTTTTGCACAATGTCAGGTTAATAACAATAAATTGTATAATTAGAAACTTCCATAGCAAATTTACAAAGATCTCTTTCTGCATTTCTTCTTCATATAAAATTTTAGGTATTCCAAATTTCACATTCCTGTCTGCGCGCGTTTTTTTTTTTTTTTTTAAAAAGACAACGCCCGCATTAGGAATAAATCCTGTGTCGCGGGGGACTTTACAAACATACATGAAACGGACACAAAGGACACCCAGACTCAGAACAACAATTTGTGGATCACACAAATATTACACAAAATATAATTTGCATAAAAAAATGCATAAAAATATATCGTCACGTATTAAAATATATTTATTTATATGCATATGGAGAAAAAATGTCGCTATCCCATTATAAACGATAACGTCAAGTCAATTTTAACGTTAATTAGAAAAGTAATTTAAAAACAAAAGTATTATAATCTTCAATTTACTTATGTATGTTACACAAGAAAATTATGATTTGTTAAATGGTCCTACCTATCGACTATGATGACAGGAGCCCAGTACCACATTAAAAACACTAACTTCTTAGTATTGCAAGCTAAAGATGAAACGATAGCCTTCAGTCAATTCTACCATAGATTAGTGCCCACAATGCTGACTATAACTATCCAAGGACTGTACACAAAATTATCATATAGGAGTATTAGTTCCATGATAAAGATAAAGAAATGGGTTTAATTGTTTCTAAGATACTATTGCTTCTAAAACAAGTATTACAGAAACAGCAACGAACTATAGTTGTTGATGAGAAAAAAAAACTATGGTTAACGTTTATAAATTACCGAATCAAAAGTGAACTTTTTGTCTAATTTTCAGTTTTATAAAAACGGAAAGTGAAATTAAAGCTATTGTACTCGTATATATCGACATTATAGTCATGTAAAATTCAGATCCGTTACGTTAGCTCAGCTCGACGCTAACGTACACAAAAAAATAATTTCAAACAAGCAACAGACAGCATTGAAATATACCAAACGTTACCACTACTACAATCTTTAAAATAATTCGAAACGTCTCGAAACCTCTGGCGTGGCCGATGTGAACTTCACATAACACAGATCCTCGTAGATTTCTTCGACACGATCTTCGCATGTTGCACTCGGGATCGTGAATTGGACCCATGGGACTTCATGTGAAGTAGCGGGATGAGCTGGGCTAATTTCCATGTCGCTGCTGTATGGCGGCGGCTCGAGCGTGGCACACGCGCTACTACAACCGCTAGCGTTAAACATGCGAATTTACGATTCGTAGTACGGGCTTTGTTTACGTTAATATTTAAATTAGAGTAAGTACTTACACAGACTGCAGGTCTTTGTAAATATCCTCTTCGGATTGTGTTCGGTGCGCTGAGAACGGTCTGAAATAAAATTAGTTTGTTACTTTCTCTTAAAAATATATAACTACATACATACCCTCACGTCTATATAAACAAAGGGTAGACAGAAGTGTTTTAAACACGTGTTTTAATAATTTTAGTATTTTAGTAATTTTAGTATTTTTACGCTAGTAACGTTGCTGCCTATGGGCAAGCCTATTGCATTTGACCAAGCGCTTTGGAATTTGGAAAATCCGAAGCACAATAAAAGAAAAAAATATAAAAAGGGAAAGCGGATGATAGATCAGAGATTCCCAAAGTGGTCGATGACGACACCTTGGGGTCGAAATCAATTTACCAGGGGTCGACATAAAGGGAGACGGGGGTCGACGAGGTCTAAAAATCGACCCCTATTAATTAACATAAGTACTTATTTGAATGTATCAAGATACTGTTATTAGTTGTGTTACATATACAAACTTGTTGTAGGAATGACTAATATTTTAGTAGTAAGTCTCATTGTTGTACTTTTAAAAACTCGAACAAGTTTTGGCTATGGGGTCTGAGGTATCTGTTTATTTTAGAAAAGGGGTCTCCTACTAAAAATTGTTGGGGCACCCCTGCAATAGATAAAGCAAGACAGAGTTGCATACTTGTGACTCGAACTGACAGTTGCCGGAAAGTGCGATATCTTTAACTGTTATCTAATTTAAAAAAATATTATAATTCAGATGTGAATAATACTGATCTGTCTGAGTGACGTAATCTGCACGCAATTTTCAGGATGTTTATCATACATGTAATAAACAATTCTAAAAGGCCGATACTTGTGTTAAAAGCGAACCATGGAACACTCAGGCTGTGTAAAATTGTATAGATTATAAGAATTTATTTTCTACTGAACTGGAAATGAATGTTATTGAGCTTTCAAATAACACCGATAAATCATAAAAAGAAAACAATAAAATCGTGATGCTAGAACTAAAACTTTTAGTTTCTTTAGACGTCGATTCGAAGATTTATCCAGCGTATATCATATGTTAAAAAATTGTAAAACTCATAAATGACAAAGAATGTCAATTAATTAAAAGGATGATTTTTGTATTATTAGAATTCTAATAATCTCAATTATACTTAATTATAATTATACTCAGAATTCTAGTAATCTTCATTGATTGCGAAAATATACCAAAATATATCAAAATTCGTACTGAAGACCAATTATTTGTCAACTTCGACTTGCGACTTCTATTGATGCAAAGGATAAGTCCTTTGCCTCATCTTTTCATTTTTATTCGTTCATTTTAGGGTAAAGAGGCGGCAGAAGAATACATTCTAAACAGAGCTCGAAGCTACTCAAGGGTATAATCAAACTCGCAAAAGAGAGAAAAACAAAAAATTCGTCAAACTATTAATAACGTATTTATGTTTTTACCTTTCTTTCTCATTCTATTATGCGTTTACTAGCAACTCGACCCGCCTTCACACGGGTGCAATGTAGATACTAATGTGGTGTCAGTGTCGAGTAATTAACCATATTATTTTTATGATTAGACTACAATACAGGATCTTTATACATAATACGTACGGCCCGACGAGGGCCCCTTCTCCCCGTAGTTTAAATTTCTCTTATCTTATCTTATATTCATTGCAATGAAATGCTGTAAATGATCTACACTCGGTTCCAAAAATTACGGGTCAGTCACAAAAATTGAAATACCTCTAGAACTGTAAAAGTTAGATCAATGAAATAAAAAACAGAATAAAGACTTTTTAGTTGCGCTTCTAATAGCATATTATTTAAACTGGTTGATGAAAAAAACTTAATTAGAAAAACAATATTTTAAAAAATGACCATTTTTAAAAACAAAATTTTTGTTTCATTTCATTATAGATGAAATTCTATTCTGGTGGAGGAATGGGAAGGTATTCCTCAGCACCGGCTCCGAAATTTGGTGTACAGCATGCCTAATCGCCTGGAAGCTGTCAGAAGAGCTCGTGGAGGCAATACAAAGTATTAAATGAAGAAAGTGATGAAAAACAGCAAAAAAACAATCATAAAAAAATGTAATCCTAAGAAAAATATAACTACTTTAGTTTTTTTTTTAATTTAGAGATAAGTTAAGAGTTAGAGAGTTTAGATTTAAGTTTTACTTTATTTTTTATCTGTATAATTAAATTCACAATTGAACAATCTTCGTTTCATTAGGATGGCATACGTAGTTCGGGAGATATTCGGGTTTATGTGACTGACCCGTTATTTTTGGAACCGAGTTTACAATCAATGCACAATGCACATTATATGGGATAAGGAATCATTTTGTATTGTTTAAAATGGCTTCGTAAACATTCCATCTTGTTTGTTGTAAAAGATAAAATGGTTACTGTGGGTTATCCTCATGAGAAAGACGTATACCATCGCGGACTATTTTGTAAATCTTTTTAGTTATTCAAATCCGTGGTACATTTTTTATGACATTACATTACAAGTCTGTAAAGGAGAATGCCCATTTCAGTATAAAAGAGCTTCTACATCTAACACTACCTCTGACCTAGAGCTTTATATAACACTACCCTACCTACTTAGTGGTAATACAACTTTTTAGTACCTGTGGAAAGTAAGCACGCGATAGAATAACACACAAACAAACTGACATTTGCATACTAATCAATTTTAACAATACGAAAATGGGTTTGTTTAAACGTCTGAACTGCAGCCTATTTCACTTAATCGGAGGCCTAACTCCTTCCCTACTCCCTCGGCTATTTCTTGGAATCATAAGCCAGCAAAGCACTTGCGTCTCTAGAGTTGGAGGAATTCGAGAAGATTTGTGTTACATATAAAAAGTTGCTTTTAATCATCATCATCAATAACAGCCTTTACTAGTCCACTGCTGGACATAGGTCTCTCCTTAGAAAGGAGGTTTTGGCCTACTATACCACGCTGGCCAGACGAGTTCGTATTGAGTTTGTTTCAAGTTTTCTTTCTCTTTGCAGTGCTGTTGTCCTGCGTAGTTTACTCCCTTAATCGGCTTTTACGTCACTCACGGGATGAATAGGGGTGGTGCCACTCCGTACTTAATCCGTCACCACACGGATTCATCAAACGGCTTTTAATCAAATGTGCAATTTGCCGGATCTTCGATTATCTGACTGCTTTACGACTAACATTAGTTTATCGAGAATCGATAGAATATCAGGATATGTTTTATTTTACAACCTATTTAGGGTTGAATCTTTCTGACGTGTCTGAACCTTCGATACAATTTATTGGACTTCAACGCTAGACATAAATTTAATAGTTAGACAGCAGTTTCTCCCGCGTTAAATTGTAATGGTTTCTACCGCGGTCCCATGGGTCATATGTGTTATATGTTAGCCTATAAATTGCCTTAGCCAAAAGAGCAACCTTACATTGTAATTTCCTTTTTTATCTTATACAATAAAACTGTAACTAAATTTGACTGCACAGGTGGCGTAGTGGTTTAAGCGGTCACTTCTCCGCTTCCCACTGTACTGGGTGTTGTGGGTTCAAAAAAATAGGTTTTTAATAAATTCGATAAATAATATAGATAAATAATATAAGTATACAAAGATATTTTATAACTTGACCTTTGTACGCGGCGACGCTCGCATATATATAAGTAATTTCGTAAGTCGACGGGCTTGTTGATCTAGTGGTTGGTGATCCTGACTGCTAATTCAGAGGTCGTGGGTTCGATTCCTACCCAGGACAAATAACTGTTTAACGAGCACAATGATTTTATGTATCTGGATGTAATTGATCTATATATTACATAAATGTATTTAGAAATATATAAGTATGTTTATCAGCAGTCTGGTTACCATAGTACAGGCTCTGCTTAGAAGGTCATGCGTCATGAGTAAGAAAAACACATCCCATTTAAAAAATTTAAATGAAAGATGCCTGCCCTATATCCCTCGCAAGTGTATTAAAAATTCATGATGGACGGATGAACGGTACCTCAGCACTTTACACACGAACAAAGAAACATTTATGTTTACTAGACCCCATTACATGTATAAAGCTATACTTTATAAATGTAGAAGTGTTTACATATTTTTGGACTTTTTTGCACGTGTTACTTAAAAATGTTTACTTTGTGCCCTTCTTTTACATTTAAACTGTATCTGTAGTGTCAATATATATAATAAATGAAGAATACCGATATAATAAAAACATTCGCCTGTAATAATACAACGTTGTGTTTAATTTTCATTGAAAATCGGTAAAGAACTTAAGGAGAACTTTAGATTTTATATGTGTATATATATATTATTATAAATTAGATTAGTGGTTTCTAGATTCAAGATTTATTCTGACACCAGTATGTGGAGGCAAGACATATTGCGCCTACCCAAAGTAATTGACGGCAGGAAGCCGATTTATCTTTCAAACACTGCTCGTTTTAAATTGAACCTAGTACCGCTAGATTTAAGATATCAATTTAAACATATAGTTATTAAGAGTGTATATAGAAGGAGATTTGATGGATCTGTTGATGATGGATATATACGAATAGTTTATCTATCTCCTCTCTTTAACTAAAGATTTAGCTTTGATGTGTGATTGTGATCATTATCTATGGTATAGGGGCAAACGAGGAGACTGATCACCTGATAGTAAGTAACTACGGACACCCGTGGACAGCTCCAGTGAGGTCTTCACAACGTTCCGCAGGGGATGTGCAGAGGCTGGATCGGGATGATTAGCCTCCTGCCAGCGACTTCGTTCGCTACCAATAAACAGAGGTGGACTTCTACAACTCAAGTCACAAGTGCTATGCATCCAGTTGAGTCCCCTACCCCCTCATCAGAGACAGAGAAAAATGGGTTTTAGGCTCCGGTTGAAAGAGTTTAAACTTCCAACATATTCAGAGCCGATCACGTTTTATCAATAGCGAATATTAAAACCATGTTATTTCGTAATGATTATTTGTTTATTGGATGTATTGGGACAGATTTAAAGTAAGGGTTTGGACAAATCGTTATTGGTACTTTCTGTGAGGAAATTTGCAACAGCATTAGGGATGCCTGCTCTAATACGAAGGACTGAAAATATAGAAGAGTTAAAACTTGATGCGAAGTACGACTCTCTTTACTATCCACTATGGTTACTAAGGGATTCACATCATCATATCAACAGCCTTTAATAGTCCACTGCTGGACATAGGCCTCTCCTTAGAAAGGAGGTTTTGGCCTACTATACCGCGCGGGCCAGACGGGTTAGTATAGGGTTTGTATCAAGTTTTCCTTCTTTTTGCAGTGCTGGTGTCCTGCGTTGTTTTGCGTACTTAGTCGCCTCTTACGACACCCACGGGATGAATTGGGGTAGTGACATTCTGTATTCTTAATCCGTTACGGATGACTAAGGGATTCAATTTCAATAAATACAGACAAGCTCTGTGAAATGTATCATTGTGATATATTCGAGGATAGGACTTGTTAAACATTTTTATTTATATTATTTAAATCACACGAAAAACTGAACCAGTACTTATAGACGTGCTTAATGTTCACCAAAATATTAAACACTAAATAATTAACAAAAATATTACGTAAGCTTTTAAAGTCCTACAGCTAAACTAAATTAAAAGAATACCGCTATTTGTATCTATGGTCATAAAAAGTCTTTTAAAGCGTTTCATTTTCTATAAACAATTACCGTTGCTGCATACAGTACTGTACAGTTATGACGTAATGGTTTATAGCAGCATGTCCGTATTTGTCCGTTGTAGCCGTTATGTAACACATTTTCTATAGATGCTGACAAAATGTAAATCGAACATAATCCCTGTCTCTGTATAACCTTTACAATAAAATGACATAATTTCATTTGAAAAAGTATACACCGACTTCTACATAAATCGTAATAAACTGCACTATCCGTACCTTAATTTTCAAAAATAAGAGGTGGTATTTATTTTTCATTTTGAAACGCGACTAAACGGAGAGTATACCCTCCAGATAAAACGAAAGATTTTTCCAAATCGGTTGAAGCAAAAAATGATGAAGTTGTGAGGTAACAATCATACAAACGTATGGAGAACCTATTTTTTAAGTCCGTTAAAATAAAATAAAACTCGATAATACTGTTGACTTAAGGCAATGTTCATATGTTTGTCTTCTAAGGTTCCGAAGCCATTGATCAGATTGTGTTGAAACTTTGATGGTTCTAGAGATGCCCGCGAGGGTTCCTGCCCAAAAAAGACCATTTTTTTTTTATTTTGTCTTTATACTTTATGTGGCAGTGCAAGACGTGAATAGTACACTTATAACTGTATAAACCCTAAAAGTCCGATTGAAACATTTTTTTCAAATCCTATAAAATCTCGCTAAAACTTGATGAGGATGCCTTAAGAAACTTGTTCGATGTGCTACTTACTTGATGTTCTTAGTGAGAGCTTTAGGACATTGGCTGAGTTTGGCCAGCGTGCAGAGTACACGATGGAAGTTGGACAGGTCGAAGAGCATGGATGGGTCGAACAAGTCCGTCTCTCGTAGTTCGAACACCTCGTGACATGTCCGCAGGAACACTTTGATGTTGCGCATGCACAGAAACTGGGAACAAAAAAAAGCAAACGTTATTTTTTAAATGGCTTAATTAAATATTACAAACACTAAACTAATAGCCTTTTCTTTAAGATATAACAGTCATAAGAATATAATAGAAATATGTAGGTTTTAGCAAGTTAGTGCGAGAATGGTGTTTCCAGTGATTGCCTTCAGTGGGTCCTCGCGACGTTGATACTAAGTGTCCCTACTATAGTCCAACTATTTGTCTTTACTTATGTTCCATCTGCTACACTAAGTAAGAATATTTTGATACTCTTTTCAACTAATACCGGTAGTCAGGTACGTCAGGTATTTCCGGCAATGATTTTGTCCCTTATTTCCGATTTTTTTATTTCGAAAGTCTGATATTGAAAATAGCTGGTACCTAGTCATTTTAGTAAGATACGTACAAAATCACAAGCGGTCTTGTAACAATTGTAAATCATATTTGAATAAAAAGAGATGCAATGGAAAATAACTATAAAACATATTGCGTCAAAATATTTCTCGCGGATTGAATGTTGATATGGCCGCAGAATCTTCCTTAAAATCAAATTTTCTGGCATTCCACAATTCAGGAATGGTGTTAAAGTGACCCGGTCTATGAAATAAATGAGAAAAGATGGCCATCTTTAATAATAATTACGTACGTATGTCTCACACATTCATTACTAAAATACTAGAAAAATTAAAAGGTAATTTTTATTTGAATAAGATAAAACATTGTAGTCCCGTATTTTTAATATTTTAAGAAATTGTCTAAAAATCTAAATTAAGCCTAGTAAGTAAGCTTTCTAAGACTTTGTATTAAATTCGACATCTGTGTCGCTTAATATCAGGAAAATCACATTTGGCTTTGATTATTTTGCCGGAATAGTGTTATTGGGTTTTTTAGTCGTTTGCTATGAGTATATATTGTTTAAGAGCCACTAGCCGTTAGTCCGGCGCAAATGTCTCCCCGGGCGTGTCAGATTGCCCGCCGATCGGATTATAGGAACGAGAAATAGGGGCAGCTCATACATACACACGTATAGTATGTTTCAGTACATAGTGCACTACTAAAAATTGTTTAAGTGTATATCGGTATTTAATTTAAATTTTGCATTAATTTATTTTTGAGACACTTTAGCAAAACTATGCAGATAAATTTTAAAACTACTTAAAGATACACAGAAACCAATCGCCATGCTGTCTGACCATAAAGTTTGATGGTTGATAGTCACTGATATTCTGTATATTATTAAGTATGAGTCTTTTCCCGCGGCTTCGCCCATATGTATGTCGGTTATTGTCCGTGTGGTGACGGATTAAGAATACGGAGTGTCACCCCCCCTGTTCATCCCGTAGGTGTCGTAAGATGCTCCCCATTACAAACCCGTCTGGCCAGCGTGGTATAGTAGGCCAAAACCTCCTTTTTAAGGAGAGGGGTATGTCCAGCAGTTGACTGTTAAAGGCTGTTGACGATTATGACGGTTATCGCGGTAAAAAGTAGCCAATGTTACTGGCCGATAATGAGGCTTTCCATTGGTGTACGAATTTTTAAAATCGGTAAATCGTCAAAGCGTAAGAAACAAAAAACTAACTTTCACATTAATAATATAGGTATGGATATAACTTTTAATACCTTTAAGTACATATTAAATGGGAATTATTTACTATACTTATAGTAAGACCACAATATACTATTCTGCTTATACCATATAACGACTTTACTATATTATCATATATAAAATTCTCTTCTGTCACGGTGTGCGTGGTTGAACTCCTCCGAAACGGCTCGACCGATTTTCGTGAAATTTTTCGTGCATATCGGGTAGGTTGGAATCGGCCAACATCTATTTTTCATGCCCCTAAATGATAAGGGTGACCCACCCCTGAATTTTTTGACAATCATTTTAATTTTATTATGATTTAGCATTGAAAAATACATCCAACAATAATGTATATGGCAAAACAACGTTTGCCGGGTTAGCTAGTAACTGTAAAAATATTTTCTGGTTATTATTGTATTAAGCTATTTTTAGAACAAGGAAAATTCACAGAACACAACATAGGTGATTTATGAAGTGTTACATATCCATTAATCTACTTATAAGTACCCAAATATTTAATGTAAACATAAAATATTCATTATGGATGCCAAGTTTGTGTGTATACATCATTATATCAACTTTAATTCTTTTTTATTATCACCACAGAAGGTCTGCCTGATAGTAAGCAGTTAGTGTCTATAAATATTTACACATCAAACAGGGTAGATCTGATAAAGCACAAGTGCAGAAAGCAAACAAAAAACAGCACTATACTTATGGTTTCCACAGCTCTAATCAGAGTTTAATTCTTATAAGTTTTCTTTTTAAACCTTCTAACAAGATTTTACAGTCACTTGTAATCTAGTCAACTTCTTTAGCAGATGTATTTCAGGCTTATATATAATTGTGTGCAACCTCTTTTCTATGGCTTTACTGCAATCCGAGGTAGTAATTTTGTGATAGGTGTGGTTTATTTATTTTGGTAACTTTTAAAATATCAATTCCCTATTAGGTATACAATTACGTTTACGGGAATTAATAGTGCTCATGATAGGTATCGGAATAGTATATTGAAACTACTTATCGTTTAAACCAGGTGGCACTGATCATGATCACGGGCTGTTGCATTTTTTTTGTTCTTCGGACATCTGACACACAACAGCATTAAGTATCAAACTAAGCAGTTCTCTAAAATTTAAAGTGAAATCTAGAGTGACTGATAGAATAATTATTTAATTGCTTTTTGTAAATACATACATATACATAGTCCAAAACAAACTCAAGCAGTGCAGTGCACAACAGCGCAGCAATTGCATACATTACTATTGCACCAACAAGGCAGAGCGACTCTGTCTTTGCCAATATGTGTACTTGCTTATTACTAATGTTTTTTGACATCCCATATCGGATATTAAACATCATATGTAACTATGGTAAAGCTTGCTCATTTCCTTTAAATTGGCAACACACTATACATATTCCATAAGTGTCATCAACAGGTATTTACAACATTGTAGTAACAATTGTTAGCTACAATTTCACTTAATATATTAATCTGTACTTTAAAATTGTTTGTTAGTAAACAAGTTTCATGCCAAAGGTAAGGGCTAAATGAGTGAAATTTTACATTACATCTAGAGGATTGTCCCCCAATATGTTAATATAAACAAGCTCTGCTTAGTTTGGGACTAGATGGCGTTGTGTGTATGTTGTAAATTATTATTATTATTATTAAACTGGTATGTGTTAACAGTTTAAAAAACATGAACCGGATAATGTTTGCACAAGGTCATAGCACAAACCTAAGATTTGGCTATTTACAATACATACGTAAATAGAAGGAAAATGTATCCATAAGAATATCATGACTCAAAATGATTGGTTTGAATCCAAATTTATGCAAAACAGATTTACAGATCTTGTAAGATACTGTACAAAATTGTCTATTAAAAAATCTCATTAAAATAGTTGTGATGAAAAAGGATTTTTAATCACTATAATTAAAAGGTGTTTTTTTAGAAAAATCATAAATAATACAGGTCATTTTTTAAATTTTTGTTTAATAATTGGGTCATTTTATACCTGACTGCACCAGAAAGATATTTATTTTATTCTTATTCTGTCATTAGAATTTTAGTATTAGTATTTATTTAGTATTTTAGTATTTGAAAATTATATAAAATTAAATCACTTAAAAATGCTTTTAAAGCAAAAGGGTATTTTAATGTCTTTTAAACTGTATCCTAAACTTTTCAGTAATTTTTTTTTTTACGTTTGAAATGTTTCCTTTTTTAGTGTTTCACTCATAACATTTTTTTTTAATTCTTTCTCCTCTCTCATAAGATAAAATATAAAATATGTAGTTTTCCTTTTAATTATTATTCCAGAATATACTTCAACACATTCATATCAAAATCTAGTTTGATGAATTGAAATGCTAAGTATTCCTGTTCATTCACAGCAAGTTTTTGATGCAGATAACACGGGAACATATATTCAGTGTGTCTTGAATATATATCAATAGCAAGCTTCCATTCAACACTGCATGCATAATTAAACATCAACACATTATAGCTGTACATTTAAAGTTTAAAGGTTCTATTGAAATTTGACCAACTAATACTTATTTTATTCACTATCTTATTGAATGTTTTTTTTATACGAACCTTATGTGCGGCAATCACGAGTACTTTTTAAAAATATGTTCACCTTGTATCAAATTTTAATACACAAATGAACGACCTAGGAATTAGTTACACATTACACGTGTGCCCCACTATTATGGTCAAAATAGAATAGTTTTCTAGTAATTAGAGCGAAGGCCGTGGAGGCTGGAGCCAAATTACCTGTGCCATCTGCGGTCGCTGGTTAACATCCTTCATGTCGATACAGCTGGGGTGTAGCACATTCAAGAGATTGCACAGAAGCACTCCATCACGCAAGGTGTATGCCAGATCATGAATTGAACTGTTTTCCCAATTTGCCTTATGGTCGGGACGTAGCAAGCCACATCTCGTCAGCCAAGACGCGCACTCGTGCCATAGATCTTCGCCTCCAGAAGCCATGATTTACACAAACGTTTTAGTGCACATCGATAGTATCGGTACCGAACACTGCTTTTTAATAATCAACAGGCCATCATTAAACGAGGGTTAATTGATAATTGACATACAAATTGATACAACAAACACAGAGCGAACCAAGCGAGAGCAAGAGTTTTTGACAACTGTTTTTCAATGTTGCTGTGCCGCAAGATCTAGAAAATTAAAACGAAATAGATGTGTAGCCAATAAAGAAAATTTTAAAAATAGGTAAGTAATTATCATCAACAAAATTAATTAGAAAAAATATTTAGTTTTCTAGACAAATAGTAAGCGATGAAATTTCATTTATTTAAATAATAATACTGTTCATAAAAGTAATTTGCAGTCATATAATTTTTAAAACAATAAATTTAAAAAGTGGGTTGACTAGGCTGCTGTCAAAATGTAAGCTGTCGATGTAATTGTAATATTCCCACTGGCAACATTGTGTTAGTAGGTGAAGTGACGCGAGGGCACGTCGAACGAAAGATTTTCCATGAAATTCTTATTTTAGTGTTTAATCGTGTGAATTTTGTGTTATTTTGAAGTGAAAGGTAAGACTTATAGTTTATACAATAATGTACAACGTTACAATTCAATAATTATGTTCCAATATTTTAAATCTTATCTATGACACACCCAGGTATCGTTGAATTCCTTTACTAATGTCCAACTTTCCGAAAGAAATCAGAGTTATTAGTAGGGGATAATCAAAATGGAAACCTATGTCCATGCCTATTAGTATCATCGTAGGTCCTAGTATTTCCTGCGGAAGTCTAAAATTGACTCCAGTCGTTATCCTTATTAGGTTTATTTTGGAGCATTACGTCATTGTACGTAAAGAGGGAAGTATGTGGGGTCGATATAGGTAGATCTACCGGCGGCAGTTTTTAAGTGTTGGCGATGCGTATCGAGCGGTACCGGGCGGCAGACCGATGGCATAGTATCTAGACGAGCAGTTCTTCGCCGCGTCGCCTAAGCTTTCTATATCTGTGCCTAGAATACTTGCTTATAGTGTTGTGTCCACTGCAGTACAAATTGATTTTTCATCACCGATCTGCGTTTTTCAAAGGTAAATAAGTGATTCACATACAAAAAAGTAAGTTGGACATCTGTCATAAACACATGATTTTAGTGTTGGTTTTCTTATAAGAATGTTTTAGACTTGTCAAATTAAACCTAGTACTGTCTACTAACGAATCATATATAAAATCTTAATTAATTAGTCATTTGGCTCTGCTAGTTGGCCCCACCCATGAGTTGACACATATATGACTATGAGTATATTTGCTCTGTCCTAGATCAGATTGCATTGGTATTGATTACTTGAAGGGCACTGTGTGTGCAGTGAACAGTGACAGCTATCTAGGCCACTGGACATTATAAGAACAGGTATTAGATAAATATTATCAAAGTTAAAAAGGTGTAGTGACTAAATTTTTTAAACATTTTGAAACTAATTTCATTTTGCACCTTGGCTTTTTTTTATGTATATTAAACAACAACTCTAGGTACAGTTTTTTAGTGAAATTATATAGAGATTTTATCTTTAAATCCTTAAATAGTTATAGATTATATACACTGACAAAATTACAAGAAAAACAGATTACTTAGGTACTTGTTAATTTGTGTGGGGTTCCACACCCATTTTAAAACAGTTCTAATAAGAAAATGTTTGATGCAATGCTTAGTGCAGAAGGTACTCATGCTTAGAAGAAATGAAATAATTTTAAAAATAAACTAGTAGTATTAACCATTCATGCTTCTTTTTCTAAATAGGCCTTACAAATTTAAATGTGTGTTTAATACCTTTTATATTGTGTAGTTAATTTTTGCTCAATTTTGTATGAATGTACATGAAATTTTATGTATATTAATGGTATTGTAGAAAACTGCAGTATTCTGGAGTACTTTTAAAAATACTTTAGGCTTCCTTTCCTATAATATTAGGTCTTTTCTCTTATTTTAAATTTTTCCTGTAAATATTATAATGAGAACTTGTATGTGTATGTAGAAATTAGTACAATTAGTTACTTAAGATTAAAACCTGATTGTTGCTTACTTTCTTATAGTTTAATAAACACATCTTTTATTTGACTTCTGATTGAGAATCGGCCTCCTACATCTCATTAAGAATTTTATATTTGACACAGATATCATAGTCCCTAAAGACTTTTGTTTAAACAATCTCTTCAATATCTCTGAAGCTGTAGTCCAGGGATTCCCATTGTGGTTGATATCGACCCCTTGGGGGCCAAATCGGTTCCCCAGGGGTTAACATAAACAAAACTGAAATTGGGGGTTGACAATGTCTAAAAATCATCCCCTATTAATTAACACTAGTTTTTATTGTAGTTGTGTTACATGTACCAAATTGTTATAAGACTAACAGATATGTCAATTTATTTTGTTAAATGATGAGAAAATGAAGTCAAGTTTACTCACTTAACCAACGGCAAAGTTTTTAAATTGGTAAGTATTTTATATGAATAGGAAAAAACTAGAAATAGGATTTTAAAGTAATTTGGCTACGGGGGTCTGAGTTATCAGTTCATTTTGGAAAAGGGGTCTCTTGCCGAAAATAGTTTGGGACCTGCTGTAGACCAATTTGGTTTCAACAGCCTCATTTTGAAAACTACAGCTTTGGTTCAACTTACATAATAGGGGTAAGACTAAAGACTTCTGAAGTAATATCCTTAGTACTAACTATAATTAATTTCTAGAATTTTAAAACAGGATCTCTATCATAACTAATCTTTTATCTCATATCAAAAGAGTTTACTTTAGCGTAAGTTGATAATAACATTCAGGTACTGATAAAAATGCTTGTTGAATGAAAGCAATGGCACCAAAGACACCATTAAAAAAGTTTGTAATACATTATAGATTCTTTGACTGAAATAAATAATGAAAACTTTTTTGATAAATTGCCTCGCTGCAAGTTCTTAATAAATAAGAAAAAAAGTTATCATCAACACAACACATAACACAGTGGTGAGTCACAAGGTCGTGTGATGTAACCACGCCTGGCTGCCGACGTATTGCAGATATCATGCAGTAATTCAACTTAAATTGCCTTTTTTATTCTCAACCATTTTCTGTCTGTAGTTACTAGTAAAAAGTTAAGAAGTCCTAATATTTTGGGAAGGATTTTCTAGATATTAGTAGTTTGGCTGTAATATATAAATATAAACCTCCTTTCTAAGGAGAGGCCTATGTCCAGCAGTGGACTATTAAAGGCTGTTGATGATGATGATGATGATGATATGTATATTGCACGGATGGTGTAGTGGTTAAAGCGGTCACCTCGAAAATTCCTACTGCACTAAGTGTTGTGGGACATAGGACATCACACTGTAGTCCACAAATTGTTGTTCTAAGTCTGGGTGTTCTTTGTGTCCATTTCAAGCATGTTTGTAAAATCGCCCCGCAACACAGAATTTATTCCTAGTGCGGGAGTTCTTTTAAAAAAAAGATAAAAAAAAGTTTAAATTCACTTAGTGTTGCATGCAACCATAGACTGTAGATGGTATGGAAGATTTAATGTTGTGTAAGCAGTTTTTATGATAACAATTCTATAATTAGATTTTGATGACATAGAGATATTGAGACAATAATACTCTATCATGTGCAAATGACATGTCTTGGTGATAAGAAACAAAACTATTGTTTCCAGGACACTGATAAATATATGGCTAAATATTTCAATGACAAATCAATTATAGGAGACCACTAAGCTGTTTAGATAGTACTGTAACTTTCATTAATTCCAGCATGATAATTAATCTTCTTATTCTTGATTAGCATGTGTTATTCATGTATGTTTATTGACAAATGAAATCAGTAGGACATTGCAGTGTCTATCTGTACTGCTGTTCTGATTCAGATGAAATTTAGTATTTAGTTTGATTCTTGATAAAGGTCTTAGACTACTTTTTATCGCGATAACAGAAATATACGCGGAAGCAGACAAAAGCTAGTTCATCAATAAGTAAGAGTACCAGTTTATAGTACACTTACATTATATACTGGTATCGCTGAGACCCAGTTTTGTTGGAAAGCAAAGTGAAGATAAGCAGGCCAGATATAAAAGGTGGACCCTCCAAAGGATGAAACTCGCCAGTAAGAAATGTTGGAAGGCAAAGAAAAAAATAGATTAATGACATCATAAAAACAGCAAGAAAAATCGAATGAACATTGCTTAAGATAAGAAGGAGCTGGAGAAGGGTTTCCCCCTTGGGGACCACTAATATAAGATTTCCTAACTTTAGTAATCACTGTAACTCAGTTCTATCTTCTTAGGGATTTAAAAATGCTTTTTTGCAAAATAACATTAAAGCAGGTAAAATACCTTTATATGAATGGAATTCTTATAAATGTAGTTACGTAGGTTGATAGCCTTGAACATGAACATACACAATGGTCTTCCACTTATAAGTGACCTCTTCCCAAAGTGTGATTGTATTTACTTAATTGGATTGGTCTGTCGCATGTATTATCATGTTGAAGTTACTCTTAGATTAGGTCACACAATCTATCGTTAATAGCCCTAAATATTATCATTATCCACATTATAGCGACGCGTTTACTTACTACAAATATAATTTATAAGAACGACTTTATTTTTAAAATTGTTTGAATCCTATTTACATAATCATTTAAGTTTTAATTGTGTGACGTCTTTGTTTATTATACCCATTACGGCCTACGATATGATGAGAACCTTTTTCTAAAAATATTCTAAATCACGCCATGTAACAAGGTGGCAAGCTCATAAATAAAAATACATTGTTTTTAAACTTTCACGATTATACATAGACATTCCAAACATGGAGTATTAAAAAAGGGAGTTCTACCTCGTAGTTATTATTGCCATTAGTTCCCGTTTAGCACATCTGAGGGCCAGCTCAAACTGAGAGCAGCGGAAAGGATTTTTTTAACACACTAGAAAATAAACTTTAAAACCATTGCAATAGAGTGCATACACATGGCCCGAAGCCGCACGTACATTTTTTGTCATGTTCAAACATGTATGTACTTCATAATAGCTTTAAAGTTGGAGGTTGGAGGTTTTCGAGTGTCTTGGAACAATAAACAGTATTCAACTTTTTAATGCAATTTAAGTTTTCTATTTAAAACATACATATGGGCTCAAATGCTAGATCATAAACGACCTATAACGAAACAAAAACAGCTTCAAGATAGGTTGCTTCATCTCATTTGCGACTTAACAATACGAGCTCACGTAAATAATGAGACAATATGATTCCTTATAGTACTAGGTTATTCGATCAAAAACCTGCTAAAACTTCTGACTACGAATATAAACCACTGACAAATTAATTAATATGTATTTTATCTTATGGTCATTAAACGAATAACAATTTGTTTCAAATAAATTCAAACTGGAAGTTCTGTCTGTTTTCCGCTTATGTTAGGTATGATGTCAAGCAACTTGACCTTCTAACGTAATAAATACAATGTTTGATGAGATCAGAGGGACGAATGACGCTTACGGTTATATTTATAGGGTTTACTTTCCTTTAATTTTGTCGGTAAATTACAGGACATAGGACAACTAATTCTTTCCTCCACCGCCTAATAAAAACTGTCCTCAATAACTGGGACATGTATAGAGTCTGAGTTTGATGACGTAAAAAGTATATGGGACGCTGACTGTAATTGACCCCTTTTTAGTTCGTGTTAAGATCGCGTGACTCACGTTAAATAACCGCCGGTCGTGTATGATTTTAAATTTACAAAAATAATTGAGTCATTATCAACATTTTTCTGCTCCATTCCCAATTAAGTCTAGCTATGCAACTTTCTATTCGGTTTTGGCTGGTTTCTTAAATGTCCAGCCGCTTTTCTGCTTCAAGGAAATAAACGTTTATAAACAGGACTAAGGAAGAAGGCAAATTGGGTGAAATAGAAAGCCACCCTCCCCCCCTTTCTAGAGTAACGGATACCACAATTCTGAGATGCGGACACGAAACCAATACTGCAATAACTTGAAGAAGCCGGGATTATGTACCTTTCTTTTCAACTTTTTTTCATTCATAGACAGTTTCGCTATATGATAACTCATAAAGGCATGTTTTAAAACAATAACGTGCACAAGGTAATCTAACATACCGTTGACAAGCGGAAATACCGCCGTAGCATACCATCGTGGGGGATCTAATTTAGTTTGTAAACCGGAAGTTCTCGTTTTTTGTTGCCCATTTCGTTAACTAAAAATAGATGGTTCCCCTCATCGCTCCTGTTCGTTATTAACAACTTGTATAATTTGTAGAATATCAGACCACTTCAAACATCCTATTCTGTAAGTTTTCTTAACTTACAATGGTTACTTTTGATTTAGACTCTAATTTAAAATAGCTGAAATCATGAAATAACTCCATTCCAAAACTGTGTCCTAGGGAAAAAAACTATAGTTATTTTTTTTACAGACAACTCCCGCACTAGGAATAAATCCTGTGTTGCGGAGGACTTTACAAACATACATGAAACGGACACAAAGGACACTCAGACTCAGAACAACAATTTGTGGATCACTCAAAGTGTTCCCCCATGTGGGGATCGAACCCACAACCGCTTAAACCACTACGCCATCCGTGCAGTCTGACTTTCCTCACAATTGTATTGTTGCTAAGAGTTTCGTCACGTAATAGGGTCGAAAATATTATGGGCCAGGTCTTTAAAGTGAACATTTCATGACTTTGTTAGAAGATTCTACACATTGGTGTACAGTGTAATACAGGAACTAGCAAAGCTTGTACTGACCATGATACACAATTTTAGACCTAATATAAGCCATATCATACGAGTATGTACAAATATTTATTTGAACCGCACCATTTAACAAAAAATTGTATTGTTACAGTTGAATTACAATAATGGAGCAAATACCGCCACCCAAAGAGGTGAAGATTCTCGAGACTGCTGAGGATATTCAAGAGCGTCGTGAACAGGTAAGGGTCAAAATTACAAGGCGTTGAAATCTGTAATAGATTCTGTTGTATATAAAGCTTATAATGTAACAATTTATTAAAATTGTGTTATATTTTATGTAAACAGATATCCATAGATCGTATTATTAATTAGTTTCAAGTACATTCTTAAAGTATGCAAAAGTGAGAGCTATTGTTTTTGTACAACGCGCAAGCAGGGTCACATCACACCAACAGCCTTTAACAGTTCACTGCTGGACATAGCCTCTCCTTAGAACGGAGGTTGTGGCCTACTATACCACGTTGGCCAGACGGATTGGTATAGGGTTTGTGTCAAGTTTTTCTTCTCTCTGCAGTGCTGTTATTCTACGTAGTTTTCCCTTAGTCTGCTCTTACGACACCCACGCGAGGAATAGGGGTGGTGCCACTCTGTATTCTTAATCCGTCACCACACAGACCTCTTCAAGCACGGTGCACGGTTTGAATCCTAACATCATGTTTGTCTCACACAGTAGAAACAAATAGATACTAATGATAATCTTGTATTTAAATGCCTGGATGGCAACAGTATATGTAGTACCTTGTAAGAAGAAAGCGAGGTCATACAATACACTTCAATTACACATGTCAAATTACCGTTACTTTCTATATTTCACATTTTTATGTTTGAACTATAATCGCTTGGCGTTAGGCATGACCAATCATGTTGCAACCTGATAGGTCACGGGTCGGGCTTGATCGTGCGTTACTATTTTCTTAACGCGAATGGACTATGCGAACCACTACAATGTCGATAGAACATACGTAAATAAATCGCCTGTGGCTGTAGTATTTCGATACCAATACAACTTTCAAAGAGTGTACTATCAACATAAGGACGGCATCCCACTTATGAGCGAGTACCGCCGCCCGACCCGTCTGCCCGTTTACCACCTATATATTGAAAAAAAAATGCAAAAATAGATGGTGTTGTGGGTGTTTATACATTCTCTTTTCAATGGGTAAGCACCGTTGAAGCAAAAGAATTCTCGATCTTACTCTAAACTTGGAATGCTGCAGTCTATATATTACTTAATTAAATGTTTGATAACACTTGTATTGGAAGTAGTATAGCCATGATAGGTGGTAAATAAATTACATCACGTAGGTCATTATCAACCACATTTAAGTTCAAAATTAATAATGTCATTAGGTATATCGGACCATGTAAACAAAGTTTTGTATATTTCGAATTTTTGTTTGTCGTAGTGCAAAGGTTGAAGTTCAAATTTTCAGACGTTTATATGTTTGTGTATGACTGATTCACACCTCTTTCCCCCTGCAGAATAAAACTTTTTACCTTCGCCAAAAATAACCAATCCTCGAAATACTTTATTACATGCATAAGACAGAACATTAAAAAGCGTTTTTTTTTTATTAAATAAGAAGTGAGTGAAGCTCACAGAAAAGCTCACGAAAAAAGATATTTGTTATTAATTTCATAACTCTCGTAGGTGCTGAACCGCTATGAAGACTTCAAACAGGAGGCTCGTGCCAAACGCGAGAAACTCGAGGACTCGCGGCGTTTCCAGTATTTCAAGCGCGACGCTGATGAGCTTGAGTCATGGATCCAGGAGAAACTCCAAGCTGCCAGCGACGAGAGCTACAAAGATCCCACCAATCTTCAGGTAAATTCGGCTCAGTTCTGTAATTTATATTCCAGATATCAATTAGAAGCCTCTAGAAATAAACTACATTGAGGGAAGTCTAATCATAGATTGTTTTAAGTAGACTTTTTTATACATAACTTAATCATTCAACTTTTTGTTTCCCATAGGCCAAAATCCAGAAACACCAAGCATTCGAAGCTGAAGTGGCCGCTCATTCTAACGCTATCGTAGTGCTGGACAACACCGGTTCCGAAATGATATCCGCCGGCCACTTCGCTTCCGAGACGATCCAGCGTCGATTGGCGGAGCTCCACCGTCTGTGGGAGCTGTTGCTGTCTCGCTTAGCTGAGAAGGGCATGAAGCTCCAGCAGGCGTTGGTCCTGGTGCAGTTCTTGAGACACTGCGATGAAGTCATGTTTTGGATTCACGACAAAGTATGTTTTAAATATGAACTTAATTTTTAGACTAAATTTTTTTTAAATGATAAGTAATATATAAATCTGACTTAAAAATATCAAATACAGTATATTAGCGAATTGCCAAATTAATATAGTTTATTTGAATTGCACCGATAAATAATAGGTTTTTATAATTATTCATTCGATCGCCTAACTCGAACCGAGTGACCGGTCAAATACACACGCATTTTTTAGGAGCAACTATTAGAAAAATTTAAATTTAATAAAATACTTGTGTTATAGGTACCTAAACGGCAATACGGTTTATAAAGTTATGTCAATAGAAATCATCAACAATTTTTATCCGTTTTTTTAAATAGGACCATAGATACTAAAAAGTATGTATATATTCGTGATATCAAGAAATGATTTAAAAGTTAGCTCAATCCTTTTTAGCCATATAATAATAGAGCACTTACGTCAGTTGCAATAAGTCTAATGGGAAGAGATGTTCGTGTGGGTGTAATCTACATTACCTTGTCTGTACCTGTATGGTTGAATCGCGCAAGTCATCCCAACGTTGTATAGTACAACTCATTTAACGGTGGAAAAAATGAGACCTTATTAACTTGTAATCATCTGAAAATGCAAACATTTTTAACTGCTGCCTAAACGATTAAACATTTTAAAAAGTTGACATTAACTACTAGAGTCTTAAAAAAAACTTGCAAACCAGCGATAATTTATTCTACTTTTATAATAAACCCTGAATATGTATGTTGTAATTTCGATAGGAATGATGAAAATGAAAAATATATAATAGTTATTCTATACTCGATACCTCAAGGAACTGCCACCCAAAATAATAATAATATACAACTTAATGTTAGACCTTAAACATGGTTGCCTTCGACCACTTTTACTTAACATACATTTTTGTTAATAGGAAACTTTCGTATGCGCTGATGAATTCGGCTCTGACCTGGAGCACGTAGAAGTGCTGCAGCGAAAGTTCGACGAGTTCCAAAAGGACATGGCGGCCCAGGAGTACAGGGTCACCGAGGTTAACCAGCTGGCCGAACGCTTGGTTCTCGAAGGTCATCCCGAAAGGGAGACTATTGTTAAGAGGAAAGATGTAAGTATTTATTAGTTGATTACCGTCTTACACGTCGTTAAATATTAATATTTTCTTATTAGTATTTATCTTTTATTTTTCTTGTAAAGAAATGAACTCGGGATTTCCTAATGTTGCAGTCAAAGTGTTATCTCTTCTAACTTCTCTAAAATTTAATAATAATAATTTCAAAAGGACTGCTTAACTTAACTTTGAACTGCCTACTTCCTTTTAACAACTTATTTGAATGTTCAGGAGTTGAACGAGGCATGGCAGCGACTCCGCCAGATGGCGCTCATGCGCCAGGAACGTCTGTTTGGAGCTCACGAGATTCAACGCTTCAACCGTGACGCTGACGAGACCATCGCTTGGATCTCGGAGAAGGACGTCGTTTTAGGATCTGATGACTATGGACGTGATTTGGCCACTGTCCAAACTCTGCAGGTATGTTTGTTTAGGAGGTTCTTCTTTTTGTGGTAGATAGATATATCCTTCAAAAGAGAAAATTGTTTTAATATATTTCTCATATCGCCACTTCTTTATTTCTTTTATTCTAGAGAAAAAAAGTTCTGGCTTTTCTTAAGATATTGAAATTGAAAGACGAAACATATCCCTAATTTCTTAGCTGCATTTTTTTTTATGTTTTGTTGTATCAATTTAGATCTTGTCAATTGTTTTATGTTTAGCGTAAACACGAGGGTGTAGAACGCGATTTGGCAGCTTTGGAAGACAAAGTGTCGACTTTGGACGGTGAGGCAGCTCGCCTGGCCGCCATACATGCCGACCACGCACCCGCCATCCATGGCAAGCGGGATGAGATCACTCACGCTTGGCAAAAGCTTGTGCAGAAGGCCAAAGTAAGTACACAGTATAAATGTATGCCTATTCCACTGTTTTGAGTATATCCATACAAAAAAAAAAACAACTGCTCATTTTCCAAATTGTTCTCGTCTGTATTTAACCATATCATACAAATATGTAGCAGAACAAACATTAAAGAATTACTTCTTCTTTTGTACTTTGGGGGGCTGTAAATTCATACCTTATGACGCACTGGTTTGTGCTGCTAATTCGTCGTTAGTATGGAATGAATGCATGAGCTTAGTACAGTAATTCGTTTTCTGCTTAGGAACGTCGATCAGAGCTGGAGTCATCGCACGCGCTACACCGCTTCCTGGCGGACTACCGCGACCTGATCTCGTGGGTGTCGGACATCCGCGCGCTCATCGCCGCCGACGACCTCGCCAAGGACGTCCCCGGCGCTGAAGCGCTGCTGGAGAAACATCAGGAACACAAGGTTTGTACGTTTGCACGACCTGATAATTAACCAAATTGTTATAATAATGTAATATATAACAATGCCCTGTAATGTTGCAGTTGAATACACTACCGCCGCGCCCAGTAGGTTATCAATACCAACATAACACTAATTCTGTTTACTCTTTAGGGTGAGATGGATGCTCGCGCTGACGTGATCCAAGCTTGCGGAGCAGCCGGTCACGCCTTAGTGTCGAGCGGGCACCGTGCCTCGGCCGAGGTGTCTGCTGCCCTCGAAAACTTGGAGAGAGACACGTCAGCTTTGCACCAGCTGTGGGACCAACGAAGAGTGCTGTACCTACAGTGCATGGATTTGCAGTTGTTCTATAGAGACACGGAACAGGCTGATGCTTGGATGCACAAGCAAGAGGTATGTACTCTAGTATTTGTTTTCAAATACTGAATACCTGCCAATAGTTACAAAAAAATATATGACAATCTTAATTGATGTAAACGTCTTATAAGACTTGGTAAATTAGATTCCATGGGTTGTCATTGCTTAATTTTTGTCAAGCCCACCATTAAAAATATATTTTTACTTAGAAATTAATATTCATTAACAGTCGAGCTTTTTGTTGTTTCAACTAGTCAAGTTATTATATCAAAATTTTTTTTTTAAAACGCAGGCATTCCTTGCTAATGAAGACGTTGGCGACTCTCTGGACTCAGTTGAAGCCCTACTGAAGAAGCACGAGGACTTTGAAAAGTCTCTAGTGGCTCAAGAAGAGAAGATTAAGGCACTAGATGAATTCGCCTCAAAGCTGATTGAGGGACAGCACTACGCTGCTGACGACGTTGCGCAGCGACGAGAGATGCTGTTGGAGAGAAGAGCCGCACTCTTGGACAAATCTCAGCAGAGGAGGGCTTTGCTGGAAGATGCTTATAAATACCAGCAATTCGAGAGGGATTGCGATGAGACAAAGGGTGAGTGTCTATAAAAAAATGATCTTATCAATCTGTCACCCTAGCTGTAATGAAACAATAAACAAGTTGCAGAAATCAAAAGACAGTTAAGCAATTGCCTTGATTTTTTTCTAACACAGATTTAATAATAATAGTTTAAAAAAACAGCAACTACATAAAATAATAAAAAATCCCGGAGTTAAAGTAAAGACTAATCAAAATTAAATTAGAGTGAGGGGATAGGGACCCACACAATATAAAAACTTTTTAAATTTTATCAAAATTGTTGGCCAGTAACAAAAAAAACTATTTTTTTTTTGCTTGTCGTTGTTCTCTAATGTTTGACTATCTAATGTTGTCTAATTTCGTTAGGCTGGATCAACGAAAAACTTAAGTTTGCAACTGATGACTCGTACCTGGACCCTACCAACTTGAACGGCAAGGTACAGAAGCACCAGAACTTCGAACAGGAGTTGCAGGCAAACAAGCCCCGCATTGATGAGATCACAATCACTGGCAGCAACCTTCTTGAACAAGAGCATTTTGCTAAGCGTGAGTATTATGGGTAATTTTACCTGCAATTTTTTTTCTGTTCAGTTAGCAGTACTCTAAAAATTGTCGTCCACTCTTATTAGAAGGTTTTTATTCATATTATCTATCATCATGTTAATATTATATTGAAGTGTACTCGTCGTAGTACGAGAAAACGAATCAGGAGCAGCGACAATATCGGTGAGCCAATCACTGGCCGACGTTATGTTTCAATTGCACCAAAGGGACCCAAAAATCGACTAGCTGTGTAGGTACTCCACATTGTACATATTGTACGACATGTACTGCAGTGGCGACATAGTGGATGATAGGTTAGAACATATTTTTATTATTTTCATGTTACCATGATTGATGTTGTCTAACTATTTGCATTTTTTGCAGCTCAAATCGAGTCCCGCGTGGGTGAGTTGGCCGGTCTGTGGGAGAAGCTGGCGCTAGCCTCGGAACTGAAGGGAAGCAAACTGCAGGAAGCCGCCGCGCAGCAGCAGTACAACCGCAGCGTGGAAGACATCGAGCTGTGGCTCTCTGAAGTCGAGGGACAACTGCTTAGCGAGGACTACGGGAAGGTTCGCTTATAACTTTTTTAAACAAGCATGTCCTCAAAGGGGATTTAATGCTTTTGTATTAACGAAAGCTTATATTATTTAATTTATGTGGACACTCATTAACATATTTTCTAATATGGTATATTATTATTAGGGAGTCTATACATATTATACGAGGCATTTTTCTATATTTGGTAATATACCACTATAAAAGAAATACAAACTAATGTATTTTTGGACTCAAATTAACAACTTTTTATGAAACCCACACTTAATTTTAAGTCTGAACACCAAAAAGATTTGTACTTAACTAATTATTTTTGGTTGACAAGATAATTTACAATATTTTTTCATTCCGTGCAGGATTTGACCAGCGTGCAGAATCTACAAAAGAAACATGCTCTATTAGAAGCTGATGTTAGCTCCCACGCTGAACGTATCGAAGCGATCCGTAACCAAGCTGAGCAATTCATCGAGAGGGGTCACTTCGACGCTGACAACATAAAGGCTAAGAGGGTGTGTAGAATGAAAATTTATAAATAAAGTAAATTCTAGAGCCCTTTGTTACACTAAATTCTGAATTATTAAAAAAATAAAAATAGGTACATAGTGATCTGTTTTCCATTTATTTACTCAATATTTTAACAATGTCATAGCTTAGCCATATTAAACTAAAAAAAAAAAAAAAAATTTACAAAACATATTATCGAATACAGTTCATAGCTTTTAAATCCAAGCTAAACATTGATAGATTTTTTTATATTTATTATTATATTATTATTATTATCTTTGTTTGTCTGTTGTACCTAGGATGCTTTAGTAGCTCGATACAGCGCTTTGGACAAGCCCATGGCGATTCGCAAGCGTCGTCTCTTAGACTCGCTGCAAGCTCAGCAACTGTTCCGTGACCTCGATGATGAAGCCGCCTGGATCCGGGAGAAGGAACCTATCATCGCGTCGACTAACAGAGGTTAGTTATACTGACGTGTCTCGCTCACTTCAGAATACTAGTATTCGCCTCGAGGTTGAAATGTATTTATACAAAGTGGATAGAACCTTATCACAAATTTTCTAATATATTTAGACTACGGTAAAGTAAAATATGATCAAAGTATACGTGTCGGTAATTGTTGTATGGGTGCAGGTCGCGACCTGATCGGCGTGCAGAACCTGATGAAGAAGCACCAGGCCGTGATGGGCGAGATGGCGCAGCACGAGGCGCGCGTGGACGCCGTGCGCGCTGCCGGCGCCGCGCTGCGCGACGCGGGCCACTTCGCCGCAGACGACATCGGCGCGCGCCTGCAGCAGCTGCACCAACAGTGGACGCAGCTGCAGGAGAAGGCGCTGCAGGTACCGCTCACCCTCACTTTAATATGTCGCACACCGTTACCGTTACACTAAATTCAACTTAGCCACAGACACGTACAAAAACACAGACACGCGTATACGAGCACACCGACTTGCCCTAACACTCACACGTGGCCATCATAATTTCAAAAATATTTTCATTTGAACTTACAAATGTAATTAATACACAATACACAGTCAACTACGCAGAATTATTGTAAACCGTTTTCTCGGCGTGCTTTAGATTATAGTAATTCAAGTTATTTCTATATTATAAAAAGTTCATAAACTACATTTTACAGAACATTTATAAAGTAGTCTTAAAACTGTTAATATGTTATTTGTATCAATATTTATAAAAAAAAACTTTACCATTCAATTACTAAACTTTAAAACTTGTACAGCGCAAACAAGACCTAGAAGACTCCTTACAAGCGCAGCAGTACTTCGCGGATGCCAACGAGGCTGAATCCTGGATGCGGGAGAAGGAACCCATGGCCAACACACAGGACTACGGCAAAGACGAGGACTCGTCCGAGGCTCTGCTGAAGAAACATGAAGCGTTGTTATCTGACCTTGAAGCCTTCGGCAACACCATCAAGTCTCTGAGGGAACAGGCTGATGCTTGTCGTGTAAGCATGAACCTTATTTGATCGTTTATTAGCACTTAGTTGGTACGTTGCGTCAGTGCCATCTAACGGAGATACACAGAACTGTGAAGTAACTGCTAATCCTGTATCGCGATATTAAGTTCTCACGCCGATTAGCATCAATGTAACTTACCAATATATACCGTTAGACAGCGGCCCGCCTGGGGTGATCATCCCTTCTGTTCGTAAGATACTGTCTTTAATGTTGGAGGGATATAAAACCCGTTTCTCCACAGTTCTAACAATATAAATTATTTCAACGTGTTTCTTTAACTATATAAAAAAATATGTAAACAATCTACAGGAATTATCATGATGTAGTTACATCTGTTTTATCTAATGTGGATATATTTTTAATACCGTTGTAAAAAATTAACATACTGATATCTCACAAACTTGATTGATTTGTAAATGTTTTACTCGAGAAAAAAAAAAAATTGTTGCATTTCACTAAGTGAGGGATTACCAAGGGCTCAAACCCCTCCCTCCTCTTAATTAGGCTCTCAAAGTCCAGCAACTCGCTTGTCACTCTTGCGTTGCAAGTGTCCACAAGCGGCAGTATTTTGTCTCCCGCTTTGCTAAGTAGAGAAGTGGATTTATTGTATTTCTTACTCCTCCAATTGCCTTCTGACTAATTTCGTTACGGGTTCCAAGACAGTTAAGTTTTTTCCTGAGACTTCGCCAGTGTCATGCTGCTGTTGGTCCTGGAGTACAGGAGTTAAAGTGGTGGGTACATGTGGGAGGGATCAGTCCCAACAAACAAAAGCGGCGGTAATCACTTACCATCTAGTGTCCCGTCTGCACGTTACCGTTTGCACTCTATACTATAAGAAGTAAAATAAGATATGTCGTGGTGCAGCAACAAGAGTCCCCGGTGGTGGACGTGTCGGGCAAGGAGTGCGTGGTGGCGCTGTACGACTACGCGGAGAAGTCACCGCGGGAGGTCTCCATGAAGCGCGGGGATGTGCTCACGCTACTCAACTCCAACAACAAGGTAATAATAATATATTTGATTTTAAGACAGTTAGAATCCATTTTGTTAATAACAATTTAATCCTTAATCTATGTTAGTATAATTAAAACCTCAACTTTACTTTAATATTTTTTTAACGGGGTACGCTTCGTGACCAATAAAGTTATATCGAAACAATGTATGACATAACTAATATTATTAAAAAAATATATTAAGAAAAAATAGAGGCATATGTAGGTATGCTAGTTAAGTAATAGTTTTAATATTAAATTATTCACATAACAAGGTCCAAAATTGACAATATAGAAATGGTAAATAACGTTACACTTTATCGTCCTTGTAATTTGTAATTAACACAGTAATGTTTATCGATTAGTGTCAACACGTATCGTTATCACATTATTTATCGAATTGAGTTACATACGCTGCAAGATATTCAAGAAAAAACACTGTAAATTTTAAAATTGGCTCATTTTTCAATTGAAGAGTATATTATGATGAAATTCTGTAACTGTAACATCGCAAAATTCGTGTTACGGTTGTATGAAAACTCATCATACTCTCGTTGATTTTCACCGAGTGAATGAGGTTACAAGAGTTTATTATGGTCGTTGCGATTGTTGAAGATTTCAGTAGGCCTAGTGTAAGTTTATTTCACATCAACTCGCTCTCGACAGCAAGCGCGTTTGGCGTTGTGATTGGTGGATATTTAAGTGCGGGCCAATCGCAGCGCCGAACGCGGTCACCGTGACGATCGAGTAGATGTGAAATAAACACGCACTTGGGCCTCTGAGCTCAAACATACCTCCCTCACCCCCGCTTCTGCCAATCACAGAGAGACCACATAGCGAAATTCTTTGCGTGGCCTATCATTTTTTATGTCTAAAACGCATTGTGGTAGGAAAGAAAAACCATGATGCGTAAAAATCTACTTCTAGTCCATTTTAATAAATGCATCTGAATATAAAATGTATTCAATTCAGTAAGAATTTTAATTAAACCAAAAAAAAACATGTGTCCTGTCGAATCTTCGGAACGGATACACCAATTTCCACAGGACTTAAATTCACAGATAGCTGATATTATATGAAGTAAATTAGGCTGCTTTTAAATTTTAAAACCGTTAAAACTATGAAATTAATATGTAAACTGTAATACATACACTACAAAACCAGTTACAATTAAATATATTGAAATGATTTTCCAAGTTATTTAAAATGTTTATCAGAACTGATTGATCACCAGGAACAACAATTTTTATGCATATGTAATACACTTATAATAGTCGATTGTTCTAGTATTTCTATAGTAAATGAAGGCCTTTGTACAGTTACTTAAATGCTTACAAAACCACAGGTACAATATTTTAAATGAAGTTTTATATTATTGATATAAGATTAGTGATAAAGATTCTATTAACAAACTGTTGTCATTTTTATTAAAACCAATGCATAAAACTCAAATTGTCCCATAGAACATGGGAAACGAGAAAAAAAAGCCTACATTTTAGGGAAGACATAGATTGGAAGAAAAATATGTAACACATCTTTTTCTAAATAAAACGAAAACCAATACAAAATAATATTAGTCGAGGATTCAAGACCTAAATGATAACGCGAAGTAACAGTACTAGATTCATAATTTCCAAACAATTGTTACTTTTAATAAATTAGATTTGAATTCCTTTTTTAATGTAACCGTTAATATTCAAATTGCGGTGTGAGTATATCACCGGTGTGTGCTACTTGTGTTATCTGGCTGAAACCGAACACGCTTACGTAACATTCGTTTAGCAACACGCGGCACATTATTACACTATGAACCGCATTATCGAACGAACGTCTCAACAGTGAATAATTGAATAATGTTCCGAACTTGAAATCATACTTACTGAATATTTTTTCATTCAAATTTAAACTTAAAAAAAATGTAATTTTAACAGCGGCCAGTATTAATTTATATTTTAAATGTGCTGTGGTATTAAATTTAGTGAATCTTTCTGTGATATATAAGTGATATTAGTTAAAATGATAGTGTTAAGTTGGTTGTGTGTGATAGTGATCGAGAATCTCTTTGTACACAATAAGAAGGATGATAAGCGGATAAAACACGTAAGTAACACTTCAGCGCTTTTATCTTAACGATATATAGAAGTGAATAATGAAATGTTGTAATAATTGTTTTTATTAACTTTAAACTTTTTAAACACGCGTAAAATATTGTTTGTTACAACTAGTTCTTATTAGGTTTTTTAAAGGTAAACATATTATAGAAATAGGCTCTTTCTTGAAGTCGTTTAAATAGTGTTTGTTTTTTATTTTTACATACATTCACGTCTAAACCTCGCAAGGGGCCTCTGCTCCTCCTACTCCTTTCGAGAGTTTTAAACACCATTATTTTGCCAACTGTAACTTTAGTCCCACTTATGTAATAGCAAGCTTATTTTTATCAACCGACTACTTAAGGGATAAGATGTAAAAGTGAAAAAAAGATAGCTACGAAAAGAAGACAATGTAGGATATCAACAGCCTTTAACAGTCCTCTGCTCGACATGGGCCTCTCCTTATTCAAGAGGTTATTGCTACGCTGGCCCGACGGGTTGGTGTCAGGTTTTCCTTCTCTTTGCTGTCCTGTGTAGTTTGCTTCCTTGGTTGGCTCTTACGACACCCACGAGATGAATAGGGGTGGTGACACTCCGTATTCTTAATCCGTCACCACACGGTCATGTAGGATATGAATATTGCGATATTGATATTGCCGCCAAACCCGAGTTGTCCTTACAAATTTATTATTTTTTATTTAAATGAAGAAGAAAGGAATTCTAAGGAGTTAGCAGGGGTAAAGGCAGAGGCAAAAAAGAAAGAATGAATTTTAAATGAAGATTTTTTTGAGACGGAGAATTCGAAGTAGCAAGGGTAATATCTAATCATCAACGAATTAAAGAGTAAAAGTCACAAGATCATAGAAGAGATGGTGAGGAAGGAATACTGACATTCTTGAAAATAACTAACAATCACTGCATGTAGTACAGCTAACGTCTCTCATATTTACAAATTTCTCAACAATCGACCACCTAGTTGTTGTTTTCTGTTTTAATACCTCTGCTATCATCATCATCATCAACAGCCTTTAATAGTCCACTGCTGGACATAGGCCTCTCCTTAGAAAGTAGGTTTTGGCCTACTATACCACGCTGGCCAGACGGGTTGGTATAGAGTTTGTGTCAAGTTTTCCTTCTCTCTGCAGTGCTGTTATCCTGCATAGTTTGCTCCCTTAGTCGCCTCTTACGACACCCACGGGATGAATAGGGGTGGTGACACTCTGTATTCTTACTCCGTCACCACACGGATTTTTCTTTTTGTTACTTAAATCCGCACCGTGTTATGCAATTAGTTCCGTCCTTTTGTATGCATTTCAATAGATATATTGTGTGAATGAGATATGGTGTAATGACCTTCAAGGATACAAGCATACAGACACAGTGAACAATTAAATGTAAATCATTTCTTCAGTTGTATAGGAATAAGAAAGATATTTCTTAAACAACTAAATGTTCAAACTGAATTATTGTTACCGCATATCTAACTAGTCATGAGTAGTGAGTGTTCAGTGTTGCCAATCCAATCTCTTCTACTGGGCACTACCGTCTTTTTTCATAACAAGATTTATATCATGTATGTGTGTGTGTGTGTGTGTTTCTATGTAACTTAGCAAGTACGTATGCATGTATGTTTGTCCCAATGTTTCTGTCCAACTTCTCAATTATTTTCTCTTTTTTTTAAATATTGATATCTGGTGCAGCTTGTCACATTTCTCCACTACCGTAAGGTAGACTGGGAGCAAATGCTTTTAACATTAAGTCCGCCATTGTAAAATTCTCATTTGTGCATAAAGAATTAAAATAAATAAATGTTTGTTAGACTGCTCGGCTTTACCAGTTCACTGGACAACAGAACTGACTGTGGCCGGTTGCTGCTCGAGGTGTTGCTTGCACTCTGCACTGTATAAGCAATACAACTTTCATTCAATTATCTTCCCTTAGTACCTATCATTATCCTTTAATATCTTTAAGTACCTGGTTGACGGCAAGCAGTAGGCTGGTTTACTATAAGATAAATGGGATCGATTTAGCTGCGTGCTTAATACGGCCCTGCCCACTCCTTTGGCAATACCGTCGTGAGAGTCTGTATGTATATCGTATGGCAATGTTGCCTCCTCAGTACGGTATGTCAGTTCTAGCAGATTTTGCCATTACCTTTAGTTTACAGTGGCAATCGAAAAAAATTGTCTCAACTAAAGGTTTTGCTTCCTTGGAACTACCACCACCACCACCACTTATTATGATTACAAACCCAATACTTTATCAATAACTTCTATTGCATAGCGTTGCTATATCTTAATATGACAAAAGGAAACGCCAATCATATGGGTTTACATGACCGGAAACTGTTCTACGAGCGTCTACAAAACAGAATTTAAATGTATACTAACAGTAAATATTAAACTGACTACGTATTGTCAGTACAAATATCCTATATTAACTTTTTGCATTTTTTAAACAGATGAAAACCTTAAAAACCTTAACCTTCATGATAAGAGCGTACGCCTTACTCAAAGGTTGGCAACGCGCTTGTGACTCCTGAATTGCAGGCATTCATGGGCGGCGGTAGTCGCTTTCCATCAGGTGACCCATCTGCTCGTTTGCCCCCTATTCCATAAAATAAAAAAAGGATGATCCTTCATCATCATCATCAGCCTATCGCAGTCCACTGCTGGACATAGGCCTCTCCCATTGCACGCCACTTAGATCGATTTTGGGCTTCTCGCATCCAGCTCCTGCCAGCCATCTTGCGCAAATCGTATTAGGAATTAAGTTTTAATTAGATCGAATTAGGATGATCCTAATTCGATCTAATTAAAACTTTGAAATTTATAAATTTGTTTAGTAACATACTATTGGATTACACAAACGAGATAACACAAGACTGAAAACAAAAACAAATATTTATGCCCCGCATCTAAAACAACCAACACACTGCACTGAACTCTGTTTGACTTTCAAGCAAATTTGATGAGAAATTAGGTCATCAGTAAGTTCATCTTAAAAATCTAATATGTTATAAAACAAGCTTTTATAATTGAATCTAATGTTAAGGTCGGTTACGCTGGCTACCTGACAAAACTTACCAATTACTGAAAGAAATATCTAAACCTAACATCTAATGTTATTTTAGAAAATCATGAAAAAACTTAGACTACGATATCGACAAATTGCATGCTTCCTTAATCTCTTGTTATATTACAAATTATAAACGTTCACAGACAAATCGTGACGGTCGATTTATTCCTTAATATATTGTCATTTATCTCCTATGTGTGTGGTATTCATTTGATCGAGGACAAATCAATAATGGCTGACATCTCTCGAGTAAATAAGGCGTGCAAACTTTTAAGGAACGTTATAGGGAATGTACATGTCATAATCATTCATGTCACGTCGACTGCTAGTTGAGTTCGCTAGGAGAGGGTTCCGTATCTTCTGATCTAAAGTAAAGAGTTCTTTTCACTCTCAATAATGTTTTTTACGGTCAAAGAAAAACTCACCCAAAACTGTAACCTACATCAAAATTACCAATGTTACCTTTCTGTAATTTAGTTCTTACAAACTGTGTTCTTGCTTCATATGATTTTATATTCTGTACCTATGTTATGTGATTTTCTTGTGTCCGAAAATCTTCTACGTTAAAGTTACCTGTATTTACATAGCATTTACATCTGCTTATCTATCGGTAAATAGTTCCTGACTTATTCATATTGACAGACATAGATACGTCATGTATTGTATTACATTTCTCGTCAACAGATTCGACAAACATGTAAAAAGATGTATTCCAAAATATACTAATCGTAATGTCGCTTAAGTAAACGGATCTTATCCTCATCGCATGTGTTGAGGAAATAGGTTTATGTAACTAGTATAAAAAGTTTATACAACACTTGTTATCACTATAAAAAGAAACACGCAAACAGAATAATACTTCTTTTATGTTGTACTTATGTAAATTTTTAAACTATTAATTACAACTAGAGGTCGCTTGGCGGGCTAGTTTGACCGTTTTGAGTGTCTTATTTTATTTATATAGCCAGTGTAACTTGACTGCCATTATATAGAATTTTATATCTAAATGTTAAAATAAATACTGGATTTTTACAGCTTTGTGTAGGCAGCAATTCACATGTTTTAACTTTTTTGTTTTGAACATTTTTTTCTCTCTATACTTCTTCATAAGCAGTTCTTTCTTAAGTAAGTGTGTGTTACTTTAAACAATACAAAGTGTACTGCAAGTAAGTTTGTTAAAATAAGGGCTTATGAAACTGCGTCAATGTCAAAATGGCACCTAGTGCGATAAAGTTAAGTAGTCTTAAGAAATCTCTAAAAAGTTCGCATTACAACATTTTTCACATTATCGGAGAATAAAATAAGATCTAGACAATGGACAGACATGTATTGTAATTAATTCAATATTACTCATCGAAACTGCGGACTGCGCAAAACCGGAATGGTTGGCGCTCCTAGGGGGAGTCGTTCGTTCAACTACTTCATTTTGAAACAGCTATCAGAACCTTTTCCTTACGTGTATCAAACGTATTTCTTTCTTTACTAAAACGGTCGCCATGTTTATCTGTTCCCGCAGATATTGCAATAAACCTATCAGCCAGTTTTTTCTGAATTTATTTTCATTTTTACTGTTTTCATTTATACGACGAATAAAAATAATGATAATGTATAATAATGAATAAAAATATTTATGCACACCTCTAACTTGCGTTGTTTTCATTGTGTCCTAAGGACTGGTGGAAGGTAGAAGTGAACGACCGCCAAGGTTTTGTCCCTGCTGCTTACGTGAAGAAGATTGAGCCTGGGCTTTCCTCATCGCAACAGAACCTTGCTGACTCCAGCTCGATTGTGGCCAGACAAAACCAGGTATGAACATAACATTTCTTGAAGTCTGCATTAGTTACTGAAGAAGTCATATGTTCTCCTTTTAATTTGTGTGTATTGTGATTGACTACAATGTAATATTTTAAGAGTAATGGAAAATGAAAAATTACTTTAAATAACATTATCGATTTGAAAGATCCTTTTAAACATTATCGATTACCATAAATAATCATCTTACGTTGTGTTTTGTTTAAAGATTGAAGCCCAATATGACAACTTGCTGGGGTTGGCTCGTGAACGACAAAACAAGCTCAACGAGACCGTCAAGGCGTACGTCCTCGTGCGTGAAGCGGCCGAGCTCGCCACATGGATCAAAGATAAGGTATATTATACTTTTAAAAACTACTGAACAAAACTGTTAGAGGAATAATTAAAAATGTTGTAAGCACAAGAATTTCTGCTTTTATACTTTTGTCAACTAATTAATCAGCTTTTTGTAGTTCTGTTTTGAACTTAGGCCCAATTTTTCTCATAGAACTGGATTCGAAACTATGCCTGCTAACCTGTTAATGTCCTCGGTCTTTCTGGCTGAAGGACATCCTCTTAAGTTTACTAGTAGTTTATTACGCATGCTAGTGACAAACCTGTCATGAAAGATAAAAAAAAATATTTCTTAAACACAATCTGTATTATTCTAACATAAACTTTTAAATCGCAGGAAATGCACGCCCAAGTGCAAGATGTCGGTGAAGATCTGGAGCAAGTGGAGGTGATGCAGAAGAAGTTCGACGACTTCCAGAACGACCTGCGCGCCAACGAAGTGAGGCTCGCAGAGATGAACGAGATCGCCGTACAACTCATGACCGTTGGACAGACGGAGGCTGCGCTCAAGATTAAAACACAAATGCAGGTTAGATTTTTGGCATCATTTTAAAGAACTAAGACTTCTTTACATGATGAGGTAAACAAAGTTTAATTTGCTTTCTTGTAATTTATCAGATTGTTTGGTATTTGTGGTTACTTTCCAGCTGTATATCGTAATGTTATATAGACTAACGTTTTTCTGTAAACACTCTTTTGTAGTTCGTTTAATTGAATTTTAAAACTATGATTAAAGTAAAATTGATTTTTGATTAAAGTATCATATAGTATATGTTTATTTAACTAAAATAAAGGTTTTTAATTGTACTTTGATTGACATTTTCTAATTTGATCTAAAACTTAAAAACTTCATATAGATACTTTCTATTGTTACTGACGTTGGATTTCCTGCCATTCATAACAATCATATACAACTTAAAAATAATCATTAGTGTCCGTAATCATTCTCACTTTAAAATTCGTTTCCAGGAACTGAACTCTAAGTGGACATCGCTCCAACAACTAACGGCGGAGCGCGCTGTCCAGCTGGGCTCCGCTCACGAAGTGCAGCGGTTCCACCGCGACGTGGACGAGACCAAAGACTGGATTGCGGAGAAGGAAGCCGCCCTGGCTACTGACGACCTCGGCAAGGACCTGCGATCCGTGCAGACCTTGCAACGTAAGTTCAGTTTTTATCTAAAGCACATAGCCCGCCTGTTTCGTATCAAGAGCCTTTAATTGCTACCTTCTACGAGTCTCTTGTCATTGAAGTCTCTAGTCTCTCTATGCCACTATCTTCAGTACGATAGAGGTGCTTGCCGAGTCTCAGAGATCCAGCAAAATTTGAAACTGTGTAACTGAACTGTCTTAACAAGTCTCCTGTCTTTTCTAGGTAAACACGAGGGTTTAGAACGCGACTTAGCCGCTCTCGGTGACAAGATCCGCCAGCTCGAAGACACGGCCAACCGCCTGATGACCACACACGGCGATTCTGCCGATGCCACGTACAGCAAGCAGCGAGAAATCAATGAGGCGTGGCAGCAGCTGCAGGCTAGAGCTAATGCTCGCAAGGAGAAGCTGCTGGACTCTTACGACTTGCAGAGGTAAAATTAAAAATACGTTTATATGCTGCATCTCATTCGGTGTGCTCAATTTTTGAGGGTAGTTTTATAGTTGACTCGTTATTGTTCTCTCATGAACATTGCTTAATTTCCTTTTGGAATTTACATAATTGAACGAGAATATCTAACGATTTCAATACGAATAGATCAGAAGTTTCGATGGATAATACAAGTAGTAGTTTATTTTAAAGTATAAATGATTTAGTAATCAAATCGTTTAATTATTTATACTATAAATATTGTTAGAATTAGTCTAGTGGCCATTTTGACAAACCTTTTAACTTGTTTGTCATATTTAGTTGTCATACTTATTTTGCAGTTAGATTGTCAAACTCTATATTAAATCGACCACAAATTCGGTGTCTTGACGCAATACGCATGTAAATTCTGATTTTATTCAGACAAGGGTTATTGAGATGACAGAAATCCACCTGTGAATTAATTTCAGTATTAACATTTATAAATATTAACCAATCGACACTATAATACATCTATGTGTGAGTAATAGCAATAGCCTTACCACATGTTTTTTGTCCAGGTTCTTGTCCGACTACCGCGATCTAATGGCCTGGATTAATTCCATGATGGCTTTAGTTAGCTCCGACGAGCTCGCCAATGACGTCACCGGCGCTGAAGCACTGCTCGAGAGACACCAGGTAAGATACACTACCAAAAAAAAAAAACTATAAATTATACCTCATTGTATATTATTAGAGTTGTTTATACCCCTAGATGACTAATGGTGTGACAGCATTATCCCTTTGCCTATAATAGTGTAGAAAAATATAGTATTTACAATGGTTGATGAACTGCATACCTCCTATTTGTAATCTTCATGCATACACTGTGATTCCGTGGCTGTGGGAGAGCCATGCTGCCTGAGTTACATCACAGCCTCACAGAAAACCGGTGTTAAGCAATTCTGTTGCTGCTTTTCATCGCGTGAGTGAGGTTACTGTAGAGCTAAACCCAGCTCCCCCTAAGGGGCCATCCATAAGTTACGTCACACGTTAAAGGTCTTCGAAATGTGACAATGGGTGGGAGAGGTCCCAGGTTTTTTAGACATCACATTTCAAAACGTAATACATCTGAATATTAAAATGAAATTGGAATTATATGTTTGATTTGATGTTGATTTTAAATTTAAATGGTAATAAATAAATTTTGGAACTGCTATTTTAATTTAATAAGTTTTAGATGTATAATTGCAAAGTATATGATTTCACATTAAGGGGCTTACAAATATGACCAGCTGTGACAAGGACGGTGTGACGTACTTTATGGATGGCACCTTAGTTTGTAAGAGAGCTGAAAGGACTGTAACGCACTTGACACTGAGTTGCATGTGTCCATCGGTAGTCTCTTACCATCAGGTGACACTACTCTTTTACCACCTAAACCACAAAGAATGCAACGAAAGTTTGTCAACATTGTAATATGTTATGTATTATATCCAAATTCCACCCCAATATTGGATCCAACATTGTGAGTTATAACGAAAGAATTGTGCCTGTATTTCTAGACCCAGCGTTTGGAGATAGACGCGCGGTACGGCATAATGCCGCAGGTCAGACGCATTGCACGCATGTGTGACCCTAGCCTAACATTTGTATTCTTGCTGATCGCGTCACTTGTATGAAGTGTTCAAGCCGCTATGAAAATAACTTCAAACTCGTGTATTTGTTTTACCTCTGATAGAAAGTAGACTGCCCTGGTGAAACTGTCCATACAATTTAAAGTTTTTATTGTGTAACAAAATCCACAGTTTTGCGCTCAATTCGTTATTAAAGCTCACTTCAGTGTAATCATGTTATGGTAGATTCACGAAAATGAAGATTCTTCTATTTGATTATTTTAATTAAAATACCGCGAGTTTTGTAATGTAAAGTAAATCGATATATTTTCATCGAGTTTTTCGAACTCAACAGGCAGGCTAACAATTACCACTTTTTTTACCGCAGTATATATATTGTAAATGTAAATGTATCTATGTATTTTGTACGAGTACGCTTAAGTACCCTGAATACATATATTCATATCTTCATACATACGGTTATAACTTTACACTGTTTAGTGATGCGATTTGCAAGAATATTTTTATTATACACCTTTGTACGCATAATACGTAATAAATAATACACAATACTTGATGTTTACTACATAAAATAATATGAATGGAAACGGGGTAGTTAGTTACCCTAACAGATCGTTTAACAGTAAAACACGAGAGATTAATAACAAATTTACTTTTCCCCATTTTATCTTGGAGTTTTAATGTTTTTATATGTGAGTATGGTCAACTATAAAAGTATTTATGATTAGGGAATATTTACAGATTTATGTAATAATAATTAGGCTAAAACATATAGGAAACATTGAGAAGCGAGACGATAAAACGGCTATTTCATATAAGAGATGCAAGTCGCTCGTCTATAGGCGAGAACGAGGAGGCTTCCTTACAAATATAACCTGTTATAATGTATAAAGACTTAGTATGCGGTCGTAAAGGCCGAGCATATGCTTCCTTTCATAATTACTAGAATGTTCAATTTCACTTTGCCTGTAATTTAAAATTTATTTAGCATCAAATTATTTGCGTATTACCTCTTATCTTACATTGCCTTGAAGTTGATGTTCCTATTTCACCTATATAAGATTAAAATTTAAGTATAGAGACTCCTCCAGATATCTCAATTTGGAACAAAATATACCGATGCTTCTGGAAGTATATAAACATAAGACTGGATTACTTTACACCACTTAAAAGGTGGTTTTCGTCCCGCTTTAATAGAGAAAAATAACTAATCAATGAAACTGCATCATAACTACTTTTTTGTTGACTGTACTTTATTTGTCGTTTATTTTTGTGTGATTTTACAGTGTCTTCAGTGTGTTTGTGATTTTGTCTACTTTCTATACCTTACTCCAATGTCTGTGTCATTTGCCTTACACCATTTTCTTTACTTTCTACAATCAGTTATGTGTTCTGTGTAACAAAACAAACCAAAATGCATTTATGACAGTGTGTATAATATCGCTGTACAGAAACATCACGACGAGCAATATTTTTATACATAAATTAGTGTATATATTTACATTGTTTTTAAGTGTATCGTAGTATCTATTACAATAAGAAGAAAAAACGCAGAGGATCTCGTATAGGATAATCTGGATGTTTGTCAAATGCATTTGTAAAATAATTCAAATTCAACAAAGCATCTCATTAAAAACGTAGTCGCATATGAAGTGTAACATCTCACCTACCTTCTGACGACCAACCATAGCACCACGCGCTTCCTGTTACTTACTTCCGTCCCTTTTCACAATGTCAGGATGGAAAATTAATACACATTAATAAAGAATAAATTAAAAGGTTTTAGGTTAATATAGTATATAATAAATTTCAGGTTAATATGAATTATCAATTTACCGGCATGAGCCAGCGTGGTTTCAGAGGACGTGGAGGTTTTAGACCCCACGATGAAGAAAATTTTCAAAGTTTTAATAACAATTATGGTTATGGCAATAATAATGGTAATATTCCACCTCAAAATCAATTTAGAGGAAGAGGACGTCCAGGACGTGCTTCAAACAAGCGCTCTAACCAGAGAATGGAGAGCTTCAGAGATAAGCAAAGCGTCGCCCGTCACGATGCGACCAGAGAGTCCATCAAGGATGAATTATTTGCGGGAGTTGAAGACGAATTCAATCGTCTCGCTGAACAGCAAACAATGCAAGCAAGCATGCTGTCAGTTACCAGCCGCGGTATTGGATTTGGCACTACCCACCTCACTTACGTCGCAACCCAGTATGCTGACAATATCCGCATCCCAAATATCTATTCGCAGTTCCGAGCCTATTTAGCTCTTTTTGAAGCGAAAGTTATGGACTTAGTTCCACATTATCCTATTCTGCCCAGATTCGTAGAAGAAACAAATCAACATCAAGGGCTTAACGCCGAATTTTTAAAGATTATTAAAACGTTCACTTTTGTTCCTACACCCATTAAGAAACTTATCGACGCCATTGGCATTTTGAAATTTGAAGAGAAAATTTACATTCCCGTTGTTGCCGCAACTCCAGAGGTTGAAGGTCATCCTAGGCCTAGACCAGAATCTACAGTTTATTCCAATTTAAGAGCCACAGTCGTAGCGCTTTCAGATCCCGCCACACCAGTTAACGTTCGCAGACGCTATAGAGATAGCTGCGCCATCCCTGGTGCAATATGGAATGATAATCTTTTACAAAATGCAGATGAAATTATTCCTGCTGATCATGACTTTGAAAATGGCCTCAGAACTGACATAATGATGATTTTGCCATATTTGTCGAGGCTTCAGAAACACGCTCCCAAAATGGTTGGAGGACCCTTAGAAAATAAAACGATTGGAAAAGCTTCAATGTTGTTAAGTAATGAGCTCGAAACTTTGAGATGTCCAGATAGACATATGAACGAGCCGTTAAATGATTATTATCAGCGATGCATTTTAGAAGGAAATATAACTGAATACTCTTGCTTAGGCAAGTTATCTGCAGCTGATAGAATAGAAGGTCAAGTTAATTTGTTAGGAGAACAACCTTCTCTCCTTAATTTGATGCGGCCCATTTACCTTTTGAGAGATAATGCTACCCATAGTTATATTATGCGCTCAGATTTTAAATCTGTATGCCAAGTGATGTACGCATTGTAGTTCAGTTTACTTATCGAAGGAAAACGTAAAACCCGTCCGGTTAAAATAGACGTAAAACTAATATTTTCAAAATTTTAAAAGATTGAAGCGGTCTTAGTATAGCAGCTTAACGACCTGCAACCGCACTCCAACCAACACAAAAAAAAAAAGTTCTCTGATTGCAACGGTTTAATGAGTGGGACAACGTCTGAATTCCTCACACTGTACAAATAATCTGTAATCAAACTTAATGATATGTGGATTACATAGGAGCACCGTACCGAGATGGATGCCCGCGCTGGTACGTTCCAAGCGCTGGAGCTGTTCGGTCAGCAACTGCTGCAGGGTGGACACTACGCCAGTGTCGACATACAGGAGAAACTTAACAACATGAGCGACGCCAGACAGGAACTCGAGAAGTACGTATATATTGGATTTAATTTAATCTTTTAAACAAATTGTAGTTGTTTCTTAAGTCTATTAACATACAAAGAAATATTCTTCTTTTTCCACATATATTCACATTCTTAAAAGAATATACCTGAAGGCGAACATATTTACAGTAAAAACAATTTAAAGTCGTAATATATTTTCATTAGCATATTAATAAAACTATTTTTGGTTTGTTCGATCGATGTTAATTTTAAACTGTAAATTCAATAATAATATAAATTATTTTATTTACCTACTTCTGATGTTAGTTAAATAACAATGAACGGTGCCAACGAGTTTTTATTGCGAAGTTATTACTAAATTTAAAATCTAATTTATTAAATATTGGGTATTTCGGGACACTGTAATTTTTTTCATGTAGGTCACTCCTAGATTCTGTTTTTCACATGAAGTAATTCTAATAGACTTATAATATTAATTAAAATTTATCATACACATACACGTCTCGCACGCTATTTATGTCCAGGAAGGCAGAGACTATAGAACGCCATTTAATAAAATGTCAGTGAGTAATTTAGGAAATCCAAAATGTACAAAATTTCCCGTTATCTAAAAATGTATCCTATCTTCTCAGGGCGTGGGTAGGTCGCCGCATGAAGCTGGACCAGAACTTGGAACTCCAGTTGTTCTACCGGGATTGCGAACAGGCTGAAGGCTGGATGGGTGCCCGGGAGCAGTTCTTGGCTCCATTATCTAAAGACCAAGCTGATGCTGGTGACTCTGCAGACTCCACACAACCTGACAACGTGGAACAGCTTATCAAAAAGCACGAGGACTTTGACAAAGCTATCAATGCTCATGTAAGTGTTTCAAGGGCCCTCGAACTATAGCTATGTTTCACAAAGCAAAAAGTTTGACAACTAACTATAGTTGAGAGAAACCATCAAAATTTTATAGGGTTTTTCCGAGAGGAAAAATAGCCTAAGTTACTCCTTACATAGACAGCTACCTGGTAGTAAAATATTATCAAAATCGGTCCAGCCGTTTAGAAGATTACCCGAACAAACAGACAGACAAAAAACCTGGTTTTTAGGCATAGGTATCTTGCAAATAACCGTGTGAGCATTAAAACTATTATTTTGACATTACAAATAGCCACTTCAATTTTTTTTATTTATATAGATTAAGAAATAAGAGCTCCCTACTAATACATAGGTACAGGCTGAACACCTGTACTGATGGTAATAAGGCTTGTTAATATTGCAATGTTAATGATTAACAGGAAGAGAAGATCGCCCAACTGCAAACTCTGGCTGATCAGCTGATGGCCACTGAACACTATGCGGCTGATGACATCGACGGCAAGAGGCGTCAAGTGCTGGACAGGTGGCGCCATCTCAAGGAGGCTCTTATTGAGAAACGATCTAGGTACTTTCATCAACAGCTTTTACTAGTCCAATGCTGGACATAGACCTCTCCTTAGAAAATAGGTTTTGGCTCTTCTTAATCCGTCACCACACGGATACTAGGTACTTTACTAATTCATTATTAGTTTTCACTTATAACTTTGGTGATAAGCTATTTAAAGCTAAGCATGAAAAAGCTTCGTTTTCGTACTTCGCTTGATTCGTATTAAATTGTCTTTATGTATAGCTACAAACATTATTATTTTTGTATAGGTTGGGTGACGAACAAACTCTCCAACAATTCTCTCGTGACGCCGACGAAATGGAGAACTGGATCGCCGAAAAATTGCAGCTGGCAACTGAAGAAAGTTACAAGGTATAAATATTTTATTTGAAAACATCACCGTATTGTAAAAACAAACAACAGTATGTTCAATATAACACTTGTGGCATCCATGGGGATAAAACATGCTTCAACCGCATCTAATTCTATTCTGTATTAAACTAAATGGATATTTCTAATCCTGCTTTGCGCAGAAAATTCTCGGGCTATCTGCATTTTACCTCCTTTCTAAGGAGAGGCCTCTGTCCAGCAATGGACTGTTAAAGGCTGTTGATGATGATGATCTGCATTTTGCAACAACTTCTACTTAGAACTCCAATTATCCGAAATACTCCGGATAACTCCGGATTTATCTTTTGTGTTGAAGAGACATCACATCTGCTTCTTCTGCATAAAAACAATATTACCGTTCTTATTTGTTTCACAGGACCCTGCTAACATTCAGTCCAAACATCAGAAACACCAGGCCTTTGAAGCAGAGCTAGCCGCCAACGCGGAACGTATTCAATCAGTACTAGCTATGGGCGGGAACCTTGTACAGCGTGGTCAGTGCAGCGGTAGTGAAGATGCTGTTCAGGCAAGACACTATACTATTACAAACATACTAAATTTTGCTCGCGTTCTTGTCAATTCCAGGTACCATTCGGCACGTTCAACCTTCGTGGTTATCAGTTTCAAACAGATAAATAAACTCTCTTTTCAACTTATAATTTTATAGCCCATTCGCGTTTAGAAAATAGTGACGCATCGATCAAGCCACGCCCCATGGCCGATCATCGTACGAAACGATAATTTATTGACTATGGTTAGGATTTGATAATAATAATAATAAATTATGTACTTTCTTAAAAACGTAAAAGCTCACTATGTGTGATAAGAATAATTAAACTGTCTCACAAATAAACGTGACTAAATCCTTATTTCGGCAATAGCATTTATCTGAAATTAATATAAAGCCGATAAAATACCGGTAACAATAATGCAATGGATGTATGTATGGATGGACGTAATTTTATCTTAAAATTGTAATAACAAGTAAGTTACAATTTTTTTTGTAAGTTACAAGTTGACCGGATGGCGTGGTGGTTTGTTTAACGGACTGCTATTCCAAAGGTCGCGGGTTCAATTCCCGCTCAAGTCAAACGTTTGTGTGCATGAACATTTAATGTTTGATTTGGTCTGGGTGTTTCTATGTATAATATGTACGTATTTACAAAAAAAAAGTATATATGTATTTATATCAGTTGTCTAGTATCCACAGCACAAGCTCCGCTTAGTTTGGGACTAGATGGCGTTGTGTGAATGTGGTAGATTATTATTATTATAATTGAGTTACGGTCCGCCGGCGCAAGTGCTGTCTACTGCTGTTTCTGTGGAGCAATTACTCCCTTGGTTTGCATAGAAATAAAAATTTGTAGATGATAGGTGGATATAGTGATAGCCTCCAAGCCAATATGGAGAATAAATATAAAAGAAATTTATAATATATTTTTTAAAACATTTATACCTTTACTATTTTAAGTTTGACTGCACGGATGGCGTAGTGGTTTAAGCGGTCACCACGCCGCTTCCTACTACGCCGAGTGTTGTGGGTTCAAACCCCACATGGGACGACACTTTGTGTGATCCACAAATTGTTGTTCTGAATCTGGGTGTTCTTTGTGTCCGTTTCATGTATGTTTGTAAAGTCCCCCGCGACACAGGATATGTTCCTAATGCGGGAGTTGTCTTTTTTAACGACAACGACAAACGACAAAAGTTAATTTTGGTAAAAAAATTTGAAGATATTAAAACCTAACATCCTTGTACAGGCTCGCTTGGCGTCCATCGCTGACCAATGGGAGTTCCTTACTCAAAAGACCACCGAGAAGTCTCTTAAACTGAAGGAGGCCAACAAACAACGTACTTACATAGCTGCCGTCAAGGATCTCGATTTCTGGTTGGGAGAGGTGAGTCGTTTAACTGATTAGCATTTGAAATTCTTTCTAAAGTACCTACTTTTGCCTCGTCCTACTAATCTGTGGAACAAATTAGATAATAGAAAAATATAGTATGTCATATTCTCTAATTTCAAAGGTCGAAAGCTTGTTGACATCTGAGGACTCTGGCAAGGACTTGGCGTCCGTTCAAAATTTAATGAAGAAGCACCAGCTGGTTGAAGCTGACATCCAGGCTCACGAGGATAGGATTAATGGTGAGACATAGTTTACTGTTTTCATTTCAATTTTTTATTATGTTAATTTTGTAAGGTGAAAAAATATTTTTTATGGCCGTATATTTTAAAGAACAATAACCATATTTAATTGTATACAAAATGGATAAATACCAATTTTGTATGTTAAACTTATGATTTTGCCAGTGCGAGCGGTCAATTTGTATAATGTTTCACGTGTAGATTTGTGGTTTCAATTTCATGTAACGATGATCATAGGTAATGTAGGTCATGTAGGTTTATATTTATAAAAACAATTTACCATAGACACATAGAGGACCTAAGATCTATTACCTAATTTGGATATGCTGCTGGTAAGATCGTACCTTGATAGTTAGGCAGGAGTGTAGTTAGTTCCTTTACTGAGGCTCCCTCCTCGTTCGACAGACATGAACCGTCAGGCGGACGCGCTGGTGTCGTCGGGTCAGTTCGACAGCGCGGGCATCGGGTCGCGTCGCGCCGCCATCAACTCGCGCTTCGAGCGCGTGCGCAACCTCGCCGCGCACCGCCGCGCGCGCCTGCACGAGGCCAACACGCTGCACCAGTTCTTCCGAGACATCGCCGACGAGGAGTCCTGGATCAAGTGAGACGCTTCTATCTATACCTATATCTCAACTCATCTCAATATATCTTTATTTCATTTCTTTTTTAATATTTGAAATCGCTTCTTGTGTAGACTCTAAAGTCATAGATCAACACACACAATAGCAGAAATCTCGGTTTTGTAAATTTTTTTGCAAACTAAATATATACGTATCGAAAATCTCTTATATGCCTGTACCGATCTGCAAGCGCCCATTTCCGAGGGGTTGAGCCTCATGAGAAGAAAGGGCCAACAAAATCAATGCCATTCTTTTAATCAACAGATGCATTCAATGGCGTCATTAAATATACACAACATTATTTTGATGTGTGCCAATATGTAGATTTCAAGGACTAAAAGTGAAAAAGGCAATGAAGAGAAAACAAGATATAGAAAAAGATGGAATAAAAAAGAAATTGCAGTAAAACATTCAAAAAAATATGGAAAATTAAATAAAATACTAGACCACACCACATTTCCACTACGAAATCATATCGTACAGATCTTCTCACTAAAATAATAATAGACTAATGCGAACAATATTAGATAACCAACCATTTTACGATCTTCAATCCATAGAGAAAAGAAACTCCTTGTGGCATCAGACGATTACGGTCGCGATTTGACCGGTGTCCAGAATCTATTGAAGAAGCACAAGCGTCTCGAAGCCGAGCTGGCCAGTCACGAGCCTGCCATACAAGCCGTGCAAGAGGCCGGCGAGAAACTCATGGATGTCTCCAACTTGGGTAAGTTGATCGGTTAAACTCACTTTGAGTTATAACCAAAGTTAGAATAGCATAAGTTAAGACCGATATCATTTTTTTTTAAATCAAATTTTTGACTTTTCGAATTTAAATGCTTGAGATCAAAAACCCAGAAATATTTATATTAAATAATACTAAGCAGGTTTTTGACACAACATGGGAATGTTAACTAGACACAACTTGTGTATTAATATGAAGACTGTACGAGTGTCGAAGTAAATGTTTGGTAAGAAAGTAATTTTAAAGTAAATGAAAAAAAAAAGGGTTTCAATAATTTTCAGCTTTATAAAAACCACCTACGTTGCCACAATGATGTTTAAGTCCTCGTATATTGTTCTCAAAACTATTTCTTATACACATAGTTTAATTAGAAGCCGATGTAACGAGGTCTGTATCGTAGGTGTGCCTGAGATCGAGCAGCGCCTCAAAGCGCTCGCCCTGGCGTGGGCCGAGCTGCAGGCGCTGGCGGCCGAGCGCGGCGCCAAGCTGCAGCAGTCGCTCGCCTACCAGCAGTTCCTGGCCAAGGTGGACGAGGAGGAGGCTTGGATCAGGTCAGCCCATTTACCACCGTTATTCCTGTTTTATATTTAAATATAATTAGCTAAATGTAATAATAATACTTTAGCCAGGATAAAAGGTATTCTATTACGTACATTACCATAATTTATGTCTCGGTTTCTAAGGATGGTATCGTGGTTTTACAGCCTACGAAAAAGGCTAATAAATAAGATCTCTAGATTAAAAGAATCATATATATTTATCAAAAACAACAAACCATCACAGTAAAAATTATACTCTTTTACTTTATAACATCAGTATACATTAAACATAACATTCATAGTAGTGCAAATAGAGCAGTAAAATGCAAGATGGACGTAAATCAAATCCGCAAGCGTGGAACAGTGTGCGAATGCACCAGGGGCCATCAATGTGAAGTCTAATAATTCTCATTCAAATGATAAAAAAAATATGTAGGCTAATTTACTTACTTTTCTATATTTGAATAGTGAGAAGCAGCAACTGGTAGTGGTAAGCGAGTGCGGAGACAGCATGGCGGCTGTGCAGGGCCTGCTCAAGAAACACGAAGCTCTGGAGGCCGAGCTGGCGGCCAGGGCCGAGCGCGTCAAGGACTTGTCCAGCGACGGCGAGCGTTTGCTAGCCGAGGGCAACTTGCATTCTGATGCGCTGTCACACAGGATTGAAGCACTACAGGTATGTTGGAAGAAAATCTATTCAAGTATTTTATTGATGTTATGCCGAAAACTTGGTTCAATGACATGTCATTCTATTGTTTTTTACTTATTGATCGTAGTTAGAGGCTGCAGCAAAATCTTTTTAAATTAGGGAGTTTACTGTTCATAATAAATTATTTAGACTGTGTCAGACAAAATAAGATTTTATTTTAAAAATATAGTAATAAAACGAATATTATATAATATTACTACAAGAGTGATTTTCACTTTCAATTTTTATGAAATATTAAAAAAAAAATTTATAAGAATTGAAAAATAACACATTTATCACAAAATTGTTATTTTGAAGTTATGGTGTATTATCATACATAACTACTAAATAATCACCGCCATTTCAAAATCTAACTTACTAAATTAAATTTTATAATAACCTTTTTAGCTGAGTGCTCTGTTAAGCTAAGATTGGCTGTTGTTACCACTTTAGCATTACACGTTCGTGCTGAGACAAAATAAATGAGCACAATGACAGATTGAGTTAATATATTATGGTATGTGTGTCTGTGTGACAGGCCAAGGTGGAGAAGCTGACGGGGCTGGCGGCGCGACGCAAGGCGGCGCTGGTGGACAACTCGCTGTACCTGCAGCTGCTGTGGAAGGCCGACGTCGTGGAGTCGTGGATCGCCGACAAGGAGACGCACGTGCGCTCCGACGAGTTCGGCCGGGACCTCTCCACCGTGCAGACGCTGCTCACTAAACAGGACACCTTCGATGCCGGTGAGGAAACTTATGAATTTGTATCCCTTTTATTGACTTTAATGAAGGTAACAGCTGAAAAACTTTCCTAAGTATATTTTTTAAGATATTTTTTTATTAGTAACCCAAATAAAAATGGGTTTATACTAGACTTGCAACGAATAGTATATTCGGCAGTATACCGAATACCGAATATTCGGCGAGGCCTCTGACCGAATAGCCGAATATTAGGCAAAAGTATTCGGCTGGATTTTAGCTCCAAAAACTTGTACAGACGTGAATTAAATTATGTACCTGTTTTATGTACCTATGACTACTTAATAAATGATTATAAAAGAAATGAGAACCTTACCCTTCTAAATTTTGATTACCACAATAATTCAAATACATAGAATCCTCCATTTTTCCAATTCAGAAGATGATTATGTACCTGTGTAATGCACCAATGACTACTTAAATGATTATAACAGAAATGAAAATATGAATATATACGTAATCAATCGATTTTAATTTTTCATTTTACCAATTATTTCTCAATGACAAAATATATTATTTAAGTATTCGGTATTCGGCCGAATAATATATAGATATTCGGTATTCGGCCGAATATAATAAAAGCAGCCGAATAGGCCGAATACCGAATAGTAACCGAATATTCGTTGCAAGTCTAGTTTATACGTCTACAAATTTTGAATTCGAATGAAGCCATACATTTACTCGCAAGATATAGCTACCACCTTATTTGAGGGCTCCAGTTATAACGGTACACATTGACGTAGGTTTGACGGCTTTCGAGCACGAGGGTATCCACAACATCACGTCGCTGAAGGAGCAGCTGGTGGCGGCCAACCACGAGCAGACGCCCGCCATCGTGAAGCGCCACGGTGACGTCATCGCCCGCTGGCAGCGCCTGCTCGCCGACTCCGCCGCGCGCAAGCAGCGCCTGTTGCAGCTGCAGGACCAGTTCCGCCAGATCGAAGAACTGTACCTCACCTTCGCTAAGAAGGTAAGTACTTATAACAGACTCACGCAATTCTTCCTGTAACAAAACAAATGAATAATGTTGTTAGAAACACAAGATTTAAGAAATAAAAAGCTTTACGATGAATGATCTCTTCTTGTGCTGCTCATTAAAGTTTTCAAATTCTCTCCTTAGTACTATGTTCAGACCACAGTACGACCCTTTTAAAGGACAAAAAAAGTTTATGGTAATGGATATCTTCTTATTAAATGGATCATGATTTTTATAGCCGATTGACGAATAAGATATCTTAAATATTTACCACTAGCTGAGACCCGCGGTGTTACCCGCGTTTGTTGTTATAACCGCGGGCAACGCCGCGGGGCGAAGCTAGTCTAAAAAAAGTAGCCTAAGTTACTCCTTATGTCATCAGCTATCTGTCAGTGAAAGTCCCGTCGAAAGCGGTCCAGCCGTTCCAGAGATTACCCGGAACAAACAGACAGACAGACAGACAAAAATTGAAAAAAATGTTATTTTGGCATATGTACCGTATCAACATACATATGCATTTAGTAAAAAGTGGTTATTTTAATATTACAAACAGACACTCCAATTTTATTTATTTGTATAGACAAAACCATCTTTCACAACTAACTGCGGAGTTTGTAAATAGTGACAAAAAAAACTTAATCAGCTTCGTGTGGTCAGAGGCTGAAAGGCCTACAACGTGCTTTTAACTCCTGAGTTGCGGTCGTTCATGGGCGGCGGTGGTCGCTTTCCATCGGGTGACCCGTCTGCTTGTTTTCCCTCCCTTTCATAAAAACAGCAGCTGTCTATCGTTACTAAGACTACTAACATAGGCTAAAGTTTGTCTTTGTGACCAAAATAAAACAACGTTATGTGTTTCTTAGGCGTCCGCATTCAACTCATGGTTCGAGAACGCGGAGGAGGACCTGACGGACCCGGTGCGCTGCAACTCCATCGAGGAGATACGCGCGCTCAGAGATGCGCACGCGCAGTTCCAAGTGAGTACATCTATACATACTTAATGGTAATCGAAATGCAACCGTTTTGTAGCTCTTGTGTGATCTTTGAGTATTATTTTCAGGCTCCCCTCACTTTCTATTTAGTCAGTTCGTTCTTCCAGTTTGATCTTTGCCGGTTCTTTCCTTTTGGTTTCGTTTTCTGATTCTTTAACCAGCTAAACATACTGGTGTTTCACTACTTTTCACATATTCGACTATAATTATTATTATTGTTTTGAAAAAATCTATTGAAAATTTGTCTTATCAATATAACTAAATAGCAATGGTGATAGCTAAACACTGTATACTGAACCTTTGAACGATTTTAATATAATTGTACCTGAGAATCGCATTATTCTGATATTATGAATAGATCTCAAATTTAAGATAAAATCAAATTATAAATCATCTTTTAACTTGTAAAATGTCTATCTTTAGGCGTCACTGTCGTCAGCCCAAAGCGACTTCGAAGCCCTTGCTGCTCTGGACGAACAGATCAAGTCATTCAACGTGGGCGCCAACCCCTACACCTGGTTCACTATGGAGGCTCTTGAGGAAACCTGGAGGAACTTGCGCAAAATCATTGGTGAGTATTCAGTTAGACATTTAATGTCATTGAATTTTCCACCTGCAGCATTTGCCACATGCAGTTAGACTAACAAAAAAGCCTTAAAAACCCATCGTGGGTGCTAAATTCAAAGTGAATTCAATTTTACAAAATGGCGATGCATTTTTCTGAGATCACAAATGTCTTTGGAATTATTGTATTATAGTCATTTTTGGATCAGAACCAGTCATGACATTGATTTGAGTTATTAAAATTGGTGAATTACTAAAAAAAATTTACTACACACCTAACCTAATGATATTGTCCATTAGCTGAGCGCGACGTAGAGCTGACGAAGGAGGCTCACCGCCAGGAGGAGAATGACAAGCTCCGCAAGGAGTTCGCCAAGCACGCCAACGCCTTCCACCAGTGGCTCACCGAAACACGGTATGTCACGTGTGTTATAATTTATGTAAACATTGTCTTAACATTTGATATCCCAATGTTGTTACAAGCAATATTTAGATTATATTTAGGGCATGGGTATTGTTGTATACATTACTCTTTTTTGCTGAAATTATTGATCTTACAAATTTACAAAACTACACACAGTTGTAGTGTCTATTTAACACTGTTTTATCAATTTGAATGTACATAAATCCTTTCTAAAAAAAGGTGACCCGACTTCAAACATTATTAAGACTTCTAAAAACATAGCAGCAATCGCGGTTGATTTGCTAGCATTTTTTTAAGAGTTCCGTTGTCTGTCTCCGTAACTCATCATCCGATCTATATGAAATAAATGGATCCATTTCGGAATAAACCCATTTTGAACAAAAAAGAATCCGTCTATATTTGACGGAGTTATGCCCGAACATACATAAAAAAAAATATAAATAGCCGAATTGATAACCTCTTCCTTTTGAAGTCGGTTAAAAATAGTTATATATTGGTTTTTGTAATTTAAGTTGGTAACACTTCCGTTAAGCACATTAGATGAATGTTACCATTAAAAAAAACATAAAAAGCAACTAGTAGTTCTCTTAAAGCAGGATCTGAGAGTGCTGTGTGTGTGGGTTTAAAAAATTGCTTTGGCAGTAAAATAGCATAAATTGGAATATAAAAAAGATGCGTTACTTATAAGCTCACAAAGGCTTCTAATGATGAAATTGAAACTAACTACATTGATTAAGGTGTTGATATAATGGTGTGTATACAGGTACCGGCTGCTAGGCTGGGATGGGTAAAGTATTCAGATTGTCGCGTGCCTTTACTAAATGATGACGGCTTGGCAAATTAATTATGAATTATTTAGCATTTCAGTAAAGTCGGCAATCCTGCGTTACCGAATTAGTAAGATTGCCGATTGTGATCGTTAAATGCATTGATGCTCTCAATTTCTTAGAAAACATTATATAATACTATAAAGTTAAGTATCGTTACAGTGCTGGAACGTGCCGTTACGTATAATGGTAATGTCTTACTATTATATTTTATTCGATCAGTAGAGACCTAGAATTAAATTAGTCAAAAAAATATGTTTTGTCTTTCTAGATTTTTATAAGAAAATATGAGCTAAAAAACGTCTATGATATTATATGGTGGGGTTGCGTCAATGAAAAATGTTTTGTGTTACTTAATAGTCTACTATTTTTTTTAAATTGCAACGATTATAGTACATTTAGTGAATTGTGTGATGTTATCTACATAAATGTAAATGTATTAAAAATTTTAACTTCTATAAACACTTTTAAAGTTCTTTAAAACGTATTCAAGTGATTTTATAATTGAGTTTTTTTTAAAGATAACTTACCGCACTAGTAATAAATATCGGGGTAATAAACAGACATTAACAACCCAGACTCAGAACAACAATTTGTGGATTACACAAAGTGTTGTCTCATGAATCGGCGAGGTGACCGTTTAAACCACTGCGCTATCCGTACAGTCAAAGTGAATTGCAGGGAATTGCGAATGTTTGCCAAGTCGTCATATTCCGTCGAACGCACTATCGTGTCTTATAAATGTTTGTTCAGCTTATTACAGATTGGCTTGTCTAAATTGTTACATTACTCAAATGACACTTAAAAAAATGGAATGTGCTTTAGACAACACGACTGAAGTAAAACTTCTTTAGCTCCATCTATATTTATGTATATATATGTATATGTGGATGTGTAAAGAAAACCCACTGCTCTCTCTTGCTCTTACAGTGTGATACAGACAAAAGGCTGCACTGTTTTCGATTAACGAAACGTAACTGGCTATGAGAGAAAAAAAATGTGTGCTCGCACCTCTCTTTTGTCAATACAGTAATATACGAAACGTAACTCTCTCTTTTTCTATCTTCACTAATTTATATCTCCCTCTCAACTTCTGTTCGCCTCGCCCGATCACACTTTTCGTAACGCCAGTTTACTCTTGGGGAGCGTGCGTAAAGAAGTTTTACTTCAAAAAACAAAACATGTAAATAGGTTTTTTACTACTCAATCTAACTTAGTATGGGTGTGTATTAAATATACTAATTTCACAAGTTAACTAGCGTAACGCAGAAACGCAGCGTAACGAATTTATTTGGTTTAGATTAAAATAACAAAATAAGTAGTAATGTTATTATTTATTGTTGCTTTTGTTATATTTGGAATAATCTTTGTTCTGAACTTCCATTTAAAGATAGAGTGAACATATAAAAATTAAAATCTTCTACATTTAGTAGTATTTATAGTTATATTAACAACTAATAATTTTTTGATACATGTGATGTTACGAATTTTAAACAATGGGCAAAATCTTGTTTTTTTAGATATATGTTTTTGTTTTCAATGTAGAAAAAAAAAGTAGTCTTCAATTTACAGGAGACGGGCTGGGACTAACAATATCTATTTTAAAAAGAGTTGATGTCAGTGTAGTCATATAAATAAAAAAGAATGATTCCAAATGAACAGATGAGATTATGTTTGGGCTCTTGTACTCCTTTATGCTATATTGCGTGACAAATGTCCGCAAGCGTAACAAGTAGTTATATAACGTATGTCCATTCTTGCAGCACGTCGATGATGGAGGGTACGGGTTCGCTGGAGCAGCAGCTCGCCACGCTGCGCCAGCGCGCCGGGGAGGTGCGCGCCCGCCGCGCCGACCTGCGCCGCCTCGAGGAGCTCGGTGAGTCTCTCCTACATATCCTACGTGGTATACTCGCTGGAGCTGCAGCTCGCCGGGGAGGTGCGCGCCCGCCGCGCCGACCTGCGCCGCCTCGAGGAGCTCGGTGAGTCTCTCCTACATATCCTACGTGGTATACTCGCTGGAGCTGCAGCTCGCTACGCCAGCTTCGCGCTTTAAAATGTCTCTCATCATAAGGTTCTTCTACTATAAGATAAACTCTATATACAGTATATTTCAATGTTATTTGTATACAATACACAAAAAGTAATACTTAATTTTTTAACTTTCTTTTATTTAGTCATCAAATATTTTATTTGTTGAATACATTTCAATAATGTTTTTCGACAGGTGCGGCACTTGAAGAACACTTGATCTTGGACAACAGATACACGGAACACAGCACAGTGGGGCTTGCCCAACAGTGGGATCAACTCGACCAATTATCCATGCGCATGCAACACAACTTGGAACAACAGATACAGGCCAGAAACCATTCAGGTAAAGTGTAACATTTTAATCTTATATCGTTTTGTATGTATTGAATAGATATATATGCACAAATAGCGTGTTAAACTGTTCATACAAGGAATGTACTTCTAGGTAGTAGTCAATAATGACTAGACAGTCACCTTGACTAGTCATTTATTGACTCATTTAAGTTTTAACAACAATTGTAGTCTATTTTTAGATTTAATTACTACCAAACAATCACTAAAAAAGACTTTAAAACTAACCAATGATTTCGTGTCCAAATTAATGACACTGATATCTGTGTAATTTATAATCGATTTTTTTAATTCTTTTTAATTACTTTTGTAGGTGTAAGCGAGGATGCTCTGAAGGAGTTCTCCATGATGTTCAAACACTTCGACAAGGACCGCTCCGGTCGTCTCAACCACCACGAGTTCAAGTCCTGTCTGCGGGCTCTCGGTTATGACCTGCCCATGGTGGAGGAGGGGCAACCTGATCCAGAGTTCGAAGCTATACTCAGTGAGTAACAAAGCATTGACATGATCTATGTAAACTCTATAATGATTTATGAAGTTAACAGTTATAGTTTTTGTTTGATTTTGAGCATCAGAACACCAAGAGCAAGTGTTACCGTAATCACCGAATAATGGCTGTGAGTTCTATGGTGTGTCTTTTTTATGGTATAGGGAAGAGACTACCGCAACCCAAAGATAGACCTGCTCACAAGTGCGTTGCCGTCCTTTCAGTTCCTCCCCACAAAATCAGAGTGAGGGTTTAGCCTCTGGTCACTTCACTCACTCGGTGAAAATCAAGAAAAGAAAGAAATCGGACATTTCGTGCTAGATGCTTCTAAAATACATATTTACGTTTCGAAAATGGGCTATGACTCTGTTGCAGTAATACACGTGTCAATATCATATAAAAAACAGTGGCATCCCGAGAGCGCCGACAGAAGTGAAAACTTGTTTTTTTTTATTATTACAGGATTTTATTTTTATTTTTTCGGTTCGTCAAGTTCCGACAACTATGTTTTACGTATATACAAAATATATGTTTATATTTTAACCTTTTATACGTGACATAATAAAATGACAATTCCGCGCATCCGTGAATCCCAGTACAGGACTCGTCACAGATAGGGTATTTTTTGAGACCTAGGTTATAAAAAATCTAGATTTTTTCGAAAGGTGATTGAATTTTGTATAAAACTTCTTAGTTTTATAAATAAAACATATTTATTTACGTAATTTCCTACATTACACCTGGTTTTGATTGGAAGTGCAATTGTTATAAGGGAAATAAAATGGGTTAACTAGAACTTACCTTTATTATCCTGTTTATAAAAAATAAAACACTTTCTGGATGTAATATTTCTTTCTTCTTATACAACCTTGAGTATATTTTAAAATAAAAAGCAATTGTCATGTGTTTCCATACATTTTTTTAATACTGCACATGTTTATAAACTTTGAACAAAAAAAGGCCACCGGTTAAAACAACAAAAGTCAACTTTTTTATACCACAGACTTCCCAAATTCTATGTGAGAGGAGACCCTGTTCTTTCGTGAACAATTCGTAATACGTTGGAAAGGGACAGAGCTTTAGGACGCAATTTAATAGACATTTAAACAAACATCTGTGCCGCGTCCTGTGACAGGACGCGTCACAGATGCGCGATTATTGACGTGTCCTGCTACAGGACTCGTCACGGACGAAAGGATATATAGTTATACAGTCAATGTATTTCAACCCAAACTCAACTCTCGTGTAAACAGGGACAATATTTGTAGTCACCTATATACAGAGGTGTCGGCAACGGTAACAGTGTCTCGAGTTCAATGGTTTTTCCCATCTCAAAGTACACATTCAAGAAGTTATCACTACAAAAATTAGTAAGCTGTCTAACATTTAGCATGACCCTTATACAAAATTGCCCTTTTTCCAGATGTGGTAGATCCAAACCGCGACGGTCAAGTGTCCCTCCAGGAGTACATGGCGTTTATGATCAGCAAGGAAACTGAGAACGTACACTCCTCCGAGGAGATTGAGAACGCGTTCCGAGCTATCACCGCGCACCAGGACCGCGCCTACGTCACTAAGGAAGAGCTTTATGCTGTAAGTATAATACATAATACGTCGTATAAAGAATTAGATATCCACAGAATCTTGGCTTACTGCTACAGCCTTGGCTAATTAAAGGAATTCACTAGTAGCTGGACTCTCAGCGAGTCTCAAGGGGAAGTTTAGCTGGCATTTGAACGAATTTCATCAGAGAAAAGTTTGAAATATAGCAAATGCAATTCTTGATTAATTACTAATTTATATTATATTATGGAAAATAAATCAAGATTGACCTGTTTTATTCTACAGAACCTCACCAAGGAGATGGCAGACTACTGCGTGGCTCGTATGAAACCTTACGTCGATCAGAAGACAGAGCGCCCCATCCCCAACGCGCTCGACTACATCGACTTCACGCGCACGCTCTTCCAGAACTAGGCTCGCACACGTGGCGCCCCGCGGGGTACTGATCTATTATAAGAGGAAGATGTACCCACAAGACAAACTTAAATAACAGAATAATTTTGATTAGTAAGTGTAAGCGTTAGATGTTCTATTAAAATTTCTTCAGTACGGATCTTTTGTCTTGCGCATATTGGGTATTCTTGCTTTTATTTTATATCAATTTTTCGTCGCTTTATATAACGCCATTAAACTTCAAAAACAAACTTGTTTTTTTAATTTTTGTGCTGTCCTTACCTTAAGCGTGTATTTTGCGGTCAGGCGCCCGTTAATAGCTTGCATTACTTTATAGCACTCAATTAAGTATTTCATTATTCCACATTATATAGACTGAGTATTAGAAACAAAATCTGGCATTATTATCTAGAAGTTTGCTTATTAATAAAAAGTATGCAAGTGATGTGTCGGTTCGGAGGAGCGTTCTTGTGTTCGATACTCGAGCAAGCGCGTGGTCGAGGTGACGTCATCCGTCACGTGACTACAGTACGTAGTCAACGCCGTACCTCTGGGTACGGGAGGGCGAGAATTCCTTTTCTCTGATGCGAGCAGAGAAATACGAAGCTGCCGGTTTCTATGACTTGATACAGTTTAGCATTTCATGTTTGCATATTTAACAAATTTTATAATTTGCTAGAAGTGTTGTAAGCTAAGAGTATTAAATATTTTATTATTAACAAGTTCATTGTGCTAAGATTCTATTTATTTTTTGTAACCTTCTAAAATATATCAATAAATATTTATTTCAAATTAAATTGTTTATATTTTTATATGAAAATAAAACAACCACTCATTCATACGGTCCATTTATGTAATAAATTATCTGATAAATGACATTCAATTATTCTATATTTAATGTTATACACTTATAATTTTCACTAATTTTAAAATGGTGCTTAAACAAAAAGATCATATTAAAATGCATGTCCAATTAAATGTATTATACGATATTTTACATATTTACAAGTGTCTTGTTATATACATTTTTGACATATACTTTTTATATTTTTTTACTATTTCTTATTCATGCGTATAATGCCTTGTAATTACTCTCCGTCTGTACTTGACGCGTCAGTACTAAAACGGTAAAACAAGCGAGTGTTACAGTAGACGCTACGGTGAACATCAACCATTGGCCAAATCAAATATTGTGCGCTTCCTTTATACATACACTTCCGTCCCTTTTAAACCGACTTCAAAACAAGAGGTTCTAAATTCAAAATCACTCCCATAGATTACAGAAAAACGAGAGGCAAGATGGTACACATAATAATAAAATCTATGAGTTCGAACGACTTTTAGACCAAAACATTATGAGCGTGATGTAATTGTAAGTTACATATTGAGACATATAACTTAGACAAGGTATGTTCACAGTTTAACTTGATAATAAGTTTATTCTAACAATAGGTCCTATGAAAATACTACCTCAATAAGAATCCCTATTGAAATTCTTTATGCTATTGCAATCATGACTAATTAAATAATTCGTTTTCATAGTACTAGGTAAACACTATGCCACAAGAGGCCATTGCAAATCAAATTTTAATAATATGAGGGTTATTATGGTGTATTATGGATCCCAATGCCTAAACTAATCCTAAACTTTAAAACATTAGATATTTAACTATAGTGTTTCGGAAATTGTTCCAAAAATAAATTATATGTTATTTAGAAATGTGGATGGACATTTCTTTAAAATAAGATTTCTGTATTAAAAATAATAATTTGCCTACAAGAGCTTTAACATTATGCAGAATTAGTACTCGTAATGTTATTTACGGGGTTTACAATGCGGGGTTTTAGTATATAATAACCTAAAAGATGACCATACCTTTATGTAACACCTATATCAGTATATATTATACCTACATGTTTAAGGGATATCGTTCAGCACAACAATACAATGCATTGTTTCAATATGTTTGGAGAATCATAACCTTTGTGGATTGATATCTCTGCAATTCATTTTGTATAATAATCTGCTATCACTCAATAAACCACGTAAAATAATGAGATAGCCAGTGTCGTCAAGCCAGACAAGTTATAAATCCGGTTAGATTTGCGCTCTCTGTAGCAAGCGGAACTCCTGCTGCGAGACGAGCGGCTGCAGCTTGTCGAGCAGCGCTTGCGGCAGCGCAGCACGCGGCGGCTGCAGGTAGGGGATGGCGAGCAGCTCGCGGACCGCGGGCCGAGCTCGCGCGTTGTACGTCAGGCACCACTTCAGCGCCGCCAGCAGCGAGGCCGGGAGGTCTGGAATGTCACACGCGCAAGTTAATTTCACCCTTAACTTAGGGGTACACTACAGAAAAACTTTATTCCGTTAGTCACATACTAATTTAAGAGGTTTTGGCCTACTATACAACGCTGGCCAGACGGGTTGGTATAGGGTTTGTTTCAAGTTTTCCTTCTCTTTGCAGTGCTGTTGTCCTGCTTAATTTATACTCTTAGTCGGCTCATACGACACCCAATATATGAATAGGGGCGGTGATACTGAATTCCTAATCCGTCACCATACGGATTATTTAGTCGTAATGGTCCTTCAAAATGTACGATAAAATGTGTTATAGTATAGTGTACCGAAAGAATCGATTTAAGTGGCGTACATTGGAAGAGGCCTATGTCCAGCAGTGGACTGCAATAGGCTGATGATAATGATGATAGTGTATAGTGTGGGCAAATATTCTATTCTTGATAGCATTTAATAAACTTGTCACAGTGAATAAACTTTTATCGCACAGAATGATTTGCGTCAAGTATAATATTATAATGAAACCCGCATCAGTGAAAAATATGCCTTCAAAATTTAAAAAAGTTCGCTGCATAGGTCAGTTTCTTGAGAGCCTGTGGTTGTCTTATTTTAGTAGGCGCGAACAGCAGGTATATAAAAAGCGCCCGGTTCAAATATCTTTAATTGTTCAGTGGAAAAGATTTTGATTATTGCAATGTGACTTTTTAATTCTAAAACTACTTCGTTAAAAAAAGTTATAGATTCGAATGGCCACTCACGCTCAACGGGCGGGTAATCGATGTGATGATTGGGGTCGAGTATGGCGGCCAGCTTGGCGAGGTTTGGAATGTGACCGAAGGGCGTGCGTCCGTATACCATGCTGTACAGGATACAGCCCAAAGACCACACGTCCGAACGAAATGAAATCTATAAAAAAAAATTAGTAAAAAAAAAAATTTGTTAATTTTTATTTTAAGATTGTGTTAAGTAAGTAAGGAACAGTGTACTGGGTTAGTCTTAGCCATTATATTATGAGCTTACAAATATTAAGTAAGTACAGCATATTTAGGAACGCGAATGTTTTGTCTAAGGATCAGCAATTTTTTTGGTATCTTTAAATTTAACAACTGGACAAAGGAAAAATTAAAAAATGAACAAAATAACAACTGCAAACAGTGAATTGTTAAAGTAAATCTAGACACAAGGCACCGTGTCCAGCCAAGTTCAAAGAAAAGGAACAAGCTATATGTGTAATATTACACGAACCATTTGGAGCTACTTCTGAATCTTTCACATCAACAGCCTTGAATGGCCTCTCTTTAGAAAGGAGGTTTTGGCCTACTATACCACGCTGGCCAGACGGGTTGGTATAGGGTTTGTGTCAAGTTTTCGTTCTCTTTGCCGCTGTTGTCCCCTTAGTCGGCGTTTACGACACCCAGGGGATGAATAGGGGTGGTGACATTCCGTATTCTTAATCCGTCACCACACGGACTTTGAATCCATCACAACTCGAAAATTGAAGGTTTACCTTAATAGGTGCACTTCCATCGCTGCCAGCGACGCCATAGCCGCCCGCGCCGCCCATGAGCGCCTCGGGGCTGATGTACGAGTAGGTGCCGGTGGCCTGCGCCCGCACCACTGACGTCGCGTCGCTGCTGATCGCCGACGCGATGCCGAAGTCTATCAACTTCAGCCGACCGCACACCAAGAGGAAATTTGCCGGTTTCAAGTCCGCGTGGATTACACCTGGTCCAAAATTAAGATTATTATTAGAAATAGTGTCTAGTTATAGAATTATTTGTATGATATTATGTAGTATGCTAGTCAACAAATTTACTATTACAATTTCTAGATAACCCGTTCTTAGGAATTGTTAGCCAGAACAAAATATGGAGAAGGAATTATATTAATATTTAATTTATATTAATATAAATTTTAATTTAATATTGGTTAGTGACCCTGACTGCTAAGACAGAGGTCGTGGGTTCGATTCCAACCCATTTTTGTGATGAGTACCATCATTCTTATTTTTTTTAAAGACAACTCCCGCATTAGGAATAAGTATATCCTGTGTCGCGAGAGACTTTACAAACATACATGAAACGGACACAAAGAAGACCCAGACTCAGAACAACAATTTGTGGATCATACAAAGTGTAGTCCCATGTGGGGATTCCCGCGCGACCGCTTAAACCACTACGCCATCCGTGCAGTCATTTGTTCTATGTCTGGTCTATATAATTTGTCTATAATATGGTCTGGTCTATATAATTTTCTATAATATGTATGTATTTAATAATATACAAGTATGTTTTTCAACTGGCTTATCATAGTTTGGGATGAGGTAGTGTGTTGATGAGGAGTGCAGATGTGTGAGGTTGTTATTATTATTATTACTAATCACATGAAAGCTAACGTTTCCAACTAACTCCACCACAGTTGGTGTGTAGGTACTGTAGTGTCGATTTTCTTACCATTTTCATGTATATAGTTGACCGCGTGCAACATCTCCTCCCAGTAATGCAGTACGAGCGCTGGAGGTAGGCCGGCACCTCGCGCCTTCAGGAACGACGACAGATCTGTCTCTCCCACTTCCAACACCATGCGGAGGAACTGGTTCGTGCGGTCGTACTCACTGAACAATAACAGTACTATTCATAGACGAAGATTGGTATTTTTTTTAATAACTTACATTAAGTATCCATACTTATATTATAAATATGAATGTCAGTTTGTTTGTTTGTTACGCTTTCACTAATTTTTTAAACTTTCTTTCATCAATGGAAAGCTACATTGTCAGCGAGAAACATAGGCTACTTTTTACGGCGATTGTATAAATCGACTTGTTTAGGACATAAAAACAACTCTTACAACGCCCGCACTAGGAATATATCCAGTGTTCGGGGGACTTTACAAACATACATAAAATGGACACAAAGAACACCCAGACTCAGAACAACAATTTGTGGATCACACAGTGTTGTTCCATGTGGGGATCTAACCCACAACAATCAGCGTAGTAGGAAGCAGTGAGGTGACCGCTTCAATCACTACACCATGTGTGCAAGCAACCTATATGACTATAGCCCCTTTGCTGATTTTGAGTATGGTGACTGCTACCTGTTTATTAGAAGACTACGAAGATTAGCCCTGATATGTGCCCTCAGGTGACTGCAGTAGCCAACTTTATGTTTGAATGTACACGAACATGTGCTAAATGTTAGGATACCATTGATGTAATTGTAGAAAATGGCCTTTGGTGGTCTAGCCTTTATGAGATCCGATCTTACTTGGCTTTGTGCTGCTCTTCAAAAGTGTCTTTATTACTATACTTACTAATCAAAGAGCCGAATAACACGGTCCGAGTTCTGCAATTCACGCAGTAGCCGCACCTCGTTGATGTAGCCCTGCGCCAAGTCCTGATCGGTGGCCAGATAAACGCACTTCACAGCGTATTCGCATGATGTACCTACTTCTAATACCTACAGAAGAACAAAAGAAAATAAAATTCTGTTTCTAACAATATTTCTTAAGCTTATTGTAAAAGTTTTTGTTTAATAACAATATTCAAGATTTGATTGTATTATTATTCTCTTTATTTATTTAATATTCGTATTATTAAATTTTTAAACACACTTAATAAAAAAAAACATATTTAAAAATATAAAAAATAGTAGACCACCGACTTAAGGTACAGGGACCAAGACACTGGTTATTGTTATTATTTGTATGGTTGTGTATTATTCAATCGAATGCAGAGCTGTGTCCGTTTCTACAATGTGATCATGACCGTTTTGCCAAGAGCAATATGATAGAGAAGAGATGATTCTTCAATGTTAATGTTAATGGCTATGCTCAACTTTTATTATGTAAGGTCCTCTAATATCCGTTTAGACATTTAATTGACAAAAATATTAATAAATGTGAACTCTGGTGAGAGTCAGTACTCAGCTACAAAAAGGAAAAATTAAAGCAAATAAAACCGGTTCCAAGGTTTTGTACAGGATGCAAAAGACCTGAGGTTCATTAGCAAGCCTTAAGGTCTGGTACATCATATTTTCATGTGGCTGTTAGGCGGCCCAACTCTAGCATTGCTCACATTCATTAATCAAATCAATTATTTTTTTTATGTTAGAGGGGGCAGACGATCAGACAGGTCACCTGAAGGAAAGTGACTATCGCCGCCCATGAAAGTCTGCAACTCAGGAGTCAGAAACGCGTTGCCGACCTTTTAGGAAGAAGTACGCTCTTTTCTTAAAGGTCGTATAGGTCCGGAAATACCGCAGACGAAAACCCGTTCCACAGATTGGTTATTATATATGGTATTAGTCCGAACAATTCCTCGGAGCATTCTCCATGATATATGAGAAAATGCACAGTGAAGCCACAACGTATGAATCCACAAGCCACGTAACGTCAAGGGATCGACCCGATCGGAGATGTTTGGGCCTTCGACGATTCGAGTCGCTCTTCGTTAGATACGGTCCAGAGGGAGAAGTTGGTACTGAGGTGCCCCTGCATAAAGATGAGAACAGTATTCTATATGCGGCCGGTCTTGCGCCTTATAGAGCTGAAAACGGTGGGCCGGATTGAAACATTGCCTCCATCTGTTCAGGACACCGAGCTTCTTCGAGGCCAATTTGACCTTACCCTCTTAGTGACCCCGAAACTAGACTTCAACACAATCACTCAACACAATTGACTTCAAGGACAATATGACGATGTCTAGGATTCTGATGCTGGCTGAGGCAGTTAGGGAGGTGCTCTCAAACTGAGGTGATACGACAAATGGTATCTTTTTTGGGGTGAACGCACATACCTGTGCATGCTTCTCTGAATTCTTGTAACACTCTTCAAAAAAGAGAGTGGAAAGCTATTAGTAGCTGACCTGCACACCTTCGTTTTGTCTCAAAAGAAATAAATATTAACTGTTTTGCAACACTTTTTGTTAAGTCTTGGCTTCTATTTGTTGTAGCATGATATAGCCAATAAACCTTCCTCAGGAGGAGTTCAGATAAACACTTACAGAAGAATTATATATAAAGATTATATATTATTTGAATTTTTTTAAATTCATGTAGTTCTAATTTAATTAAGAGTAATAAATACAGAATTTTTTTATAAGTTAATTTCAGATGCTATGTCTGTCCAAAATGTGATCCTATAAAAAACGACTTGACAAACATTTAATTAAATACTAGGTACCCGCGACTTCGTGCCTGCCTTAGTGTTTTAGATTCCTGGACCGGGCAAAATTTGTAAGGGTTTTTTTTAAAGGAAAAATAGCCTAAGTTAGTCCTCCTTATATCCTTTTTTTTAATACATACATATTATACATAGAAAACACCCAAACTCCAAAACAAACATTTGCCGATCATACAAACATTTTGTCTGATGCGGGAATCAAACCCGAGACCTCAGAAAGCAGCCACATTCGCTACTACTCCAACATGGAGGCAGTCAATAAGCATCATTGCTGAAGAAACTAATTCTATCCAAAGTACAAAAAATATTTACAAATTTAAAATGAAATTAAAACCAACCTTATACACTTCACTGGACCCTCCCACACCTAACTTTTTTATAAACATATATTTCTTATCCTTTATGCTGGTTGTTTTAAATAGAACTTTTGAATTGTTGTTACTGATAGGTCCCTGCGGATATGAGGGTGTGGCTGCGTACGATGCAGGCATTGGCTTCTTGTTCAATGGTGTTTCAGGTACAGGAACTTGTACCATTGGTTCGGGCCGTGGAGCTGGAGGCGCAGGAGGCTTATCCTTTTGTTGACTTTGTGTAAATAGCTCACAACGTACCCTATCCCTGTTCTGTAATATGGCCTTCTGAGGGGTTTTCTTATGACTTTGCTTTACTGAGCTTGGTGTAAACCTTCTAATACCTGATTTTATCTTAGGAGTGGCCGACTTCAATTTTTGGGCACTACCTGGTAGTTTGACAGCCTCTGGAGTTTTTTTTGTAGATGAATTTTGTGATTTCATATTAATATTATTTTGTGGCATAAGTACATTGCGTTTCTTATGTTCTGAAGTTGGGTAAACATTAGAATCTATATTTTTATTGACACTTTGTATGATTTTATCTTTCGCGGGATATGTCTGATTTACCAGCCAGTTATCACTAGAATTCTCTTTGTCCTGGTCATTATGGGCAAATTTTTTCTCCGAAGCAAATGCCTTAATGTCTTTGGGTAGGGATTTAACTGTTGGAGTGAAAAACTCTTTGTTTATTTTCGTCTTAGGTGATGGCCTTTTGGGCACTGTTTCACCGAATGAGTTATCACTTTCGTCAGCGGAGGAAAAGCTTGTATCGCGGCTGTCTGCTGAATTCTGTAGAGGCATCAAGTTGGCCATCAATGCCGACATCGGCATTGGCGCAAACTTGATGCTATTCGACGTCGATTCCCTGTTACCACTCATTTTAAATAAAACTAATACATTTGATAGTTAATTAATGTTAAGTCAACACTTTCACAGTTGTTTTCACTTGTGTTACAGTGACAATGAAGTAAATATTTCACTATTATTTTAACTTTGAAAGTATAGAATCCGTTGAAGTTTTGAACTTTTGACAATTGAGTTGTTGTTTGCTGACGTTTCCGACAGAGTTGCCAAATATGAAAAAAAAATGAAATCACAGAATAATGTATTTAACTCAATAATTTTAATTTCTTTGACATGCGGAAGCACAGATGGTCAATTCTCGTAATAAAAAATCTTTCAAATTTACTTCCGATTTACTTTAGATCTAACAGTTGATGTGAAATAAACTAACACTAGGCCCTCAACTAGGTGGTGCGACGACCTGGTGAAGGTCGCAGGAAGCCGTTGGATGTGAGCAGCACAGGACGGGTTGTTGTGGCAAACCTCTGAGGGTCTAGTCCAAGTTTATTCCACATCAACTTGCTCTCAATGGTGACCACTTTGGCGTCCCCACTGAAAACTGCTTGCCCTATTAACTATGTTAGCGCGTATCAGATGCCTCTATGACATCGTTTTGGGGTCACAACTTCAAAGGATGTCACCATCTTTATATGAATTGTTTTTTTTAGAAGGAAAGGTGTTTAGCATAATTGATTAATTCAAACAGTTAGTTTCGGTGACACATCAACAAAACCTAATCATTTTAAATAATACAAGGACGGGTTTGTTACAACATTGACAACTCAAGAACGGCTGTACCTTTTTGGCTGTATTGTTTTCCGCCCCTCATATCGGAATTAATGGTGAAAACATATCATAAACAAAAAAATAAATTATTTTTTCATATCTTACATTTTTAATAGGACTCAAAATGTAGTGATCAATGGCTTCGAGTTTCCCTCTATAACCATCACTGCCGGGGTGCCCTAGAAATCAATCCTGGGTCCTGAGCCCTCACCTTTTTATTTTGTTTGTCAATGATATTGGACCTTTGTTTCACTAACTCACACTTTTTAGTGTATTCTTACGACATCAGGAGTGCCATAGCCTTGGGCACGCCGTTATCGCTGAGGTAAGACCCGTTATGGAAGATTGGCTTGAGAGGCATCACGGAACCCTCTCATACCGGTTGACGCAAGTGATCACCGGTAAAGAATGCTTCTGAATCACCTGTGTCTGATCAGCAAGGAGCCAACGCCTGAGTGCCATCGTAGACACAGCCGGCGTAGGTGGAGCAGAGGCGTTGCCTCGTGGCGGCCATCGGAGTGTTAATTCTCTCGCTCGGTAACATGATTGCCGCCATGGTACGGAGCGAGAGTTCGTGGAACTCCGACGTCTCCTTCTGCGAGCAAGTTATGCTTGCAAAGGAGATAGCGGAGCGGGACCGGGAGAGGTTTAGAACCCGGAGCGGCAGACCCGGCTACGAGCCAGGTACCGCAGACGACTCAGGCGCCGGAGGTCGCAGAATGACCTCCGTCCTCCATAAGCCCATCTGTCAGCCTAGCAGAAGCAGGCCGGGGTGGTGGCGAGAAGCCATCCGGAGAGCGCGTGCCCCTCCGTGAGCATAAAGGGGACATAGGGGTTCCCACACAGGAGGGGGTCATTTACATTAAAAAAAGACGTGCGATAGCCTACAAGACGCTTATTTTTACAGGACGACCTAAACCAACTTTCACTATATTGTTTTCGAATTACAGCATCCCTAAATGTAAAGCAATTGCTTATACAAATAAGAAGAAAGTCATAATACACAATTTTAATCTACACGATATTGCTTTACAAAAGGTTGACTAGAGAGACTAGGTTGACTAGAGAGTCGACTTGAGTGTCACCATTGTCACAACGTTATTAGTAAATCTATTTAAAAGTATGACTTTGTTATTTCAGATTTCAAGCGCCTGTCTACTTTACAACTCTTATAAGAACTCAACTAGACTTTGCGGTTCCAATTTGGGATCATATTTATGACAAGTGTGTAACGCGACTTAAAATGGTTCAAAAGAACACTACAAATTTCATCACTCTAAATTACCCTATCAAGATCTTCCTGTAGAATATAAATTATTAAGCCTGGAGTTTATATTTCTCATGTGTATGTCGTTACATGGCATATGTAGTAATAAGTTTGATTGTAGCGGCATTACTAAACGCTGTGTTATGTGGTGCCTAAAACTGTATTGCGGCGCGAGATGCGCGTACCTCAGCTGTTCCACACTGCTAAATGCAGAACTAATGCCGTTGGACGGGCTCCTCTCCGTCACATTGTGGCAACACACACCTTGCCAATTGACATTTTCGGTGTGTTCCGTTGCAGCCCGGCCACAGTCGATTTCGTAATTTATAGACGTATCAATTAAATGTTCTTTTATTGTTCTTGCTGTACCAATTAATATATTAAATGTACCACAAATATATCTTGTTTAAAAAGAAATTGTTTGTGGCCGGGCTGCACCGTATACGTTGCAGCCCGGCCACCTGTATATTTTCTGGTAGGATGCTCAAAATGTTCTAAAATATAAACCAAATAAATGTTCCTTATATGTTCTTTATTTTTTCAATGAAATAAACCAAGAGAAAGGTATGCATAAACAAAAAAATATTTCAAATAAATGAATAGTCACTAAGCGCCTGTAGAACTAGAATAGCACGTCGGCTTTGTTAATTTTTATTTTTCTAGAATCAGCTGAATCGATGCTTAACTTTAATAGCAATGCAAGTTGCAATGCGGTGAAGTATGGAATTAAATGTATGAGCAAAACAACAATAAGTTACAATTTGACGGATTTTTTAATTTTTCAGTTGAATGACCTTACAGAAAAAGTAGATTTAAATATTATTCCAAGTTATTTACTCTTACAAGGAAAACACTTTCATTTATTAGCAGTGATCGAGTTCGTTGATACTGTGCGTCATTATGTTAACTACCCACTGTAAGCGAAAACGATATAGATGGCAGTGTTTAGATGACCTGAGTAGTTCAATTTCGTGGACAAATAATACAGTTATATCGGTTCATTGTATTATCTACACAGTTTTGTAAGAAATTAGTTATAATAGGTACTTTGATTAAAGTAGCACCTAATAAGTTACAATACTACCACGACTGCGTTTGACTGCACGGATGGCGTAGTAGTTTAAGCGGTCGCCACGCCGCCGAGTGTTGTGGGTCCGATCCCCACATGGGACAACACTTTGTGTGATCCACAAATTGTTGTTCTTAGTCTGGATGTTCTTTGTATCCGTTTTATGTATGTTTGTAAAGTCCCCCGCGACACAGCATTGTGATACGAAGAAACAGAAACATACTTCAGCGCCATACAAAGACTACACACCGAAAGACGGAGTAGCTACTAAATAAGAATTGCTGATCCTGTATCGCGATATGAAGAATTCCCTCGCCGATTAGCATATATATAACTTCCCAACATCAAATGTTGGGCCGCGGCCCGCCAGGCATGATCACCTCGCCTGGTCGGAGGATCCTCCCTTTGTGTTGCAGGGACATGACACCCGTTCCTCCACAGGATATATTCCTAATGTGGAAGTTGGTTTTTATTTTATATCGTATTTTGTTTCTTTTCAATTTGTTTATTTTTATTGATTTTGAATTGTACAGTATTTTTATTTTATTTTTAATTTTTAATTGTATAGTTGTCTTATAAAGAACAATACTACGAATTTTTTAATACTGTAAGTTACAATTTATTTTGATCTTTGTCTTTAAAAGCATATAATTTAAATTTACGGGTTTTTAATAATTGTATAATAATAATCTATCTTGTTATTGTTTAATTGCTAACATACTTACATTGCTATTTTAGTCCTACAGGCGCTTAGTGCAAATTCTTATTTTAAGTCATTTTTTGTTGATGCATACCTTTCTCTTGGTTTATTTCATTGAAAAAAATAAAGAACATAAAAGGAACATTTATTTGATTTATATTTTAGAACATTTTGAGCATCCTACCAGAAAATATATAGGTGGCCGGGCTGCAACGTATACGGTGCAGCCCGGCCACAAACAATTTCTTTTTAAACAAGACATATTTGTGGTACATTTAATCTATTAATTGGTACAGCAAGAACAATAAAAGAACATTTAATTGATACGTCTGTAAATTACGAAATCGACTGTGGCCGGGCTGCAACGGAACACACACATTTTCGCACCATTGGCACTCAAAATACAAAATTGCAGCAACTCAAATCTTTATTAAAACTTCGCATTAGGCTTTAATTGCCAGAATCTATTTAAAATAAAAAATCAAAACAAAAAAAAAAGTAAACTACACACGATCTCATGTCATTATCACAGAGTACATTGTAATATACTGTCATTATTTTGCGGACATTGGTGTGAGTTGCACGTTCACTCAATAGATTTAGCCTTATTTAAATTAGCTATTACCTAACGTGTAACTGTTAAATGACCTATTAAAGAAACTTAAAATAATAATATGAAAGTTAAAAAAACATGAAAATTATCACACGGTTTTTATTTAATTATCCCTTCCTTGGTGTGAAATAAATGATTTTTTACTGTCATTCAACTGATGTTGAAGTTTGAGTTGAAAATTTCTATCAGAACCGTTTTGCCTCCTTAGTGAAAAAATGTAGACAGAATTATTTGTATAATTTTCATAATTTATATTTAAAGCTTTTAAAAAGTATAAATCAATGCTGTATTCTTAATTATTTGATTTTCCACCTTTAAGAGTAGGTATTATATTTTCTTCAAATTTGAATGTGACCAAACGCTAAGTAAAATGTATATATGCTTTACTCCATTTTTTAAGCTGCTTTAAAAAGTTTTATTACATATAGGTAGTAAATAAAATAATTCATTTCAAAGTTATAATTTATTTGTGTATGATCATTGATCAGGTACATGAAGAAAAAATGAACATGATTATAATATTTATTTCTAGAATAATTTACAGTAAATGATTAAAATAAAATAAGAATTAATTAATACATTTAAAAACTCATTGCTTCACTTATTAAGAACAGTACGACTAAGAGGATTCATTGTCATCTTTAGACTTAACAGGATATCTGCATTCAACATGTCCACACTCGCACTTCATCCATTTTGATTTCACAGACCAGAACTTGTCACCATAGTCAAATCTGAAACAAAAACACGAAAAGTTACTTTATGGGCGAAATCATGCTATAGTTATGGTGTTATTCTATAAAAAAAAACATAAAGCATAGGCAAGGAAGTAAGGTTGAACTAACTAACTTAATATAACAGTTACATGAAAGGTAAAAATATCAACTAAAGTTACTGAAACCACTGTCTTTCTTGTTACGTTCGTTATAAAGAGTATTGATTAATTAGCAAATACGGATGTTAAAGACTAGGAATTTTTGAAAGATGAGGAGACCATAAAGGAAGTGAGTACAGAGATTACCACAGATTAACGCAAATGTATTTAAAATTGAAAATTTGCTTGCATCCCAAACATATAAGACACAAACAATATAAGAGTAACAATCTGTTACACTAGAATTTTGAGTAAGTGAGTGAGAAAAATGAGTACAGCTATTGTTACTTAGGAAAAAGTGTTGCCATCCCTGTATGCACTTTTTGCCTACACAAAAAGTAATAATGAGTCCTTACGTGAATTCTTCGTCTATGTCGATGTCCTTTGTGGCGAAGAGTGCGACGGTTGGCAGTCTCAAGTCCCTGGTTTGCGTGAACACGCGGACGGGCGCCAAGTTCGGTTTGCAGCTGTGGTTGATGAACCGCGCGGCACTGCCGTACTGAGCTGCGTCGACACATAGCTGCGTTTTGTCGTCGCATTGCTGGGAACAAGAGCGGTTATAGTATAGGAACAATAATATTTAAACATAGAATCTGATGCTGACGACGTAAAATGGGCTAATATCAATACGACAAAAATTATTTTCTAAATAACTCTCTCTCTCTCTCTCTCTCTCTCTTTCACTCACTCTCTCTTTCTCTATCTTTTCTATGTTTTTTTTTATTTGCTATATTAATTTTATGTTTACATACATACTGTTTTTTTTAATGAAAACAAAAATCGATCGATATCTTTAAATCAGCTGACACTATGAAAGATGATCAGTCGTAGACAGTGCAGGTAGCGTGGAGTGGGTGGTCACCTCGAGCAGGTCGCGTTTGACGTCGAGCGCGAACATGTAGTGGTCTGCGGGGCGCGTGTCGGCGTGTGGGTGCGCGAGCAGCTCGCCGCAGTAGGCGCCCAGCAGCGCGCCGCGCGGCACGGCCTGTCGCGCGCGCAGCCCCCAGCCCCGCGCGCCGCCCGCGCGGAACACTTGCGCGCGCACGCACAGCGACCCCGCCAGCGTCGCCTTCGTCACCACGCTATTGTTGCAGCGACGCTGTGTAATACGATATTCGACTATACTTCCCCGCGTGCCATTGACAATAGGAAATAAAAAATGTCATCTAAACCAGGAAGGTAAATTAATTTCCACGTTTAGTCAATTAAAGTAATAAAAATTTTTGCCACACTATAATTCAAAAATTATATATCATATGATAAAATTATTGAAAAATCTAGTACAGTCTAATTTAATTTTATAAATAGAGACTCACCAAATTGCATCCACAGGTCTGGTTACACTCAAACAGCATAGGTGGGTCGTGGAAGGGGAAGTTGGCTTGTAGGCGACCGCGCGTGTACCAGCACCGAACCCCGAGCGTACAACACGCGCAATCGCCTGACGAACAATCGCCGTCTTTGCAATCGCAACCCTGGAAACAACGAAAAAGTGAAATCAAACCATTCAAATGCCATTATTATTGGATCCTAAGCACGAGTTGGGTCTGATTTTAACCAGGGCCTCATTTCTGCTATTTTAATATTTTATCAATAGACTGTGGATGGGATGTCGTCGGAATAGTTTTGCTCTTTAAATTTCTTATTCTACTAACTATGTAAGACCAATGGCCCCCGATGACTTGTCACTGGTATAAATATCGTCTATGCCTTTGTAACAGTTTGGTAAACTTTACATTTTAAATTTGTTAGAAAATGATATATTTAATTTTCATGATATTCCAATGTGGTTGACATCACCATTGATGACCTATATAACTATATCGAGTCTATGGACACTGAATTTATGTTAGTAGAATACCGATATTTTGACCGAGGTTTGTGGCATCTCAATAGTGTGTCAATGGAATAACAGTGGCTTAGTGTGAACATAAAATAGCATTGAGGCCCAGGGCAAATAATTCTAAATTGAACTATGTTTATCAGTAATCTGTTTACCATAGAAGAGATTCTGGCAAATTTAGTATTGGACAGCAGATGTGTGTATTAAAAAAAAATCAACCAAGATGAGATCTTTGATTTGTGAAGTCGGTTTAAAAGTGTGTAGTTATCTGACCTGCAATGTCTCAATAGTGTTATCTACGCTGATGGGCTGCGGCGTGAAGTGTCGCGTGACGTACGTAAAGTCCTCGGGTAAAGTTGCGTCGTCGACTTCGTTCACGCACGGAATCGGAAACGGTTCACGCCCATTTGATATATCACTGTGATGAAATTAATTAAAATTATACACAAGTATTAATTCTGCAGGATAGGACAAAACCGTATACCAACCCGTCTGGAGATCATGGTATAGTAGGTCGAAACCTTATTTCTAAGGAGAGGCCTATGTCCAGCAGTGGACTGTTAAAGGCTGTTGATGATGATGTGATTTAAATTATTTTACAGTTCAGTTTTCTATTTGTAAAAAGTTCTCCGTTTTCTGGTGGATTATTACACTTCACATTCACAATAATATTATAAACGACTGCACGGATGGCATGGTGGTTTAAGCGGTCGCCACGCCGCTTCCTACTAAGCTGAGTGTTGTGGGTTCGACCCCAACATGGGACGACACTTTGTGTGATCCACAAATTGTTGTTCAAGTCTATGTGTTTTTGTGTCCGTTTCATGTATTTTTGTGAATCCCCCCCGCGACACAGGATACATTCCTAATATGGGAGTTGTCCTTAAAAATTAAAAATAAACGCGAAAGTTTGTAAGTTGTACGTTTGGGACTTCTTGACGCTCAAATGACTGGACCAATTTTTCATAAATTTTGGTATGGAGGTAGTTGATATACTGGATTAACACATAGGCTTTCTTTTATCCCGAAAATGTAGTATTTCCGTGGGATGTAGTATCTGATAAACCGCGGGGCGCAGCTAGTATATAAAAATTATGAGGTTTTAAGGTCATGGTACACTGTCACGACATCGTAACAGCACAGCTGCAGCACGATGTTGTGTCAAAGGACAATGGGCATTACGGCCCATGAGCGGCCATCAATGAAACTAGTGTCATTAGAAAGGGGAGATCTTTGACAACAAATATTGTTCAAGGAGTATTATGAAATACCGGTTGGAGAAAAAAAAAATAGTTAAAATACTGTTATTAAAATACTTTTTTTTTTTCATTATTATTTATGTATCCTAATATTCAATACTTTTTTACGTACTTTCGGTTTAATTAATTCGATTTTTTTATATGATCAACGCTTTGTAACTTTTTATCTATACAAGTTGCCGAAATAATTTTTTGCAGTCTTAATATATACGTAATTGTCGACTAAAAAATATATAGGACAGATGTGGCCGCCGATGGGACAAGCGCCATACATTTTTGCCCATTGTCCTTTCAGCTACTTCGAATTGTAGGTAACTTGTTAGGTAGCGCTCGCTGACAACCCGCCGTTGGCTTTTTATATGGAAGTTTCGAAATGTATTATACGACATACAATTTAACGATCAAACTCAAATGACAAGGTAATCGCTGGGTTGTAGAGGTGCCGTGAGGAGTAAAGGCGTGGTTTCTTTGAGTGAGTGGTGAGGCTCCATAGCACGTACCTCGAGAGCAGTTTGAAGCGAGACAGCTTGTCCCTGACGGCGATGGTCATCTGCATGTTGAGCGAGATGGCGCTCTGGCACTGCGCAGTGCACACCTCCACCGGTAGCTCACCTGCCGAGTTTTCTATATCCGTCTGGAAACAAATATAATGTGTATAGTTTATTCCTTTTTTAAACACACACGTGTACATATTAGTATCGCATTGGAAGGTGTCATGTTCTTCGCTTAGGACAACCTCCAACCGGTGATACTCTGTCCAACGGTTGATATTGGGAAGTCCGATACAGAATTAGCAGTGACTCCACAGTTTGGTGTGTCTTCGTTGGATGCCAATGAAGTATGTTTTTGTTTTACTGTATGTGGTAGTCGCAATACTGTTAAAAAGGGCCAGTTAAATCCTTACTTGAATTTTCATCCAGAAAATAAAATATGAAACTTGAAACATGAGACTTCTTCGTTTATTCTTCTTCATATATTCATTTATTAGCACGTACATCAATTTGTCACACTTCTACACTTGTATAAAGTTTTTGTTTCACAGTTGTGTCGAGTACCCATAGTACAAGCTCGACAGCTGATATAAATACATATATACTTTTTTTTGTAAATACATATTATACATAGAAACAACCAGACAAAATCAAACATTAAATGTTCATGCACTCAAATGTTTGACTTGAGCAGGAATTAAACAAATCACTACGCTATTATAATAATATAATATATAATATATTCTCCCACATTCACACAACGCCATCTAGTCCCAAACTAAGCAGAGCTTGTACTATGGGTACTAGACAACTGATATAAATACATATATACTTTTTTTTGTAAATACATACTTATTATACATAGAAACACCCAGACCAAATCAAACATCAAATGTTCATGCACACAAATGTTTGACTTGAGCGGGAATCGAACCCGCGACCTTTGGAATAGCAGTCCGTTGCACAAACCACTACGCCATCCAGTCGTCAAATATAATAATATACTTACTCTGACACCACGAGCAAGCAGCATAACGACACACGCGTAATGGCCCTGTCTCGCCGCTATGTGCCTGTAATGAAATTTGCAATGTTATACAGAATTAACAAGAAAAAGATACAAAAATTGATCAGATTTTACTGTGGTTATATTTTGCATATTTTTTAATTTTTCAAGAAGCAAATGAGTTGAGCAACTACGAAATGCGAAGTTACTGATACAGCGTTTTGGAAGTGAAAACTTTAGGCGCGTTAGGCATTTTTTGAGATGGGGAAAAACAATACACATACACATTCACACACACACACACACACACACACGCGCACACACACACACACACACACACGCGCACACACACACACACACACACACACACACACACACACACACACACACACACACACACACACACACACACACACACACACACACACACACAGAGACAGACAGACACACACACACACACCACGGTATATAAGTTTTCACATCGTTCGGCACTCCCGGAGTGTCATTGTTTTTTTTAATCTTTTTTTATCTTCTAAGTTACAGGATAACGTATACTCCATTCGTGTTAAGAAAATAGTGACGTATCGATCAAGCCCCACCCTGACCGATCAGGTTCTAAGCTTTCAGGGGCGGGGTTCGATCGATGCGTCAATTTTAACGCGAGTGAACTATAGTTTGGAAGGCACCCTGCCTTCCAAACTATAGTCCACTAGTACGTATACCACACTAGTGCTATATGTATAATGGATACGGGTAAAGTGCAATAGAGCTATTATTATATGAAAAAAAAAACATATTACAGCGGCGTGTCCCCGTGCGCGTTGGGGGCGCGCGCGGCGTGCGGCGCGAGGTGCAGCAGCACGCGCAGCGCGCCCGCGGCCCCCGCCAGCGCGCACCAGTGCACGACGCCGTTGCCCTCGTTGTCCGTCGACAGCGCGTCCGCGCCCGCCTCGCCCAGCACCCTGCGTCACATCGCAACATTCATCACTACCCACTTACCGCAGCTTCGCTCGCCTGATTATTTATATTCTTATGTCATGTTTCTAACTTCGGAAATGACGAACTTCCGTACCCTTCATCCCTTTTATACCCCCCTTAGAGATGAAATTACCGAAAATTCTTACTTAGTAACTTGCTTACAAAAATTTCAAATTTGTCAGTCCCGGCGGTTTCAGGTCTGTGTTTCTCTCTCAGCGGTTTAAGTCAGTCAGTCAGTCAGGGCAGACTGCTGAAGCATACTATAATATGGATACCGGTTCAAAGGTAATAAACCCAAATTAAACATTAAAGTTAAGATTTCATAAATAAATAACTTTTACGACATTCACTATGTTCATCATACAGCTATTCCGGCAAGGTATCGAGTCAATCGGGTTATTACGATATATTACGGGAAAGATCACAAATCTTAAGGAACTTTCTATGAAACTAGTGCGATTTATATACAAGCCGCGATACGGTGTGGATTCAGTCAAGTTTTGTGATACAGCAAATAAACAAATTAATAAATCAAACAATACAGGCGGATATCAGTAATTATTATATTGTGCTTATTATTGTAATATAATGTTTCGGACATCTGACACACAACGCCAACTAGTTTCAAACTAAGCACAGCTTGTCCTATGAAAACTAGATTGACTGATGGAATACTTTTATACTTTTTTTTGTAAATAAATACATATTATACATAGAAAATACCCATTATACAGTGAAATAAATTACTTTCACTTCTTATAAAAATAATTAGAGATCAAAGCCACAGGAACAGTTTCGGCTTCTAATCTGATCACGGTCAGACATTACATTGACACTTATTATTTTAGCTGCATCATTGCAGCTTATTAGTCCATATGGTGACGGATTAAGAATACAGAGTGTCACCCGTATTTATAAACGGATGATAATACAATACAAAAATTTGTTCTTACTTAACAACGTCGGTGTGGTCGTTCTCCGCGGCCCAGACCAGCGGAGTCCACCCGCCGTGGTCCCTGTGGTCGAGGAGCGTGGTGGTGCAGCTCAGTAAGAGGGAAGCCACTCGCGCAGCGCCCGCACCCCCCAGCTGGGCGCACAGGTGCAGGGCGGTCATACCGTCCGGACCCTGCGATCAATAACAGCGGAGTAACCATTAATTACGTCAGCTCAAAATAGGGATAAGTCGAATAAATCTCGTTGTAACTCAACTTCATATCAACATTGACAAAAAAAGAAGTTGTACACCTTAACTTTGAAAATAAAGAAAGATGCTAGTTTCTTGCTTCTGATACATATTTTTATTAAAACTTGCTAAGGAAATGGAGGACTTAGGAAAATAAATCTATTGTGTTTATTTTACTGACTAAGTATAAATGTATGCTGAAAATTTACATACCGGGGATTTTAATTTTCGTAATTTTAATTTACCCAGTGTTATTCATACAATAAAGACGATAGTAATGATACCTCAAAAGGCAAAATCTATCAAGCTGTTTAGGTTACAGAGTGTGCCAAAGAAATATACATACATACATACACTTGAAACCAAACACTCCTTTTGGCGAAATCGGGTAAAACCAATACAATAAAATAATAGAACTTCTTTGAAAATAAAATCAACCTCTTGATAACACATGGATTTTGTTGTGAATTATGTAGAAACGAACCTTGTGTAAATAATTTTAAGCTCACCGGAAAATTAACGTCACATCCTGCAGCAAGAAGATACCTAATCACTTTGATCAAATCCTCTTCCTTAGGTTTATTAAGAATATCTTCTGTGTCTTCAATCTTATCATCGTCTTTTACTTCTTTATCATCTTCTTTTCTCGTTTCATCACCTTCTTTTTCAGTCTTATTGATAGATTCAGTTGAGTCTTTCTCAGGTTCCACCTCCATAGCATCATTGTCCTTGTTGGGAATGTCTTTGATTTTCTCTATACTCTTTTTGTCGGGTTTTTCTAAGAGTGCTATAAATAAAACGCAATAAAGAATAAGTGAAGAGGGCTTTGAGCCATTCGTATTATTATTATGGGTATGTATTTTAAAAGTACATGTAACGTCATCTAACGAGAACACGCTTAACTAAGAAGTGACGTAAGTGTACTAATCCTGCATCGCGCAATTAAAGTTTTAGCGTCTATTGTTATAAATACAACTTGCCAACCATTGGGCTGCAGATCATGAACATCTCGCTAGGATGGACAAAACCTCTACAGTTGTTTAATGAATATTGTTATATATTCTTATCTGAATACTGAATACTGAGTAACATATTGTATGATGTATGAACTGAATACTGAGTAACATAACATTCATTTCATATGGAAAACACATATCTAACCTTTTGATTACGTAGAAATGGTTTTATACCCTTCTTTGTCGTGCAATTTTTTTTGGGTAGGCTACCTGTACTAAATATATATGTATCTACCTAGGAACTTTACATAAGATTATCAAATATCGATAATGAAGAATTTTCTTTGAACTATTTGTAATATCAGAAGATAATAACACTTAAACAGCTAAATCAATTAAAAGGTTGGTACTTATATAAACGGAACTTTGGAGCAAGACATTAAAGCTATTTTTGTATCGAATATAAAACTAAAACAGACTACGAAATTTTGGAGCATTATCACCACCAGTTTTAGGATTTCTAAAATTGACACGTGTTTTACGTTATGTCCTGATAAAGTTGCAAGCTTAGGCTAGTTCAGATATAAGATTATCTCAGCCGTGACTCACCAGTGATGGCGACCATGAGCGGGGTCCGCATGGTGGAGTCGGTGGCGTCGATGTTGGCGCCGGCGTAGTGCAGCAGGTAGAGCGCGGCGGCGTGTCCGCGCCGGGCCGCTGCGTGTGCGCACGTGCCGCCCGACTGCGACGGGAGCGGCTTGTTGATGTGGCTGCTCGATACTGGAATTTATCACTTTAGATAATTACACGTTTTTCTTATGACATGGGGGGCAAAGGACACGCGGTGACTTGATGGTAAGTGACTATCGCCGGCCACGGACACCAGCACCTCGAGAGTCACGAGTACGTCGCCGGCCCCTGAAGGGGGGGTATTTACGGTTCTTAAAGGTTTAAGGTTTGAAAGTCATATCGTATTTTTTGTGGTGTTTCAGCAGAAATCCTTTCAGTAATTATTTTATATTATCCATTAATTTTATTGTGTTATGAGCCTAGCTATAAATCAAATCAAATCCAAAATTAGTCAACACAGGAATTTGTGAAGAGGCAGATAGGGTTGATTAATGCATAAAGCTTGGGTTTGGGTTACTGGGTAAGTCGACCTAAATACTTTAAGGAGTTGTAGTTGCCATTAATTCTAATAGATTTCATTATGAAATATCATATCCCAAAACTTTCCATTTTCAAGATATTGGACTTGGACAAGATTTTTGCCTTGTATCTTGGATGCTTGTTTGCCAACTTGTTTGTAAAATTTAACGTAGTATTAAAGAAATACAATACAAACCAAGTAGAGGAAGAAGCTGATCTACAGGTTCTCCTTTCATGATAGCTTCGCATAACTGTGTTGGTGACTTTGCAGGCGTTTGACACAGCTGCTTCAGCTCTATCGGGGGTGAGGGTAGCAGGTCCTTGGGGATGATAGGACCTTGTTCCGATTTGATGCCCTGAGATGCGAAGCTTAGGTATGCTGGGGTGCTGTAGAATAATTAAGTCCTATTGTATTGCATGCATGCATTGCATGACATTATAACTTACTATTAAAAAAACTAGTCATTTTCAGGTGTCTATACTTTTTACTAAAGTTGCGCCAGTTCCTTTGGAATTGTAATTCATAGGCTACGGTAACCGCTTACCATCAGACAGGCCAAATGCCTGTGTGCCAACTATGTTGTGGAAAATAAACAAACATGATGATAGTTATAAAATATAACACCTATTTGCAAAGTTTTTGGCTGTTTTTTGTTATGGCTATCACTTTCACACGGGACAAAGAAATATTGTAGATACATTAGGGTAAAAAGACAACGTTTTTTCTGCCGTAAGACCCGTTCTGGAGGATTTGCCTCTCACACTGGCTGACGCAGGTGATCACCGGGAAAGGATGCTTCGGAGATCATCTGCGTCTGATCCGCAAGGAGCAAACACCTGAGTGCCCATCAGACAGGTGCTGCCATCTGTCACCCTAGCAGAAGCAGACCGGGGTGTGGAGCGATCGCACCCTTTAGCGAGTGGGGATCATCTATCAGACTACCAGGGATTTCCTCTCTAGGCTACTCTTGGTGCACCGGCTACTCGTACCTATAAAGACGTGCGTTGTTTAGTTGGTTCGAGTCCGACATAACCACCCCACCGGTTGTCCGGTGGGTGGTATCCGAGGGGATTGGCGTCCGAAAAAAAATGATAAGAAAGACGAAAGGCAAAGGAGTTTTTGGAAAATAATTACCTATTTATTTGAATATCTGTTTTATAGTAAGAGAAATAAAAAATAAATAAACTGTTGACAATTCGAGGTGGGTACTCACCACTGCACTCTCTGATCCGGCAAGAAGATCCTCTTGTTGCTGCACTTCATCTCAACCTTGACCTTGAAACACTCAGTATTGGCCGGCTGCCACCTGTATGAGTACACTCCGCAGTGAGGGCACCCTGGACGGTTGGTTTTCACGTCGTTGTATGGGAGACCACAGTCGAGGTGAAACAGATGGCCAGAGGAGCATTGGTAGAACGTACCCTGAAATCAAAGTGTTTGTTATAGCACGGAATAGACACTAAAAAATTCACTTAATAAATTTATAAACATTTTTACGTTTGTATTTACAAAAAAAAGTATATGTGTATAGATAGTTCAACTCAGTTGTGCGCGCGGCCCTATCTGACGCGGTGCTCGGACGACGACTGCCATACGAATGAAAGTTGTATATTTACAAGCCCACGCACACATAGGGCCGCGCGCACAACTGAGTTGAACTATCTATATTTATATCAGTTGTCTAGTACCCATAGTACAAGCTTTGCTTAGTTTGGGACTAGATGGCGTTGTGTCAATGTAATAAAAAAGGTTCTACCTCGACCGAGGTTGTCAGGTCATGGTACGTGAGCAGCGGCCGTATGCGCAGCCTGAGCGACGAACGACAATTACTTTATAACAGACTCTTCTTATTACAGTTTAGGTTATAAATATTGTGGTATTTAATGTTAACATGCTTTTTAGTCAGTTGTCTCCTAAAGTATTTCGTACCTCGGAGAGCACGTTAGGCAGTTGCTCCCGGTTGCCATACGAACTGTGGCAATCGTAACGGGTACTTGGAGCCCTAAAATGTCTGACTACAGTCTATCTATATAATCCTATGGACTATCTAGCTGAGACAGGACATTTAAAAATCACCTTTACCAAATAAAACACTAAAACGACGTATTTTAAAAACTATTGTCTCAAACAACATTAAAATTAAGCATAAAAATAAATTTCATAAGCTGTTTAAAATTTATTCAAATCTGTACATGAAAAAGGAAAACTAATAGTATTAACAGAAGATTTCTTTAACAGAAATCTCAATACAATCAAAATAATTGATAACAACGAAATAAGGTTACATTGTATTACAAATTCTAAGTTTTTACTCTCAAAATATAACAATCTACTTCTAGATGGTAAACAGACACTTAAATATATAGTACCATACCTTATTAGTCAGCTACCAATATCTTAAAGCCACACAATAATTACAAAAAAAGTAAACTATACAATATTTTTGAAAAATCAAACTATCAACAATAATAACTAAAAATTATACACACGAAAACATTAATATCAATGGATTCATTGAAAAAAAAATCTGCTTGCACCCTCAATATAGAAAAAGAGGCTAGTGAGAGTGGCGTTGAGTGCACAAACATAATTCACACAACGTTATCAATCTACCCACGATATACGTTTTATGTAATACAGGCTGTACCCTTTTTTTTTTCCGTGCGGAAATCCCCTCGGATACCACCTGTCGGTGGCATGTCGGACTCGAACCGACTAAAACCGCACGCCGTCTCGGGCACTAATAGCCGGGGATCCAGGTATACCCTAGAAAGGAAGTCCCTGGTGACAGGCTGTACCCTGCCACGCTTAGCTGTGGCACATTGTGGTTGCATATATGACAAATAAAAAACTAAACCAACGCAATAAGAATAGATAAAAATAATAGTTGAAGCGTGGTATATATCGCGCATTCAGCTCAATCGCAGGACATTTTGAGTTTTTGAAGTGTACACAAACTATCTTAACATTTTTATATATTACTAACATAGCTGTACCCTGCCACGCTTTGTTCTGGTACATTTTGATTGGAAAAAATAAATTAAAGTGTGTTGTTTAAACAAAATATTTACATTTTAGTCAGTTTATACAACAAACATATTAAAACAAAACATAGGTACTCGTTATGTTATCTCCATTGTATGAAAAGGTTAAATTAAATTTTCAATCAATTTATGAAATAATATTATGATGAATGTCAAAAATTTCATGTCAAAACTGTTTTTTTTTTTATAAAATACTGTCATTCATAAAGTCAGTATAATAACATTTTGCAACCAAGATATTTTTAAATAAATGTAAGGTGTAGGGGGCAGACGAGCAGACCGGTCACCTGATGAAAAGTGGCTATAAAAATATTAATGCATTGAGCCACTGACCTGAGTACAGAAAAGTCCGCAGGCGGGGCAGCACATGTGTCTGGCCAGCTGCGCGGCGTGCAGTGTACACGCCAGGAAGTAGGGCGCGCGGGGCCCGGCGCGCAGCATGGCTCCCAGCCCCTCACCCTCCGCCTTCCCCAAGACACGTGCGCTGTGAGAGCATCCTACCCGCACTCCATCCACCATCTCGACAGCCTGGCAGAATACTGGCTCTGAAACATATTTTATTATGAGTATCCAGTATTCCCTACGTGCGGTGACGGGTTAAGAATACGGTGTCACTACCCCTATTCATCCCTAGGATGTCGTAAGAGCCGACTAAGAGAGCAGACGTACGTAGGACAACAGCACTGCAAGAAGGAAAACTTGACACAAACACTATATCAACCCGTCTAGCCAGCGAGGTGTAGTAGACCAAAACCTCCTTATGCTGCATATGACACTTTTTGAGATTAAGAGCTTTACCGCCATGCCCTAGGTTGACAATATATACATTTGTTTATAATTAAGAATTTAAATAGAGTGAAAATTGTCTATTTAGAATAATTACGAATATTTAAGCATAATTTTATAAGTTTAAAGGCTGATAGAAGTGTGTATAGGATAAACATATATTTGCGACGGGTTTGTTGGCCTGATCATTTGTTGTGTCTGGGTGTAATTAATAATCATCACACATCAACAAGCCTTTAATAGTCCACCACTGGACAATTCCTCTCCTTAGATATATGAGGTTTTGGCCCACTATACGGTACGGTATCGGGTTTGTGTCAAGTTTTCCTTCTCTTTGCAGTGCTGTTGTCCTGCGTAATTTGCTCCCTTAGCCGACTCTTACGACACCCTCGGGATGTATAGGGTTGGTGACACTCCGTATTCTTAATCACCACACGGATTATTTTAAGAATTTATATATGTGTGTTTATGTAGAAGTATATCTGATTGACGACAATAGGATTTCTCTCATTATAACTGGGAATAAAATTATAGTTAGCAAAATGGGGCTATATTAATACGCTTCTGCCTACCCTACCCTTCAGAGATCAAAGACGTGAGTGTATGTTGCTAACCAATCAAAGAAATCAGTTTACTCTTCACAGTAACAGAGGCTATAAATGAACTAAAGGCAAAGTTAATATATTTTGTACAATTTATGTTTGAAACTCAAAATATATTTATTTCATAAAAAAAAAAGTTTGAAATCATCTGTTTTGCCGACTCTGAAGTCATACAACATACATACAACACACACAATAGCAACAATCTCTATTTTTTTCAAATATTTAGAAAAATAAACATAAAATTATACCTATCGAAATCTATAACATGCAAGTTTCAAGATAATATTTAATTAGATAATTACCAGTAAGTTCTTCAGGCGCTGCGTAAACATTACTCGGCGTTTCGCAGTAGCACGTAGCTATTACAGCGGACTCGTCAACTGGACAGGCCGCTTCGGAGCCCTCATCACCGCCAGCAGGGTTGCTAAACGACGTATTAGAATTCTACTATTTACTTGGCAAATACGAGTTCTCGCATACCTGGTAGCGATTTTACGCAAATATGCAAACTTTTTATAGAACTACCTGGATTCGAAACTCGTTCATGAAAGGTCGTCTTATTTAAATAAAAAAAATTAGAATAATATTGTTTTGTATTCCATTAGTTTAAGCAATTTATTTTAAAGAAAAGAGACTCGAACATCTTTGTAACCACTAACTCTGCAAAGCACAACAAAAGTTGTTACATCGATGTAGCCTCATTCGTATTACAGAGATATTGCCTTTTTCCTCTATAGGGGAGAGTAAATGGCACTATTTGGTATAATATAATCATAATAATAATAATACTAAGCCCTTTATTCTGAATTATCTAAATACAATATTAAACAGTTCATAAGCACTTGCACTTTCCATTGGGTTCTGTCTTGCGCTACCCTTCTCCAGTGGTGTCCAGCTGTTAGCCTCGGGTCATCTGCACATCTCGCTTGTTGGCGTCCACTATTACGTTTGCCATCTCTGGCTTACCAGTCACAGATAGTCGTACTCCATTTGCCATGCCTGTCTCTAATTATGTGTCATATTTGGTATAATATATTAGCACAAAAAGGAGTAGCGCTGCTAGCGCTTCTTTCTGTGTTGATAGTGTAAAAAAGTAGTGCCATTTTGGTAGAAATTCAGAAGTGGTTCAATTTAAACGCCGGTTCAATATTGGTTACTCTCCCCTATATGGTCTAAGTTTTAAATTTCTAAACCGCTTTTTCATGATAAATAGAAAACTAGTTAATTACCTGGTTTCTTCCATTTCTAAATCTGAATGATCTTCTTCATCTTCTAATCTGGTCCTCCTGCGCTTTGGTCGATAACTGGTACAAACAAGAAAATAGTTATATTTAAGAAGAAAAAAAAATAAGCCTATAGATAGCTCAGTGACCAATAAGTTAAGGTTCCATTCTATTTTTAAATAATTACTAACTGTTCTCTGCCACGCTTTGCTGTAGCATATTGTGATTGCAAAAAATAGATATAAACAATCTTTGAAGGGTGTCCATATCAAAATTTGAGAACAATAGGGGAGCTTTATGGCTTTTTTAAACATACACAAACCAACTTAGCATTTATATATATATAAGCAAGATAAGATAATATTTTTATTGGTAACACTTAACCCTAATGCAAAAACCTCCTTTCTAAGGAGAGGCCTATGTCCAGCAGTGGAATATTGAAGGCTGTTTATGATGATGATGATGATTGTTGAAACCTCATGCTTCATTGTTATTTTCAATCAATTTCAATTTATTTTCATTATCATCAAATTATTATGAATTCATCTATTGTTCTTCAATTATAAAAAAACTGACCTTTTATTTACGAATACAATAATAATAATAATATATACAATAGAAATATTATAAAGGTGAAGAATACGGAATGACACCACCCCTTTTCATCCCATGGGTTTCGTAAGAGCCGACTAAGGGAGCAAACTATGCAGGACAACAGCACTGCAAAGAGAAGAAAAACTAGAAACAAAACAAATCAACCCGTCTGGCCAGCGTGGTATAGCCAATAGTAGCCAAAACCTCCTTTCTAAGGAGAGGCCTATGTCCAGCAGTGGACTGTTATAGGCTGTTGATGATGATGAGCATCAATGAAAAATGTTGCAGAAGGGGATAATTTACTTGTATTCCTTTTGTGAGACGAAGTTGTGCAAGCCAGTATTATACACACCTTGAGGTTTCACAGGTACCCTGGTCGTAAAGCGCACCAGGCCTTGGTTTGGCAGCTCGTTTTGTGGAACGCCGTCGTCTGCGAAATAAAATGGTAAAAATTATTATACTTAGCAAAATTTTAGCGTTTTCGTTTTCGAACGGGAGGTGCGTTCAAAAACGCTAAAATTTGCAAGGAAAGGAGGTGTAGTGAGTTGCAGGTACACATGGGGCGACAGTTAAGTAGCATCAGGTGACCCCTGTTCGTTTGCCGCCACAAGAGTGTCCATGAATCTATCAGATTCTTCTCTTAATGCCTGCCTTCCATCCTTCCTTTGTATAAATGTACATAATATATAACTTGACTTTGTTGAAACGAAGTTTCTTATCGCGCATTACACGCTCTGAGCGGATGGGAGCGACACCGAAAAATGTGTAACAAGACTTTTTTCCGACATTATGGAACTTCATTCCGACCAGAGGTCTATAGACCCCTCACACCGTTTTTAAATGCAGTAATCTGAGTGTTTACTAATCTAATTTGTAAGTTTTGTAAGATAAAGTATATGAGTAAAACTATAGAATATGGTACTTATATAAATAAAAGTAGTAAATACATACTTAAGATCTTCTTCAAGAGCAGGTGATGACCCATCACTGTCATTCATCCCAAATGAAGAATTAAGCCTAGTGGACCTTCTTGGTCGAGGTCTCTTTTTCTTGACTTCTATGGAACACTGAAAGTCCTCATCAGAATCTTCATCTGTCTCCAACAGCTTACTGATCACATTTGGATCATCATCAATTTCATCATCTTCATCTATTTCTTCTGTTTCTATATCTTCTTCCTCCTCTACTTCTTCGTCTCTGTACAGAAAAAATATTGAAAATATTAATTAAAAAGAAGATAAGGTATTTAAATTAAAAATAATAGTGGCAGAACAGTTAAAACCAGCCAAAGTAGAATGCTCAATTATTTGAATTGGCATATAAGTTAATTCCTACTCCATACATGGAGATAGACGTATTGGTAGTGATTAAATGAGCAGTAGTACTGGTTTTAGTCTATTCTTTACTAAGGTATGCAACAAATGACACAAAAAATATGCACATTGACTAGTACCAAGCCAGTTAGTTTTGCAAGTATTAAAAAACTGCCAAAAAAATACTATGCAGACTATATTTCTTTCAAAATTTTGGACAACTAATGTTGCACAGCAGTAGTGCACTTCACTATAAACCCACAGGTTGGGCACCAGTTTGGTAATGATATTTATATGCATAAATATATGGCTCAGCATTGGCCCGAGTGTAAAAAAATATATAATTAAGAAGTTCATCTATCTAGAAGCCACACTATGTGTTGTGCTTAGTTTAGGTCAAAATAGTGCTGTGATTTGTGTGTATCTCAGAATATTAAATATCATTTTGAAAGAAAATATCAAATAAAGATTGAAAAAGAATAACATTTTGAGCCAATTGTGCCATTCACAAACTGTTAAACATCAAAATCATTCTGGGAGTGTTCATTGTTAAGTACAATCATTTATTGTCTGAGTGTACTTTATCTATAATATGTTTGTATTTAGAAATATATAAGTTTATCAGCGGTCTGGTTACCATAATACGGGCTCTGCCGAGTTTGGGATCAGATGGCCATGTGTGTATTAAATTTTTTTTTTGTTTCAGTTATGTATGTTTTTTGAAATATATAAGTATTTTAATCAGCAGTCTGGTTATAATAGCACACACTCTGCCTAGTCTGGGATCAGAGATCTGAGTTGCAGGTGTTCATGGGTTACGGTGGTCGCAACCCATGAATACCTGCAACTCAGGAGTCACAAGTGGGTTGGATGAGATGTGAAATGTGTGAGGTTATTATTTTCTACTATGTCTTATGACATCAACCTATAAAATTATTGATTGACCTGTAAATAATTACCTGTTCTCATTTCCACTTTCTTCAGCTTCTTCAGGGCTTCTAGCTTTTAACCCAAGTTCACATAAATGCTTCAACTTCATTACAGTATTTTGACTCTGGCTATCATCATCAGTAGTAGCAATTTCTACTACTTCATCATCCATCACAGGTGGTGTTTTTTTCTCAGCAACAACCGGGCGGGCTGACCGTCTTGTCCTAACCCCTTCCTCAGGAGATTTATCAGTTTGTATACCTAGTCGAGCATTGTTTTGAGATTCAAGACCAATACGTAGCTCTTCGTTTGCTAGTATTTTAGCTGTAGGTTTGATTCTGCGAGATAACCGTTGCGGTGCTTGTTGGGTTTCATAAGACTTTTCTTTTCTTGCTATTGCATTCGCTAGGACATTGTCTGAGTCCTTACTGCGACGCCTTGTTGAACGTTTGGGTGTAGTGTGAGAACTGTCTGATTCATCATTTTCAGAAGTATTTTGAGTACTTGATTTGTCTTTTTTCGGAGACGTGTCACTATCACAGATCCATTCCCACTTCCCGCGCGTTCTACTCGACCTTCGTGGCGTTTCCTCATGTTTTTCTTCAGACGAAACGATCTTCATATTGCTATTCTTTGCGCTACTTTTTTCAGAACGAAACGTTAAAACTATACGCGGCTTTGGATCTTCGTCACCTTTTTCTAGTCTTTTAGGGTCTATTTTGTCTACAGTAACAGTTAAGTTATCGGTAGATGGTTTTTCAGTTCTTTTCTTACTAGGTGATTCCTCATCTGCATTCATGGTGTCTGCAAGGCTTTTTGGCGGTCAGGACAGCTTTCACTTTACACTTTTATTTATTTACAGTTTATCAATTTTGACTTTTATTATTAATTAACATCGTAAAGATAGTGCACCAATGATATTTAAATAAATTAAAAATAAATAAAAAGGTACAATTGTTTTGTAGTTTCACTGAGGCATCGCCTATGTTTATTTTAGTAAATAAAATAAACAAAACTTTAATTAGCCTTTATCATGGTATCTCATCAAATTACTTACAACATGCTGTCAGTGAGTATAAAAATAGTCTTTGTTAGATAGATAGACTTGCAAGATAGGTGAAATACAATAAAATAACATAAAAAAAATGCCTTCCTGCCTGAGAATCGAATTTGAGGACCATAAACATTAAACAAACCCGTCAGGCGATAAGACGTCAAGTTTTGAGTTTGAGGATGCCATAGAATAAATTACCTAAGGAGCTTTCTATACTTTATGGTACATTGTATTGGCAAAAGGAGTATCCAAAAATTGTTATTTTTCTTGAAAAACTTTAGTAGCCATGAACCAAATATTTTTGGATAGGCTTCTTAAGAACTCATATTATGCTAGATAAAATGAAATTTTCAATTACTGCAATTTTGAGAAAACATCGTTTTTGCTTTGGTACATGTTTAGGACGAATACGAAGAAAGCTTTTGCTTCCGATGCCCAACTAAATTAAAATGACAAGTTTTACAATTATTTCTAAAGCGTCATGAGCCTTTCTATGCACTTGTTGACAGTTTTAAGCTATTGCATAGCTTCTATCGCGGGCCTTGAGCGTGGAGACCGAATCCAGAAATTCCGTAACGAAAATAACCTAACACTCCCCACTCCGACCGGCACAGCGGTGATACTTTTTAGTTTTGCCATCTATTGATGAATAGAAGAACTTTTAATGACTTTTTGGAAATATCACGCTTGTCTCTTTAGTTCAGCAACTCGCCTCTAGGTGGCATTGGTATCGGCGTTACTGCGCATGCGTAATCCCCCACCCCGCAATCTAATTAATATCAAAAAAAAACAAAGGAAAAAAATACTGCATAAATAAAATAAATAAATAATTATAATTGCATAAGAAGGTGGCTAACTGACATGTGCACCCTACATAACATAGTAAATGGCTCACTTGATAGTGAGCTTGTTGGCTTGCTATACTTTAAGATACCAACACGATCCGTACGTATACCACAGCTGTTCTGTGTACCTACTAGCAACAATAATGTATCACAGAACAATCCAATATCTCGAATGTGCAGTCAATATAACGCAATTTGCTCTGAGGTGGACATTTCTCACAATAGTTATAATCTATTCATAAGTCTATTACTGAAACTATGTGCCCCACAATAATGTCTGTATAATTTCTTAAGCTTTCTTCCTTTTTTTTTTAGGATCTTGGTGTTGTTATTTAATCGAACCTTAAACTAATTATTTTGTAATAATAATGGAGCTTAAGTTTATTATGTGAATTCTTTAGTCTGTTAACATACTCATATAAACTTTGTAATAGAACGTTGTGTATAGTTATAACTGGACTTCAGATTTAAGTATTGTATATCGTCAACGTAATTGTGTATGTGCTAATCTGTTATCTGTTACTGTACCTATTAGATAAAATAAAATAAAATAAGTTGATAAAAAATGCTATGCAATAGCTTTACCGCGGCAGTCCCCGAGTGCCACACGTCTTTTTTTTGTTTTCATTTTTTCAAGTTTACTAGACTACGTCATGCTCAGACGAAAAGCGTTACCTAATATTGATTTATCTTATGAATTTGCAACATTAAATTTAATATTGCATCCTCTAATAAAAATATCTACTAACATAAAATAACTTTTTGTTTTTCTCTTAAATGCAGGATTAGAAAATTATTATCTAAATAAATCTTAAATACTAATTTTAGCAGCTATATTATAGTGTAATTTGAGCTATAATAGATTTCACTCGGAATAAAATACAACGTTCACACAAAAAGTGGACACCTCCTTTAGTTAGGTTAGGTTAAGAAAAATGTTATACGAATACGAAATATGAATATTTCGTATATCGCTCAAGGTGTAACTTAAATTACTTTTTTGAATAAAAACAAAACAGTGAAATTGGAATATAAGTCCATTGTTTCATTGCTTTTTAACGCACAACGGGTTTATTTGTCATCAATTTTTTGTTCTTTACATATACCTACCTTAGTTAGGAAATAGTAATGTGTACGATTTTCGATTCTTATTTATTTTTATTTTGTGAAACGTCGTATTATAATAATCTTCTTCTTCTTCGAGCCTTTTTCTCAAACTCGGTTGGGCTCGACTTTAAGTCTAGTACGACATAGATGAACCTTGATTTTTTTACTCGGATCGAATGCCATCAGACCTAAACAACCTAGACTAGGCGATATCGCAGTTCTATGGAAAGCTAGTTGTCTGACTTTTTTAGGACTCCAACAACTCATATGATTTCCACAGATGTTCATATGGCAGCCGGGACCGGAACCGACGGCATAACGTGCTCTCCGAGACACGGAGGGGTTTTAATTTGTTAAGAATGGTTACCCATCCATACTCTAACCTGGCTAGGATTACTTAACTTTGTAATTTGTTACTTTCTTGGATACCCCTTAGCCAAGATCCCCTCGTCCTGTTTAAATTATAGTTTTCTGTTTTCTTGAGTTAATGACTAATGTGAGTCACACGTTTTGTCATTTGGTTAAAATATTTTAGTCTTTCATAGTTTAGAACTAAACTAAACCAAACGTTTAAAACAGCAATACTACTGTGAGAGTGAACCCCTTAGATGTACACATCGTCAACATCGCCAACAGGTCGAGCGAGAACATGCACTTTAAAAACAATGAATTATTTTGAAAAGTGTTGGGCGAACCTGATTGATTGACAGAAACGAATCATTAACCAATGATTAAATCTCAAAGTTGATTAATTATTGATTGATCGATTTCTTGTCTAATTTGAAAACAAACTTATAACTATTGAAAAGTTACCAATTGATTGATCTTAGGAAGATGCTATGATGTTAATGTAACTTCTTGCTTGATTGTCGTCAATTCGAATGTTTTTCGAATAAACTTATCGTGGCCTCCAATTTTAATAACGATTTTACAGTTAATATAAAATAAAATAAATGTAATTGTATTGCACTACTGTAAGTGCTGTATTCAATCTTTGCTTGCTGAATTATTTATTTAATTTAACTTATTTGATGGACACGAACAATGAATTTGCAATTACTAATAGTTAAGATCGAGATAATAAGATACATTCTCAAAATCGAACTGTTCGATTAGTCCATCGCTCAAACGTCGCCCTGGTGGATAGATTGTGTGACTCTGGCACCTGACATGAGTGTAATGTTTATTCATTCAAAAAGTGCTCTCTGTCTGTAAAGTTACTTTGATACTTTGCTCCTTGTGTGTAGTGAATTGTATCTTTCTTATAAAGCAGGCATATTAAAAGTGATTTATTTATACGTAAACAAGACAACGGAAGTAGGAATTGCGATCAATTAAAATACAATGAATCAATTATTTTTGAGTCCAGAACATGTTCTACAAGGAGGATATTTTCATGCTACTTTACGGCAATTACAAGAACCTAATGTTAGCATCGAACCGCATAATATTATGTACCCCGTATTTTTACTGTAAGTACATATTTATATTCCGGTTGCCCGGCAACCTTACAGAAAATATACGTCTTCGGACTGAATATTTATGACTGAATTCTATCGATTTTCCTACGTGAAATTTTAGGCGTAATATGGAAATGTTTGTAGAACATTACACACAATCAACAACAATTTATAAGTAAAAAACTTTACAAAAGAAATAAAATAGTCATTACATGTTTAATATATCCACTATAAAATAATAGTTAGAGAAATTAAAGTTAGTGTCATCCTTCAGATCACTGGTAAGTCTAGACAGGCTGTCAAAGCTCTAAACCTAAAAGAAAAATGTCCAACAGTTGGCCACTAAGTTCTCCACTGATTGTTCACACCAGCGTTGTTGTTACTGTCACTATAAAGACTTGACATGCACACACACCAGCATAGATGTGCATGCACATCCCATCCAAATAATAAAGTTGTAAATATTGTTGTTGTGTAACACTCCATGTAGACATATAAATGGTCTAATAAGTAAATGTTAAAGGATTTTAATGTTTACTTGAATTAAGTGTAGTTCCTCAGATATTTTCTAATCTTGTTGTTTCTTCAAAATTAAATATGTATACACATTGCAAAATGAGATATACTGGCAATCATGCCCTGGGACAGCCATACTTCCGGAGCCACAGAATATATACCATGGCCCCACAGATAACCAGCAGTTATTAAATAAGTCTTTTGTTGCAAATGCGCTATAAAAAAAGGTATAGATACCCAAGCCTCCCTTCCACCAATTGTGGGGGTGGGAATCAAAGGCTAAAAAGACACTTGTGACTTGTAGATGTCCATGGGCGGCAGTAGTCACTTGCCAGGTTAGCCATCTACATGTTGGCCCTGTACACAATTAAAGTAGGAATATATAATATTCTTTTTGAGAGTTGGAATTTTAATCTAAAATAAGATGTGTAAGATCTGACATCTCATGGCAAATTATCTATTGATAAATGAATTAGCCATGCTCAGCTGGCGGTAGCATTATTTGTAAAAAACATTTAAGCTGTTCGACTATCATCAACGTATTAGACGTGAGGACAAATTGCATATAGTTGCTAGCAAGACTCATCTAATGCATAAAAGTATATTCTGTACAGCTTTGCGCATATTCAACAATGTTCCGAGAAATGTAAGGAAACTTGAGGAAATAACTATGTTTAAAAAGAAACTACATGACTTGATGAAAAATAAATGTTATGATACAATTAAGATTACATGACCAACAAGTCTCTGTTCCCCTACTCTATACCCCAGTCATCATGTGTTCAGTTTTCTCTACTTATATACACTGTTAAAAATTTCTTTTACTTTGTGATCCATATTGACAACACATTACGTAATGCATATACCTATATTTTAATTATTGTATCTATTGTGTGTCCAATGGGCGGGTCATAGCTGGACTAAATAATACACAAAAACGGATCTAATATAGGATATATTATAATGTTTTTTTTTTCCAAAAATTTACATTTAATCTATGAGAGTTAGATATTGCTAGTAGTATCATTTATACAAAAAAAAAATATGGTCTGCAATGTTTTTCACAGAGAAAATGAGGATGCAGTGCAGCCAGTAGCAAGCATGCCTAATGTGAGCAGATATGGTATCAACCAGCTCATACCAATTCTCAGTGAATTGGTCGACAAAGGCCTCAAGTCAATTCTCATATTTGGTGTTATTTCAAATTTACCCAAGGTAAGAATTGCTTTACAATTATGTTATAACTATCTGTTTCCTATGATTTCACTTGCATTGTGTGCACCTAAATGTTGTATTTGTGTTTAATAATGCCATTGTTAACTGTTGATTAAAAAGAGTGGCTATGAGTTTGTTTGCACCTTCTTCTCATGAGGCTCAACCTGTTGGAAATAGGTGGTTGTAGATCGGCACTGGCATAAAAGAGACTTTCCATACGTATATATATTTAGTTTGCTAAATAGTTGACAAAACAGAGATTGTTCCTATTGTGTGTGTTGATCTATGACTTTAGGGTTTTCACAAGAGCTTTGTTTTGAGTCTGGGTGTTCTTTGTCCGTGTTCGATGGAGATTTGTGTAGTCCCCCATGACACAGGATATATTTCCAGTACAAGTGTAGTCTTTAAAAAAAATGGTAATTAATTATAAGAAGAAGTAACTAATAGTGGCTTATAAAATATTGTTTTTACTTTCACGCAGGACGCAATAGGTACACATGCTGACTCCCCAGACAATCCAGTATTGAAGGCCCTGCCCAAGCTTCGAGCGGCGCTACCACAATTACTGATAGCGTGTGATGTCTGCCTCTGTCCTTATACCTCACATGGACACTGTGGTTTACTCATTCCAAACGGGGCTATTGATCATGCTGCCTCAGCTCGAAGAATTGCTGAAGTTGCCTTGGCATATGCTAAAGCAGGTAAACATGTGGACTTATGACTTAAGTTTCAGTTTGACTGGCTTGTTAGAAATATATGAGTAAAATTAAGGAATTCGAATCATTTGAAAAAATTAGTCGTTGGACTAACACACAGCATTTTAGCAAACCCAAAAACTGAAGGGCCCAAAAATTGAGCAGTTTAGTATTGTTGCATTTTAATAATTCTCCTTCATAAGTTGATCTAATTGTATGGCGTGTCCGTGTGGGCAAAAGCTTCTTCCAAAACACTAGATTTAAAAATAATAATATATAAGTATGTTAATCAGCCGTCTGGTACTATGGTAATACAGGCTTTGCCCAGTTTGGAATCAGATGGCTGTGTGAGATGTCTGAGGTTATTATTACGAGGTGAGGTACTCGTATAGGTGATTACATTTATCAATGTGTGTATTATTCAATATTGGTCTGCTTATGTAATCATTCAATGGGACCAATATAAAAATCAAGAACAAATCGTTGAAAGATTAGTAGGCGGCCTCGTTTGACCCTCAGTGACATATCTAGAGATTAGGTCCGATGGTTCACAAATGTGTGACTGTTCCTTAATTATCAGTCGTTGTTTCGTTACTTGGTAATGTAATATGGTACATATTTTATTCTTTATATTAACATCAATGAATTCCAATATTCCAACTCGTTTCCTACCTAGACTTGCAGTGTCTCTGACTCCAGCCCTTTTGTCTAATTTGTTTTCTTTTTCCAAGTTACCTTGATCTTCTGTCCCATCCGGAAATGATAACATTATCAAGGACGATTGGTCAGGTTGGTCAGTTGTCAGTAGGAGTCTTGCTACACCGGAGTGATACTACGGCCTCAAAGTAAACTGGTGTTAAGCATTTCTTTAATTGTTTTTTTTTTTAGCTAAATGAGGGTCTATCGATGGTAGTAACCACTTATAATCAGGTTACCCGTGTGCTCATTTTCCACCTATATCACAAAAACTTTCAGTAGTTGGTACAGCTGACCGCTTTAATCCGTCAACAGACTAAACAGATGGCGCTTTATTCAATATTTTTTTTAATTAGGAGCACAAATCGTGGCACCTTCCGACATGATGGACAATAGAATCAAGGCAATCAAGGATGCCCTTGTCTCCTGTAAACTGCAGAATCAAGTAAGTGTAATAGATCAATGCAATTTTCACCTTTGACAGAGGTTCTGGGTTCGATTTCGACCCGGGACAGACAATTGTGTGATAAGCGAGCATTTGTTCTGTGTCTGAGTGTCATTTATCAATACTATGTATGTATTTAGTAATATACAACTATTTTATCAGCACTCTGGTTAATGACCCCGTAGGGGTTCTACATAGCGCTATTCTACGGTATATTAAATTTTACCCACACATTTGACATTAATTATATTATTCTATTTTAATTTATATGTGTATAATGTAAACATATAATAAAGATTACAGGTAAATTAGCTTGGAGAAATTTTTGCTAACTAATTTCACTGTATTTTTATTTAGTTAAAAATATCAGCCTTTTAAGCGTCTTATTTTTAATTATTATTTTTTTAATTTGTGATTGATTTATTATGTGATGTGAATGAAATTTGCGTGTGTTATATTGGCGAAATGTGTGATATGTGATGTATGTTGGAAAAAAAATATTGTATTCCATATCTATTACACTGGTGTGCAACTTTTACCATGGAGTATTTCTACTACCGTCAATACGTACAATTAAAGTCAGTTCATATCATATTATAATAATTTGAAATGTTTCAGGTGTCCGTTCTGTCGTACTCGTGTAAGTTCGCGTCGTCAATGTACGGACCTTTCCGCGACACTATGAAGAGCTCCCCTATGGAAGGTGACAGGAAGTGCTACCAGCTGCCGCCAGGGAGCGCCGGCCTCGCTGCTAGAGCTGCTGTAAGTTTAATAAAACTCTGATTTTTGTATAAATATGACATTTATAACATTTTTCAAGTATCTGGGAACATTATAAGTATTGAATATTAAAAAGAGGCAACAAAAAGGAAAATGGAAGGCAAGACATGTTGCTTGTAAAGATGGATTAAGGAATGTAAACAGTACTACATATTTGATACTAACAACTACTAACTAACACTTGATTGATACTAATAATGATTTTGTCCTAATAATGTCCGTGTGGTGACGGATTAAAAATAGGGATTGTCCCCACCCACATTCATCCCGTGGGTGTCGTAAGAGCCGACTAAGGGAGCAAACAACAACACTGCAAAGAGAAGGAAAATTTGACACGACCCCTATACCAACCCGTCTGTCCAGCGTGATATAGTAGTCCATTACCTCCTTTCTAAGGAGAGGCCTATGTCCATATGTCCACTGTTAAAGGCTGTTGATGATGATGATGAATGATTTTAGTCATCATCTACGAAACGGATCGCGACAGATGTATAAACGGACTCACATTTTTAACTAATTAGTGATCTCTGCTCTACACATATGACATAACTAGCTGACCTTTTTTTCTTGACGGGTTGGAAAATTCCGTCGGATCTCCTGCTCCTTGGGGACTCATTAGCCTGGAGTATGTGGTGATTCTACTAAAAACAGCCTCGGACAAAAAACAGGACCTGTACCATGTAATTTCAGGTCCTCCCTGAAACGACACCACGCTTACGACACCCCTCGGCTCGGTTTGGTCTTAATGCGATCAGGCAGCCATCCTATTTTCTACCGCAGCAATTAATCTGCCACCAGAGATCCCCACTCTCTAGCGGCCCACGGCTCCGTCGACGGCTAGTAAACCCACCACGTTCTTTACGCTCGGGACCGGCTCTCTCCGGATCCCGTTCAGCGGTCTCTCTCTGGAGCATTACAGCTTCACAGAAAGAGATCACTGCGCCCAATGCGCTCCAACTCTCCTCACCCGCCAGCATGGCAGAAATGATTACTGATGGAAACAGGTCTCGTCCGATTTGTTTGAGATTCTGTTTTTTTTTTTTGCGACATTTCTTATTAATGTTCGTCTCCTATTAGTCGTAGCGTCGTAGCGTAATATAGTGTATAGCCTTCCTCGATAAGTTATCTATCCAACAATAGAAATTTTCAATTCGAACCTATAGTTCTTGAGATTAGCACGTTCAATCAAACAAACAAACTCTTGAGATTAATGATATTAGGTCTTTACCTATGAAATTGCCGTTTTGTATGCAATAAGTGAAAGTACTTATTTTTTCAAACTTTTTTATTTCTGTTATTCGAAGTAATCACCCATGCAATCGACGCATCTTTGCCAACGCATTGGCAGTTTATTGATGCCCTTCTTGTAAAAATCAGCTGGACGGGAGGCAACAAACTCTTCAAAGGCATTTTGTACTGCCTCTCGGGAATTGAATTTTTTACCTACTAAAAAGTTGTCTAAATTTTGGAAAAAGTAATAGTCGGGAGGTAAGGTCTATCTGTATTATTAATACAGAATGTACATATACACTCACACAAAAGCTATTTAAGCTGTTGAAAAAATGTAACTCCTGCTGCAACACCAGCTGACATATATCATGTTACATAATACCGTTACGCAAATTAGATAACGAGAATGTACCTAATCATTCGATAACAGTTTAATCAATTTATATAATATAAGGCGTTTATTGTCTCAGCTAAATAAGGTTGATGATGATACAGTATGGAATGTTATATTCCAAAAAAGTCTAGAAAAATGAGTGGTGGAGTCATAATCCTCAATGTTATTTCACGTATCAACTACTTATTATTTGAAAGGTAGTCGTTTTTCTCTAAAAGGAATATTCCCAGTAAATACTTCATTTATTTGAAAAAAAAAAATTGTCCACTAATCATAACTAGGTGGTGAATCTTTTTAATATTTTTTCATATCTCACGAATTCCATTCTTTCCTTATCATGGTAGTATAGAAATTAGTGATGTGCCGGATCGTTAACAAAGTATATCCGCGGATACGGATCCGAATACGGATATTTGGTGTCAAGATCCGCGGATACGGATACGGATCTTAAGATTCTTACTCAATCGGTGCCCGTGACCTTGATAGTTGTCGCCACTTGACGCTTTGCCGTTGATATTTAAATATTTCATTATTTTAATAAGCTAATACAAAGATGTTTGATTGATCTCATTATAAAGATAGCTCTTTCAGTACCTACGACCTGCCTAGTTGATTTAGTGCAGTACGATAAATGATTTCAATACAAAGGTGCTAAATATTTGTTTTAAGAAATAAAAAGTAATCTGAACAGAATTCAATAGTTTTTTCATAGCTACCTAATAATCATTATTCAGGGTTATTTTAAATTTACTGAAAACCTCTGAAGTGCATATTAGTAACATTATAAACAACAACTTGTGGACTAACACTGAAAACGAAAGAAAAAAATTGTTTCTCCATACAAACTAACAACATTTGATTGGTCATTTGAATGGAGGACCGATTTTTTTTCATTTTGACGTTGGCCTGAAAAACAGTCGCTTTGTATAGTGTTACAAACACATATCTAAGAGTTTTACAGTGAATACAAAATCACCTATATAGAATTTCATCTATGTAATATGTATTGAAAGATCCGCCAAAAAAGTCAGGGATACGGATACGGTTACGGATCTCTCCTCTCCCTTGGATATCCGCGGATACGGATACGGATACGGATATCCGGCACATCACTAATAGAAATACACTAAAGAAACAATCGATAATAAACAATTTCGTCGCCGTTTGATGTAACTGTTGCACGTTTTGACGCTGTTGATATTGTTTTAAAAAAAAAATTGCAGAATAAAAATAAGGTAGAGTTGCCAATGAGTTATTGAGTGCTATAGTTTTTATGATTTGTTCTATATTTTTTTTATCTTAATTAATAGAGATCAAAAGAGAGAGTCTAGCATACCTAAAAAGGAAAGTAAATAAAGTGAAAAATATACCTATAATATAAAATCAAATGGCGTAGCAACAAAAACGTACTTGTTGAACATCACTTTACTATGTTTGCAGTTTATCAACAATGTATTTTATTTCTACAATATTCTCGAAACTTTTACGATATGTAATCAGCTATTGTTTGTTCGAGCACGTTCGTATCTTGCTCAAAACCTCGTCGGGCAAGAGTAACGTCGATAACTGATATCATTAATGATTCTTATCAATGAAAAATCTTATTGCCGAGATTATTAACCAATTGTGTCCTTTTTTTTTCTGTGCGGAAATTCCCTCATACACCACTACCGACTAAAACCGCACGCCGTCTCAGGTACTAGTAGTCGGGGAACTAGGTGTACCCTAGAAAGGAAGTTCCTGGTGCCCAGATGAACTAATTGTGTCCTAAACTTTTTACTCGCTAATATAGTAACAACCCTTTTTCTTAACGTTGCAACTGTATATATATAACACTAGCTGACCCGCGCAACTTCGTCTGCGTCTCTCAATAGTAATAAATTTTCTCCGTTTTTGAAACATTCTTCATTGGTGCTCCGCTCCTATTCGTCTTAGCGTGATGATATATAGCCTATAGCCTTCCTCGATAAATGGGCTATCTAACACTGAAAGAACAAACTCTTCAGCTTTATAATATTAGTATAGATACGAAAGTTGATAAAGATGGATGCAGAACAACTAAACGGATCTGGATGAAATCAAACACAGAGATATAATATATTACAGTCTAGAGTCATATAGGCTAGTCTTTAAAAGGAAAAAATATTGGCAAAATGGTCATTACTGCTTCCTTACGTGTGATGGATTGCCGACAGGCGCGGGATGTGGCCGAGGGCGCCGACTTCCTAATGGTGAAACCCGGTCTGCCGTACTTGGATATCGTCAGGCAGACAAAGGACCAGTTCCCAAATCACCCGCTTTTCATTTATCAGGTACTGTTTTGTTTATTTTGAAACCAACATTCTTATACCAATATTTGTGTTGTTTCTTATACCAATATGTTATTGCCAGCGTCTAGGTCTATTTAGTGATTCTCATTTAGCTGAGCTGAGCTGACAATGAGCTGAACTATTCCAGAGGTCATGGGTTTGATTCCTATCCAGGGCAAATAATTGTGCTGTGAGTATGATTATTGGTTCAGGGGCTGCGTGATGTTTACGAGTATATACTCGTAATTATATTATATATGTAGGTATTTAGTAATATTACACATACAGTACAGGCTCTGCCTAGTTTGGGCAAAGCCTGTGCAATGGTAACCGGTGCTTTGATACATCGGTGCCCCAAGTTAAAAAAAAAAACATGTCCGATACCTAGGATATAAGGTATTAAGAAATCGATAGGATTATAGTTTTCACTCAGTAATATTCTGGAGCAGGAATATCCCTGTAGGCTTATTAATTTGGAACTGTGCCTGCCAACATTTTTTTTATTTTGTCTTTTGTTTAATATTCTTCAGGTGTCTGGTGAATATGCAATGATATGTCGCAGTGGAGACAAAAAGGAAATTGAGAGTTTGCTCATGGAGACACTCACCTGCATGAGGAGAGCTGGTTAGTTTACAAAATATATTTTTATTTCTGCACTCATAAATGTTATTTAACATTGATTACGGTGAAGCTTTATTATGTAATCACTTATGTATGTGTAAGTTTACTTATTAAATATACACAAAATAATTGCAATTCAATTCGGTCACGTGTCCGTCTATCCGGTCTCATAAAAAAGTACTCAAGTTTTTTTTAATGTTTGTTCTAGGTGCGGACTGCATAATCACTTACTTCGCACCTCTTATTCTAAGCATAATATCTCGGCAGAAAAATTAATTAAAATGTTTATTTGACTGTTTTAGTTTTAAGTTACGACTGTTTTTTTTTATCTCGGACCTTGAATCGGTGTTGGGGTTAGATGGATGTTTACACTGTTGGAGGCCATCTTTATTTTAAGCTCATTTTGGTTTAGGTTTAATAAAATTGTAATACATGAAGCGCCATTGATTTGGTCATAGCGCGTACATAAGGTAAGTTTCTTCTTCTCTTTATATTTCAAGACATCTCTTTTTATTTATCTGTGAATATTAGAATCATGTACAAAAAGTTTTAAATGTCTTATGTTTGGTGTTTAAAAAAAATTGGCCGTAAGATTTGTTGCAATTGCCATTCATCAGTCGTATGTTCCTGTTATTGTAAGACTGGCGCTAAATATGAGTGTAAGGATAGTTATGAGGAAGTAACGGGAGAAATTTTTAAATTTGGAATGTTTAAAAAAATATACAATTTATTTGTTTTTTGAAATTTATTCAAAATACTTTTTTTTATAATTGTGATTAATGTAGGTACACCAGTTTGACTTTTATTGGAAGTTTTCACTCTGAATGTTTTCACTGTGTGTTTGTCTATTTAAATAAATATACCCTTAACTTTGTTTGGATTGCGATAGCCATGTGAAATCTTATTAAGTAGGTCTAACTACTCTGTAAAGTTGGTGTATTGCGTCACCATCATTGCGATTCAAACTATATATTTTTTTAACGTATAGTTATATAGTAGGTATAAACATAGGTATAGTCTAATTGGCAAAAAGTGGGTATTTCATACGCTTCTGTCTGCCTCTAATAGCCTACTACTAGACCTGGATAGGCATTTCCCTAGAAAAGAGGTTTTGGTCTACTATACCATGCTGGCCAGACGGTTCCTTCTCTTTGCAGTGCTGTTTTCCTGCAGAGTTAGCACCCATAGTCGGCTCTTACGACACCCGCCGGATGAATAGGTGTCCCTATTCATACTGCGGGTGTCGTAAGAGCCCTCCATATTCTTATTCCGTCACCACGCGGATATATTTTATATATAGTGTATAGTATGTAGTAAAGTATATTTTTTGGTGTTTGAAAAATGGTTTAGAACAATCTGAACAAAGTTAAATAGAAGCTACGCTGTTTTTAATACAAAAATGTATTTTATAATTTGCTCAATGTCTCTGTCGTAAGTACATTCACTGTTGTATATTTAAAATGTTTAATTTATATGTGGGTAGTTTTAGTATTTACTTTTACACAAATTGTTTTATATTAATGCTTTCACAAAACATGCTGACTTGATACTTACGTGGTTATTGTTTATAAACATTACATGCAATTAAATGTATGACAATTCCATATTTTTAGAAGAAAATGTAGTGAAATGAAATGAAAATCTTATTCTGATAAAAATAAATGTTTAAACATAGGATCGATGTTATTGTAGCATAGAATGTGGGCTTATTTTTTATTGGATGTGAATATATTAAAGCAGTTAAACAATAGTACCTTTGTAGACAAATCAGCAGCTTGTGTGAAGCACCCTTAAGTTATGACATTATAATAAATAAATCAATCATAATATCTCAAATGTGATAGACTTTGATGGAACAATTAAATGTATATTAAAGTTTGTAGTGTATTTTATTTTGAAAGCCATATTTCAAGTCTCAATTTTACAAGAAGAAAGATATCTTCCGCTTCTGTTGCTTCTTTCAGTCAAAAATTCTGCGTATAGTATGATTAGCCCTGTATACCATACTATCTTTCGCGGTCGGAATGCAGCGAGTCATCAAAAAGGCCGGCAACGCGTTTGTGACTCCTGAGTTGCAGACGTTCATGGGCGGCGATGGTCACCTTTTATCAGGTGACCCGACTGCTGGTCTGCCTCCTCTGATATAAAAAAAAAACTACAACTGCAGGGTATACCAGGGATTTCCTGTCTAGGGTACACCTGGTTCCCCGGCTACTGGTACCCGAGACGGCGTGCGGTTTTGGCGGGTCGAGTTCGACATAAATCACCCCACCGGTGGGTGATATCCGAGGGGATTTCCGCACAGGAGAAAAAAAAGGCTATCAAAGTGGTAAACCGTGGTGTAAAATTCAAAATGATTTGATTGGTTACGGGGCGTATTTAGTCCGACGGACAATGATGATTCACTGCATTCTTAACGCGAACGAACTGTATGTTTTCAACACGTATCAATAAGTGAAACACCTACTTCATCCATTCTCTGCATCAATGAGGGCCTAGGGCATCCTCTTCCCCAGGTTGAGTGGAAGAGGATGCCCTATGCGTTAAGTGCTTACCAAATGTGCGTAGTGCAGGGTATCTTGCTATTGTACTACAAATAGTAGAAACGGTAACGATCCTTCATAATCAGTTCATGTGACAAGCTCATGAATTTATGTGTGACAAAGAGCGCAAAGGACTGCCAATATCATATATAAGTAAATAGAAAATATCCGACCTCTCTGAACAGTGACATTATAATATTATTATTAATTATTTATGGCGTGTCGTGTTCTACACTCTCCCTTTACAAAGACAAAGAATAATCCAGAAATTAAATAAGCATAGCTTGCTTGTTTACATACAATCAAGATATTCCAAGACTCCCAGGAATAGTAATTTCAGGTTACGTCTGTTGTATAATTTCGCCAAGTCGATTTTGACCGAAAATTAGGTACCTACCTGCCTACAAAATAAATAACTTAATCTCTTAACTATAACGATGCAGTTACTACAATCACATCAACAGCCTTTAACAGTCCACTGCTAGACATAAGCCTCTCCTTAGAAAGGAGGTTTTGGCCTACCATACCACGCTGGCTAAACGGGTTGGTATAGGGTTTGTTTCAAGTTTTCCTTATCTCTGCAGTGCTGTTGTTCTGCGGAGTTTTTTCCCTTAGTCTTTTTAGTTGGAAAGAGTATTCATCTAGAAAGGTCATAGGTGTAACATCACGCTAAGATCGTTAGGAGCATGGTAAGTAGTAATTTGTAGTTAACTACGAGATACTCGATATGTAGGTATAGATATACTAGACGAGTATATCTATACCTACATATCGAGTGTTGACCAGTTTCAAAACATAAAGAGAATTTTTTTTTTTAGTTAGGCGTTTTTATACTTTTGAATATGAAAACCCTATTGTAAACGTTTTTACTTACATCTAATAAATATAAGTACGTTAAACTTAAACTTAAAGAACAATACTAATAGCATATTTCTATTGTTCTTTGTAATGTTAAACGACTACAAGGATTGTATTCTGTCTTTTGTATAAAACAGACTATTTGTTTCGTACCTAATAATAACTAGTAGTTAAACGTGTATGTGGTGTTTACTTAAGGTATATATTAACTCCGTTACTATACACATGCCACGTAAGTGTTAAATGTTATCTATCTCCGACGTACGCTGACGTGGCCTTTAATAGTTGTATACAAACAAATAACCATGTGGGATATCATGCATGACGCAATTCTTAAGAAAGTAGGTCTCAGCGTTGTTTGAATATTATTACTGTACTCACTTAAAGAGTTGAAATCTTCACAATTATCACTTGATTTTAAGATGTTTAAATCATAATCATCATCAAAAGCCTTTACTAGTCCACTGCTGGACATAGGCCTCTCCTTGGAAAGGATATTTGAATAGCAAACTGAAAATTAATGAAAGAACTGCCGGTAGAACCTTGCCGAAATGTCTCTAAGGGTGGCTCTCCCAGAGCTAAAGTTAAAACGGTTACAGGGTTAGAATTATTTTTTATCGGTTTTTACAGCCTGTTTATCCTTTAAATGACTATGGGGTAAACATTACCCAGAATTAAAGCATGCCAAAGCTGGTAGATCTCACCTCTTGAAACGGCCTCGCGTGTCTCGTTTACGTGTACATATTTATCTTTTTTATAAGTAGGTAAACAACTAAGTTATCAAATAAAAACACGATTTATCTGTAGCTTATAATTTATTTTTATAGTATAAAATCTATACTTAATAGCTTTTAAATACTATGTATTATTATAAGTGACTTTGTCCTTTACGCTTTCACGTTAAATACTCAACCGATCTTCATGAAACTTCGCTTACACATTATCAGATCACAGAAATAGCTAAAGTTGTATGCACCAAAATAGATCCCCAAAGACTCCTGAATTGAATGACAAAATTTACTATAATGTGAGCAATACCGCGTTCAAAAGGTAATAGGTATCTAAACTTGACAAATAATTCACAGAGTAAAAGCTTAGCATATAAGGTACACTTTCAAATGTCCATGGCCTACTTGTAGGTTTTCCATAACATTGTATGTATGTAAGTTGCAAAGTGCTTCACGTGTTGATAGCCGAATGGTTTAATCTACCCTCTCGAGTTTAATTTTGAAATCCCGTGTCACGCCCTTGGCTTTTGGCTGTTGATATGCGCCTCAGATATGAATTATCACTTTCTTTAGTTTCGAAAGAAAACATCGCAATGAATCTGCGCGCCTTTGAATGTTCCACAATGTTCTAGAAGTTAGTAAAATTTGGTATTCGTACGGGAATTAATGCGATAACTTAATGGGCCGTTGTTGGTAGTAGGTAGTTGGCCATAGTTACCCTTGTAAACTAAACCACGAACATTTCTAGCTAGCTGCTAGCTTCAACTGCTAGCTATTTAATTAATCAGCGACTATTTAATTAATCTCTACCCTACACTATTATTACGTGATTACATTTATTCACGTAGATATAAATGATGATTGATTGATGATGAATAGTTAGTATGTTATAGAATGTTCTAGAAAATGAAAAAAGTAAAAAATTCTATGTGTGGATAATAAGAAAATATTTTGAGACGAGTCACTGAACCCTCCATTTGCTGGAGGGGTTTTAAGTACTTAGTCCTAACAGCTCTTGGTATAACCATAACTTTAGGGTTAAAAGGTGAGGCTCAATCCGGTTTAGAACTTTTGGTGTGAGAACGGAACAGAAGGTACCTAAATTAAAATTTAAATAAAGAGGAATGAGAAGGACCTATAATGCTGCTTTTGGGTAGTGCGATTACTGCACACTATTGGATGAGTCCTTGTTTTTTTTTGTAAGGTGAATATAAAAATGGTAGGTATGTTTGACTTTTCTACATCCGCTATAAACGGAACCATAACTATCTAATATAGTGGCTACCATAATATGTAATTAGTAATTACACTGCACGAAATGACTTACTTACTTTTTATCCGTAAGTTCTAGACATATCTGTGAAGTCTTCGCGAGCTAAGACTAATATAGTAGGTACATGGAAGCGCTTTGAAGTACTTTTAAAAATATGATGTAATTATATTCCTGAGTCTGGCAGATCTAGAGTATTTTTTTATGTACGGTTAACGAGTAGACGATTCGCATAATGTTCAATGACTACCGCTGCCCAAACACACCTGCTACTGTAGAAACACAAGAGCGTTGCCGCCCTTTGAGTACGAATTCAGCTTATAAAACTTACTTAGAAGCCGAAAGTTACTGTTTGTCTGAAGCGTGGCGAAACTTTTACAGAAAATGAAGAAACAAACCACGAGACTACTCAAACAAGAGTAACGAAAGACTGCTTCTGTAATATTCAAGCTATATTGATACTTTTTTGCCAAACTTTCGCTTTGATTGTCTCATTAATTTGAAAAAGTTCTAGGCTAGACTAGAGAATTCTAGAAGCTTTTGTAGTTATCTTAATAATTTTATGTAATTCGAAAGATCAATAAAGGCAAAAGTATATTCTACAAGGAGTCTTTTATAGACTCTAACTAAGTATTAGGTACCTGTAAACTAAGTATTAGGCACTGTATAAAAACCGACATTAGAAAGTTGACTTCTGCTGACAAAATATTTATATATGAGTGTTTTCGATTACATTTTCGTTTACATATAAAATGAGTGTTTTCGATATTGATTTAGGTATTTTTTACTTTATGAAATTTATATTTCTAAAAGGTACTACTACATACACACAATATTACACAACTCTCAAAAAAACATTAAACGGGGCAATTTTTTATGTAACATTATACTAAAGAGCATACAGTGTTCACTGACATACATTAATTTAACTTTTTAGTTAGTGTATATGCGAAAATTACAATTTATGAATAAAATAATAAACAAGTATGAATATTTTACAAAACCTTTCGCAATGATGAGACACGTAACTCCAACGTTTAAAGTTGGCGCTCAAGGGAACGTCTCTTTTAGGGCCAGTTACAAACGTGGGCCAATCACCTTACGACAAATACTCATGGTACGCTCAATCGCTACTGAGAGTAGGAAACGTCATCGCTCTACCGACCAATCGCGTTAAACCACGATGTTACACTAGCGCTAAATAATAGCGACGGCGGCCTGTGAACATCAGTTTTTCTTGAAAAATCGAAGGCAAAGCAACTACGTTATTGTAAAGTCGTAGCAAAGTGTTTCATTCATAGTGCTTGTATCGTGGCAGTGAACTTTACTTCAAATTGAGTCTATTCAGTTTTTTCGTCGATAGTTTTTGGTAATTATTACTTTTGTATTACTAATCACATTCCTAAATGTAACTAGACTCGTAAAAGATGATAACCTATTAATGTCTGATGTGTCAATTTTGCTTATAATAGTGTGATCCGCTATAAATCATTGTAAATTCGAAATACTGTCAATTAAGGCAAGCATTTTGGAAGAGGGTTTGTTCTAAAAGTTACATAAAATATCTTAGAAGCACGGAGAACGTCAACGAATTTTCTCGATCTAATGCGGTGCCGCGTCCTACTTCTGTCGTGGCCGTCTTGCTGTACCGTTAGGATTGTTATTGCCGTTATTGGTGTTGTTACCGGGTACTTTCCTTTTCTAATAAGTCGGCTCCCGGTTGAGTTTGGCGCGGCGCCCTCTCATGACGTGTCCACTAGTATTCATATTACGTGTCCCTATTAAGGTGTCATCGGTTAGGTATTGAAGTGAAATATCACTATTAACAGCAGTTTATTCAATTTAGACCATTATAAAGCTAATTTTAAGTGTTATTTGTTACAGAAAAGTATAATATTGGATGTTCAAAATGCGGTGGAGCTTATTAGCGTTGGCCTGTGTGGTCGTGGCGGTGTGCGCCGACGAGAAAAAAGAAAAAGATAAGGACATCGGTACCGTGATCGGTATCGACTTGGGAACCACGTATTCATGGTGAGCTTTTACTTTTTTTAATAAGTATCATGATTATTAGTGCTTTGTATAGTTTTGAATAGATTGCAGCTGTATATTTTTAATCATATTACAATAGATGACTGCTATATGATACTGATATCAAATGATAGTGAAGGTAGCTTTTAGGCAGTGGTTTCACAATCACTTTTCTTTCTCATATTAGTCCAATTCTAATACATAGGGGGTGACCATATTGGTTTTTATTTTAGCACCTTTTGTGGTTTGTGTTAAGACACATCTGTTATACAAACATAAATCAGTCCAAATCTATTTAGAATAAAAACTTGGATATATGTACATGTAATGCTTCTTTTACCTATTTTTAAAAAGTTTGTCACCAAAGCTCGTTGAATTATTTTTATGCTAACTGTTCCTTAACTTCTGCTTATGATAACTTCTTTATCCTTTACGCAGCCTATAACTTTCTTGGATGAATACCAATCCTACCAAATTCTATCCAATAAAAGAGATCTATTCAAATCTGATTGATAGTTTTAGAGATAAACATCTTTAACCAATCAAATGAGCTTTGTGATTGGTTTTATTCATTACTGTGCTGTAAACAGAATTTTCAATAAGAATTCTCAAATGTGACATATTAGAAAAAAACTAATAAGAAACTAAAGCAAAATAAGATTCTTACGGGTTCTCTCTTTTGTTCACAGTGTGGGTGTTTACAAGAATGGCCGTGTTGAGATCATTGCCAATGACCAGGGTAACCGTATCACTCCTTCATATGTAGCCTTCACGGCTGACGGCGAGCGTCTTATCGGTGACGCCGCCAAGAACCAGCTGACCACCAACCCAGAGAACACAGTTTTTGATGCCAAGCGTCTTATTGGTCGTGAATGGACTGACACCACTGTCCAACATGATGTCAAATTCTTCCCCTTCAGGGTTATTGAGAAGAACAGCAAACCTCATGTCTCTGTCAAGACCTCCCAGGGCGACAAGATCTTCGCGCCTGAAGAAATCTCTGCTATGGTTCTCACTAAGATGAAGGAAACCGCTGAAGCATATCTTGGCAAGAAGGTGACACATGCTGTTGTTACGGTCCCAGCTTACTTCAACGACGCTCAGCGTCAAGCTACCAAAGATGCTGGTGTCATTGCTGGACTACAAGTAATGAGGATCATCAATGAGCCTACTGCCGCTGCTATTGCTTACGGCCTTGACAAGAAGGACGGCGAAAAGAACGTTCTCGTATTTGACTTGGGTGGTGGTACTTTTGATGTTTCTCTCCTTACCATCGATAACGGCGTTTTCGAAGTAGTAGCCACCAATGGTGACACCCACTTGGGAGGTGAGGACTTTGACCAGAGGGTCATGGAACACTTCATCAAACTGTACAAGAAGAAGAAGGGCAAGGATATCAGGAAAGACAACCGCGCTGTGCAGAAACTCCGTCGTGAAGTTGAGAAGGCCAAGAGAGCTCTGTCTTCCAGCCACCAAGTAAAGATTGAAATTGAATCCTTCTTTGAAGGTGAAGATTTCTCTGAGACTCTAACCAGAGCTAAGTTCGAGGAGTTGAACATGGATCTCTTCAGGTCTACCCTGAAACCAGTGCAAAAGGTATTGGAAGATGCCGACATGAACAAGAAGGATGTCGACGAAATCGTACTGGTTGGTGGTTCTACTCGTATTCCTAAAGTACAACAATTGGTCAAAGAATTCTTCAATGGCAAGGAACCTTCCCGAGGTATCAACCCAGATGAGGCTGTCGCCTATGGTGCTGCCGTCCAGGCTGGTGTACTCAGCGGTGAACAGGACACAGACGCCATTGTGCTTCTTGACGTCAACCCTCTGACCATGGGTATTGAGACCGTTGGTGGAGTCATGACCAAGCTGATCCCCCGTAACACCGTCATTCCTACCAAGAAGTCTCAGATCTTCTCTACCGCTAGCGACAACCAACACACTGTTACCATTCAGGTTTACGAGGGTGAGCGTCCAATGACCAAGGATAACCACTTACTCGGAAAGTTCGACTTGACTGGCATTCCACCTGCGCCACGTGGTATTCCACAAATCGAAGTCACTTTCGAAATTGACGCTAACGGTATCTTACAAGTGTCTGCTGAGGACAAGGGAACTGGAAACCGCGAGAAGATTGTTATTACAAACGACCAAAACAGATTGACACCAGAGGATATTGAGAGGATGATCAAGGATGCTGAGAAGTTCGCCGATGAAGACAAGAGGCTCAAAGAACGCGTTGAGGCCAGGAATGAGCTTGAAAGCTATGCATACTCCATTAAGAACCAGCTGCAGGACAAGGAGAAACTTGGTTCAAAGGTAGGTTTAACTGAAACGTTTTCTTGGAATCTTACAAAATGTAACTAATATTTATTGGTGCCCGGTTATTTTGATTTTTTTACTCTGCATCTACTTACGTTTTCCGTATAATTATGAAGGCATACTTTTTATCCTTTGAAACTCAAGCTAACAATATTTTCTTTGTCTAATTTAGGTAAGCGATGATGAGAAAGCTAAGATGGAAGAGGCTATTGATGCCGCGATCAAGTGGCTCGAGGACAACCAAGATGTTGACTCGGAAGAGTACAAGAAGCAGAAGAAAACTCTAGAAGATGTTGTGCAGCCAATCATTGCGAAGCTGTATCAAGGACAAGGTGGAGTGCCCCCGCCAGGTGCGGGAGGTGATGATGAAGATTTCAAGGACGAGTTGTAACCAAACAGACTTTAAAACGTGTGATCAACCAAATGTGATCTCGGTCACTACAGACTGTGCTTTTAGTGAAGTCGTTATCACTTGAGGCATAGCCTGTATCGTAACACGGATGCGAAGTGTTTTAGCTCGTATTGTGTATATTTATTGGTATGGCTGCATGTGTGCGTGTGCTCGAGCGTTTGTGTGTGCGGTAGTCGTAACAGAACCGAGATCTGATCGAGTTTCTGCTGCTGCGCACTAGAGTGTATGATGCGCGGCGATATTTGTAAAAATTGATGCATTTTTATTTTTAGTGAAATAGATTCGCGTGTGAGAGGTGAGAGGCATGTTTCCATGACTGTCTTAGAGTTCCAATACATTTGTTTAGTAGCTATGCTCACGAAAGTAGGAAATGAATTGGTCGAGTCTCATTTCATCTAGAGAGACTACCTCAGTGTTCTTAACTGTATGTATGTATGTAATTATTTTGAGACTGCAGAATTGTTAGTTAATAATTAGCAGAATAATTAATTATGTAGTAATTAAATGAATTCAATTGAAGTACGGAGGAGTACATAAATAAAACATTTTTCTAACGATATCATCTTTTATTGTTGAAAAACAAAACTACCCTGAAAACTAATCTCCACGCGCATTGCGGATTTGGCTGCAGGCTTCGATGTCGAAGATCGGTGCTGCGATGACGGCTGCTTGAATCTTTACTTGAACCTTATCTGTTACGTAAACAATACCGAGATTAATGTTAATAACTTACATTAATTGGCACACGAAAACCCGATTATCCGTGTTTGATGCCTTAGAAGTACATTTCGAAAATATTATTTCTAGAAAGCATTCGAGAACGATCCTTCTAGAATATTCAGATCACAAATAGTCAGGTTTTAGGCAGGTACTGATGATTATAGGCGTCGCCGCTTCGGTATCATTCCAATAGCGAATATAATAACCTATGTAATGATAGGCTATAAAAACTTTCCGATATTAGAATCACTGTCCGAATATTCTAGAATTCTTTTAAGTTGAAATTCCGGTGTGGTTGAAACCTTTGAAGGAATAATAGGTATTAAGTTTTTATCAGTCAACCATGTTTTTTTTTAGCTCTCTATGTTTTTTATAAATGAATTGTAATTTCAGATATCTGTTACTTTTTTATATTTATATTTGAACGCCGACCGTTTTTCTTGATCGTCGTCATTATTCAGAAGACTCGAATGATTGAGATTAATCCTGATTGTTCTAGAATATGAAGCTGTAAATACCTATTTAGGTATATTGTAAAAGCATTAAAAAAAGAATGTATAGGTAGTCGTTCCAAGTAGAATAGAAGTAGATTTACAACTACGCAGATTTATGGAAAATGGAAATCTACAATGAACAGCTACCTATCAAATGTTCCATTGATATGTAATATTCGCGTGACGACAATACGTCATTGAAGTCATTGACCTTACAATGTGAGCGGTAATAAGCGTGGCCGCCTACGCGACCCACATTGAGTATTCTAATGGTGGATTTGAAAGAATAGCCTTGATCTTGAAAGTTTTTTAACATTTCAAGTATTCACATTTGACAATCTGCTCAATAACAACATTTAACACAGATAATTTAAATAATTTTGATATCTATACGAGATAATATTTTGTTCATGTAATTTTGTTCGCAGGCCTCTTGCGTTTTGGTACCTATATTATTTCTATAGATTTACTATAGGTTTTTTGGTCTGTTTGATTTTCGAAACCAAACCACTCCGAGAACTCAATGTTTACAGCCCAGTTTTCAGATACGCATAATTTATCATATTTACTTTCTGGCACCCCTATAATAAAAGAGGCATAGTCCCTTTCTGTTTTGTGCTTTATTTGTTCTACTTTAACTGGTACTTCCTCTTTGTAAATGACTTTCTTCACATACTCTTCTAGTTTTTCTGCAGTTGTTTCTTTTTGAAGGCGCCAGACATGCAAATATTTCTTTTTCTCGATTCCGCGAATATCAATAATCCGCGAATATATTATATATCTGTCGTATAATACATATTATTATCTAACCAAGTCAGCAGATTAGTATCAACAGCCTTTAATAGTCAACCGCTGGACATAGGCTTCTTCTTAGAAAAGAGTTTTTGGCCTGCCATTCCTAGATTATTACATTAGATTAGTATGATCACTGACTTTGTTGCTAATAGGTAAATTGCTTGCATTAATATGTCGTATTTGTATGAGTTTCGAAAAAAATGGTTTAAAAAACAAATTAAATAATTTGTAGGAATTCCCTACAAATTATATTAATTTGTTTTTTAAACCATTTTTTTTTTGTAAATAAGTAGCTATACCTACCTAAGTAATACCTATACGGTATGCTAGATATAGATAGCTATAAATATTTATATTTAGGTGTAATTACCATAAGTGTAACAATGCTCATATGACATTAGGGTAAAACAAAAGACAATGGTGATAATTCTGTCTTTTGAACAAAAGTAAGGTCTTTTAGTACCAATGTAGCGATGAAAGTAGTTATCTAATCGTCTTCTAATTGGCATGGACTTAACTATAACAGTTTTCTTTACTAAAAAGTTGGGGTGCATTTTTACAATGTAACAGTGACCCAGATGAGACAATTCGAAAATTAATGTCTAATAAGTCTTTAAGTTGTGTTTACAAAAAACTACTGAACAATTAATACAGGGAATAGAAAAAAACCGCAATCATACACCTGGATTACATTTGGATGGACAAATAGAATGTAAATCTTAAATCTTCCTTTACAATTTTTTTTTTGTTTACAATTACAATGACTGTGTAAATTGGTATACATACCAAAAGGCTCGTTGGCGTCTATTTCCTCGGCTGACAAGCCGGCCGCGGCGCGTAGTTCCGCCAGGGCGTCAGAAAAGTAAGCATCGAGCTGAAACAATTAAGTACATTTTATGAATTTTGCACCGTTAACTTTTTTAAACACCTCACACAGAGCTATGCGCTAGAGCTATTAAAAAGTTAGAAGTACCATATCAACTGACCTGGGCCTCAATTCTGCTATTTTATGTTCACGCCAAGATTGGCGATGATTATTTAAGGAAATGATAAAATTATAAAAGTTTGTCACAATTTCAAAATAAAAAAATCATTTCCTTATAATTTAAAAATATATTACGTTTTTACGATTTATTAATTTTTCCAAATATGACAATCTTTTTGATATCACCACTGATGAGCCAGTGCCATTCCATCGCCACTGTAAAGACACTGAGTTAGTGTAGACTACCGATATTTAAACCGATGCTAATGGCCACTCGATGGCATCTCAATAGCGTGTCAGTGGTATGACAGTGGCTTGGCGTGAACATAAAATAGCAGAATTGAGGCCCTAGTATCACCGATTTCACGTGACTCGGTCTATAGTCTCGCCTATGGTCAGAAGTCCAGACATTGCCTTATTGCCTTATACAACCGCAGGAAGCCTTTTAATGACTTTCAAAAATGTGGCATATGGGACGTGGTGCTTAGCAACGGATCTTAGGAGGAGAGGGGCAAACCTGGTCACCGGGAGGCAGTTTCAGGGGGCACCAAAATCATAATATAATACGGTTTAAAATAAAATAAAGTAAAATCGATTAGCGTGCAGCGCACAATATGTTTTATTAATTTTCGTTTTGACGTTCTAATAAGAAAACTCTATGCTTTTATTTTGGTTTAGATTGAAAGAAAATACCCTCGTATTTTCTTTCAATCTAAACCAAAATGTTATACCAATATTAATAACAAATTGCTTTTTAAATGAATAAAAACATTTTAACTACCTATCTTTTTTTTCGTATAAATGGAGAATTTTCTGAAATGCAGAGACATTGCTAATTAGAAGGTTGATTTGATTGCAAAACGCCCTGTTAGTTTTCGAACACATACCTACTAAGGGTACCTATGTGTTCAAAAAGTAACTGGGAATTTCAAAATCAAATCGAGGTTACGCGAGAAGTTGCAGCTCAAAATTAACTTTTAGAAAAAAATACGAAACTGGAGCAGACATATTTTAGGATTGGGGAAAATGCATTATTTAAGAGTAATGATATATGATATCTATATAAAAGAATAGGACCTGTTAAAATATCATTATGTAAATGATAATAACGCCCAATAAAAATACCTTTCAAGTAAAAAGGTTAAAGTAAAATACGGATGAGGTTGGGGAGGCCTTGATAATTTTATAGAAGAAGAAGAAATAAAAGAGCATATAAGTTTATTTCACATATAAATTTTAAGTTAGAGTGCAAATTTATTAAAGGGTTCACATAAGAACCAATATATTTTCATGTAGCGTTACTATCACAAAAAATACCAACCATTATATTTGTGAGGTTTTTTAAGTTATTTATCTTAAACGCTGGATAGAGGGGGCTTTATTGTTAAGTTTCTGCCGGGTTAGAATAAATCTTAGAAAGGTTGGCGGTGCTCAACCGCTCAAGGACTGCGTCTGCCTCTCTGATCAGCACTCTTGAACGTCAGATGGTAGTCAGAAGAGCAAGTTCGTTTCTAAGTTTTTTTTTTTCAAATTCTAAATTACGAGAAAACGGTAGAGGTTTTGTATTTTGTTGCTTCAATTTACTTGTAGCTAGGACAATGCTGAACCTAACTTGTCCTACCTACACAACCCCAAGCTCGACTAATACAAATGGAGGAATAACAATATTTGGAGTACGGAACAAAAAAAGCAATACCTTTGTTAATTGTACATATATGGTAAGAATTATGTATGCCGAACTTGTGTATCAAGAATCTGAGACAATTCCGTGCACTAATCCGTTTCGTAGTCGTACGTTGTCTAAATATAGTCAATCTGTTCAGTGGATTACTTACGCGTGTCACGTGGTCATTTTATATATGTCTGTCCTTGTCTGTGATATGTTTGGGTTTTACATGCCATTTAATACTACTTATTAATAAATTTATAATTATTATTATTACCTCGTAATCCAGCACTTCCTCGTTATCTTGAGGGTGGCGCAAAACCCTTGGCCCACCAAAGGGAACAGTTTTGCCGGTACACCAGTCCACACCATTAGCCAACTTGCGCGCCTTACATGTCTCTGTATCCGCGTTCAGGAATATGATCCTGACAAAATAAACAACCATGTATACCAATTTTTATCTAATTATATACTTATTGAATTCTATTAATGAGTATTGTAAACGCGAAAGTTTGTGAGGATAAAGGTTCATACGAATATGTTTGTCACTAGATCATGCAAGAACGGCTGAATGAATCATCATCAATGGTATGTCACGAATGTTAGCATCAACATAATACGAATGCTACGGCGACAACCAAGAAATTTGACAAATTGACAATCTTGCTTGAAAACACCAAAAAAATACCACTCAATCTGTCAGATTTGTATTTCACACTTGGCGATTATTTTGTATTCCAGTAATTTTGGAAAATATTTCCATTAAGTACGCTATAAAAGTAATACAGATAAATTATTTTCTGAGTTTATTTGGGTATTCATTACACAACGTAAAGGAAAGATTAATAAACAATTCAAATATCGATTTTTGTTAATCAGAAGGACGTGAGAAAGAAATCCTGAGGGTGCTCATGTTAGATTAGCAATTTATGTCAGAAAACGTAGTTTAGATAGGTCATTTTATGTGCTAAATTTTAACTTAATTAAACGATGTAGTGCTCTCACTAATGAGTACTATAATATACTTTTGTCGCCTGGAATTGTACAACCTGCAATAAATTGACGTTAGGCGTAATTTAACCAGCATGATAAAGATGTTAGATGTAACTGATGTAAGGTCTAATCTCGAAAGACATTAGGGAGAATTCATCATCATCATCATCATCACAGCCTTTAGTGGTCCACTGCTGGACATAGGCCTCTTCTTATAAAGGAGGTTTTGGCCACGGGATGAATAGGGGGTGGTGACACACTACACGGACAACTTACTAATTAGGTAGTATTTATAACCGACAACAAAGTAACAAAGAGGTTCTTTATTCAGCTGTATTTTTTTGTTACCTCAAAACTCCGTAATTTAAATACATATTTATTTGGAAAAATACATATTTATTCGAAAGAGAATTCGTGTTTGGACCCATTAACATTTCACAAAAAAAATCTATCCCTAAGGATCAAAAATTAAAGAATGAAAAACTGTAGTTTATTACAAATTCATGATGGTGGTTTTGAAGTCGATAATCCTTTTTTAAAAGTAAATTATTCTTATCTCCTGTATTTCTCTTACACGTGTAGCTACTTAGGTATGAAACCTTGAGCAAGTAGAAATCAATCGATTTCATTAATTAGTGATTGCTTTAGTTCGTGATCACATCCCATTCTGCTGTTCCTCAATACTATGTATTGTAGCATCTGTTGCAGTCTGCAAGCTTTCACTTAGAAAGTAGTTAAAATTAGAGTAACTCTAACTAACTTTCATTTATAACAATTGCTTTAAACGAAAGTATAAGTGACTACAAGATGGCGGACAACAAACTGAAGGTAATGAAATCAGGGCAGATACCTACTTTCAGTAGGAATTTTGTAACTGTATTGTTTTTTGTGTGTGTTCATATTTCAACTGTGTTCATATTTATTTCGAAATATTAAATTATTCTTCATTCGAATAAGAAATTTAATTCTCCTCTGTGAAGAATGGGCTAGAAGAATATAAAAAAAAACATTTTTCAAATCGATATACGGTTAATGTTATAATGGAATACGTGAAGTCGGTTTTATGCTTTAAAAGATAAACTTGACGTTATATTGTTGTTCAAGGATCTTTTTAACTATATTGCTTATTGGCTAAAATTAAGTTAAATTTTTTACACTACGCTTCAACACTACTACAATATGTATGCTGATACGTTGATACTGTTAATATATTGCTACCACATGGCTTTTTACATATTTTTTACTTGACGTACCTACATGTGTCTGTAGTTAGAAAAGTTAGAGCGGGGTTTGTTCACTCATTCCTCACTCCACGCCTCACTGACAAACTACGAAAGAACTGCTTTACACCAGCTTTCTGTAAGGTCACTCCAGTCGAACAGAGGCCCAAGTCAGCCCAAGTGGAGTTTTTTACGCTTCTACTCAATCGTTCCGGTGACCGCGTTCGGCGATGTGATTGGTCCGCACAGAAATCTCAACCAATCGCAACGCCAAACGCGCTCGCCGTCGAGAGCGTGTCGATGTGAGATAAACTTGCACTCGGCCCGCTGGTCTATATGCGCCAAAGCGTGGCTTTTACACAGTTAGTATCTCTCTCCCGCGGTGCTCGTTTATTTAGTAAAAAGCACATAATAAGTATGTACCGGTTCGGAGGAGTAGAATGGTTCTCGAGCAGCTCAAAGTCGTTCCCGCAGGTTGGGTACCCCGCTAGTACCCACCCGTTTTCGAGGCAATCCTGAAATTACAAAGTAAAACTCGCTAAATACGATCTCGCTTCATATCATAGATTGTAGGTACTCGTACAAGAAATTTTATGGTTATGCCATTCTCTCGCTCGCTAAGAAGTTATATGTACTTACTTTATATCTACTATTTATCTTTAAAAAGGTGAAGATGATGCAAAACGCAAAAAAATGTATTTCAATAAAAAAAAAGTATTTCAATAAAGCATGACTTGGATATCCTTCTTTCAATTCACTTGTCGGTTTTCCTAAATAAAAACAGTAAGAAAATGCAATCATATCCAATCTTCTATATATACTCGTATAAGAGATTTCCACGTAGGTACATAGTTACTCATCACGATATCTCTGGAACCATTAGAGCTAAAGACTTGAAATTTGGTAGGAATATTCTTTTCACCGAGTAGAGGTCAGCTAAGAACGAATTTTAAGAAAAAATGTAAATAGCAAAACAACTTTGCAGGGTCAGCTAGTATATAATATTCGGTGTTTGTTACCTATCTCCTCCTTTTTTTTTTGTCAATTGCCTAGAAATGTTGTAGGTACTCGTATATGGCAAAACAACGTTTGCCGGGTTAGCTAGTATATATATGTATATATCACATATATATATATATATATAAGTATATATATATCAACGTCCATGTACCTAATGTCCAAATAACGTATTACGAGAAAACTCAAATACCTCTTACCTAACCTTTCTAGAAAACACTTTACAACACTTTATAATTTATTACAATAATTAAATCATAAACACTTTTAAAAAAATACAAACTACGGAAATGAGTTTTTCACAATATGAATACAGATATATACACAATATGGTACAGATAATTTTAGACAGTAAATCATTGGCATTATTAATGTGACCTGGATTGAATCGTTTTTGCAAGAAACGGTTTAAATACATGTCACATCTGATATTGTGGAGAGCCTTGGTGAAATCTATATCCAGCAGTGGACGTCTTGCGGCTGAAATGATAATGGTGATGACATGTCTCACCTTCCTGAGCAAGCGTTCCTTGACTACTTCAGCCCTCACTTGGATGCTGGTGCCAAACTTACGAATTCGTGCACCTATCTCGTTGTCTTTCTCCCTGGCCTCATTGAATATGTCTTGAAAGGACACTAGCATAGACAATTAAGAGAGGAATTAGTACAGGCAGGCTAACTACGAGTAACCCCCCGGGCTGGGTGTAATCTGTTACGCAGACGATACCCTCGTGACAGCCCGGGGGGCAAACTTCCAAGAGGCGGCGCGCCTGGCCACAGGGGGAGTCTCCCTGGTGGTCGGGCGCATTGAGGCGCTGGGCTTACGGGTGGCCCTAGATAAGACGGAGGCCCTGTTATTCCATGGGCCCCGTCGTGGTCCACCCCCTGGCGCCTCCATCGTGGTCAACTCGGTCCTCGTACCGGTTCGGGCCCAGATGAAATATCTGGGCCTGATCCTCGACGGGAGGTGGCTCTTCGACGAGCACTTCCGACAGCTTGCTCCAAAGCTGGTCGGCGCTGCGTCTGCCCTAGGGCGACTCTTGCCCAATATGGGTGGACCCAGCGTCGCGACAAGACGGCTGTACACGGGGGTTGTCCGGTCAATGGCACTGTACGGTGCACCGGTGTGGGCGGCGGCTCTGACCGCCCAGAATAGGGTACGCCTCTGGCGCCCTCAGAGGGTAATGGCGGTCAGAGCCATACGCGGTTACCGCACCGTTTCGACGGAGGTGGCATGCGCATTGGCCGGAACTCCCCCGTGGGATTTGGAGGCGGAAGTGCTCGCCGAAGTTTATCGGCGAGTGGCTGACTACCGGGCGGAGAGCGGATTTCGCCCTCCGCCCGAGGATGTGCGCGAGTGGCGCGAAGCCGCTCGCCGAGCCACGATGGCTCGTTGGTCGTTCCGGCTGGAGACTCCACGCGCTGGCTTCGCCGCCGTGGAGGCTCTCCAGCCGGTCATCGCCGAGTGGGCAGGGCGGCAGCACGGGACCCTTTCCTTCCGACTGACGCAGGTGCTTTCCGGGCACGGTTGCTTCGGAAAGTACCTGCACACGGTCGCTAGGAGGGAACTGAGTCCCGCCTGCCACCACTGCGACTGCAGTGAGGACTCGGCCCAGCACACGCTGGCGGTCTGCCCCGCATGGGCGGCGCAGCGCCGGGCCCTCACTGCAGTCATCGGAGTGGATCTCTCGCTACCGGCCGTAGTACGCTCCATGGCCGGTAGCGACAGTTGTTTTACCGCGGTCGCAACCTTCTGCGAGGTAGTAATCTCGCGGAAGGAGGCGGCGGAGAGGGCCCGGGAGGACGACCTCCACTCGGACCCGATCCGCCGCCGGCGAACCGGGCGGCGGAGGCCCGCCTACCACAGCCTCATGCCGCCCTGAGTGTGGCCGCGGGTGGACGGGGTGGGTTTCCCCTCCACCCGCATTAGTTGGCCAGCCGCGAGGGGGCGGCGTCCGCGTGTGCCGGACGTCGCCTAAAGAGAGGAACATCTACAATGAGACGGAGCCCGCACCAGGAGCGGGCTGGCGCTAGGAGGGGTCCGGATGTCTTAACAACAGCTGTTCCCGGATCCCTCCTGTTACAGGCGCAGAGTGGCACACCGTGTGGTTTTAGTCGGTCCGAGTCCGACACACCACCCCGCCGCAAACCCCGGAGGGGTGACGGTCCGAGGGGATTTCCACACGTTAAAAAAAAAAAAAAAAAAAAAAAAGGCTAACTACGAGTAAATATAGTGTATATATATGTAAGTTAGATTTATCTTAAATTAATAAATTTAATATAAAAAAGTCAAATTCTCTGTTTTCTCTTACACCTACAGCATCATTTTTCTACATCACCCAAAGGTCGACTGGCAGAGAATGCCTTGGGAATTAAGTCCGCCTGTGTACAACTTGTGCATTAAGTTAAATAAATAAATTATTTATAATAGTTATATTAATTAAATTAAATACAATACTAGTTGAACTGCACAAGAATAAACTTAATTCCTTAATTAAGCCGCGGCCGTAATTCTTTTTTAATTCTTTATTATGTGACAAAAAAAGTTCGAGCCGGTATGTGCTAAAACACCGGTATCCACGATAAACGAAAATTCATTTATTAAGATGTTGGTTACAAAATGAGACGAATTCAAATGACATCAAATAGATTAGCCCTGTGAATCCGGTGATCTCAAGTTATCACGACCAAACGATGACAAGTGTATCATGTTAAGGTACATAGTTTATTACTTACAGTAAACCAATCCGAAGTGCTTAGCGAGTGTGCGCGCCTGTGAGTTGCGGCCAGACCCGGAGGGACCCAGCAGAACAACGCGGTACAGTCCTGGAGCACCGACCACGTGGAAGCCCTGTTTAGGGCCCTGTGCCCCGGTTGAGCAGGCGCGCACTGCGTTCAAGCATTTACTGACTATTTTCTCTAAGTCGTCTTCTTCTTCAATGTGCACTTCCTGCAATGTCAACCAATCTTAATAACCGTAGCCTTTCTCATCCAGGTTTTTCATAGCTGTTTATATTCCTATCTTCAAGGTACCTAATTTAAAAAAAAATCGTTTATGAAACTCTTTATTTCGATACCTCATTCGATAAGTTTCAAAAGATAAATTTAGTATAAAAATAAACTATTTGCTAATTCATTTTCAAAAGTGAATTTCTTTACGATGCCATCATCAGATGATACACAGAACTTGATAGCAGTTATACGAACTAAGTTTCAAACGAAAAATAATTTCTCAAACCGGGCTCGCCATCTTTAAGTAATTTTGGAGAGAGTACAATGAAACAACGGAACTGCTTCTGAATTAAAGGGGATTTTGGGACTAGACCTCAACCTCCGACGACCGTACAAATGGAAGTTCATCGCAGCCAACGTGACGAACCAATCAATGTTGCTATCGCAAAACTATTTCTTTTAACAAGTCAATAAGTAGTCCTATTCGGGGCTTTCCTGTTTCTTTACTGACAGATAGTCAATGCACGGTCCTTTTCAAGACTTTTTTGTTTCTTTAAACAAACAGTCTTGCGGTAGCCACATAATCAAGGAACATAAAAATGGACGAAATTGAGAACCTCTTCATTTTATGCAGTCAATTAGAAAAGGTTTGTTCTATAGAAGTTTTCTACCTTCAATGTTGCCCTATAGGCATACTTGAGACCCTCGAAGTCCTGTTGAAAAAAGTTTCTGGCAGAAGTATGATCATTACTAGCGGGTGGGGCAGGTGGAGGCGTGTTCATAAGAACTAGAGTGACGGTTGGAAGAACGCCGTCTTGTTGTAAGCAACGAGCCTCTCGAACCGTGCACGGGTGATCTGGGAACAAATGAATAGATATCATTTTGCAAAAAACATCTCTGTGTGACTTTTTACTGTTTAAAGAATTTTCATATTTACTGGCAATGCTTAAATATTGGTTAAATAACTTAAATATTTTCAATTAGATGTGTTTCATTATAAATAAGATAGTAGGTACATGCCAGTTTATTTAGTTCACATAAATTGTATTGAACTCATAAGTAGACGATTAGGTAATGTTAATAAATTAACTGTGTTATCTGCTAATATTAGAGGAAGAAAAATATCAATTTCTATTGCTATTCGCAGCGTGTGATGAGCTTGCCCTTTAGTTTAACAGCAAAAAAAATACGAAATTAGAAATTATTACCAAACATAAGCCAACCAGCATGTGGCACTGGATCTTTCAATGCCAAACATTTCGTCACTTCGGACATAAGAACGGGTGACACGTGCCCCGGCTCGTAATTATCGTGCTGTAATTAAACGTTATCACGTAACTATCTATTTATTATCGCAATTATTTATGTAATGTTACTTAGTTTTACTTTCTCGTAACGATCCATCACGCACCGGCGAGTGATCACGAAGCATCCTAGATCTTTTATCAATTGTCTCGCTAGTGCTTCAATTCCTGTAAATAGAATGATTACGGCATTGGTGAATTGATTTTATGACACTCGGAGGCCATTGCAATAATATTATTAATTGTATAAAATTGAAGGCGTTTTTAAATGTTTAACAGTTTTACTCTCGCTTTCTAGAATGTGTTACGGAAATGTGGAACAGGAAGCCGAGAAAACACGTGGTATTTGATGTGACGAATTGTCGTGAAATGCCAGAGTTGGTCGTCAGGTGCGACTACTGTGACAGCCGTCGCATTGAAAGCGATGCTGCGTGATGCAATATTATAATAATATAAGAACACTGTTTTCGTTTGTCTTTAAGCCGTATCTCGGTATACCAGTTCAGGTGTTGGGAGTGAACCACCTGTCATGTATCAATTAAAACTTTTATTTGAGTAACTTAACTTTTATCTGAGTAGACAGTTTGGATTTTTCGAATAAACATTAATGTTAGTCTGGTTTAAGTGTTCAGACTTGCCGGCAATGGCCAATCCGCGCTACGTACGTTACCCAATCCATCTTAAGGAGCGAAATTTATTTCCTACCGTTGCCTTCTCTTTTATCTACCTTTCTTTTCCAAAAAATACCAGTTTTAAACCAGACCGATTTTATACTAAAAGGCTCGCTTTATACTGTAAGAGTCAGATAGTATAAAATCAGTCTACGAAGACAGCGACGAGCTATGTCATGATTGCAAGTAAAACAATGGGCAATTACCAAAAGTCAGTTTAGGTTCGATGAGTAACATAACCCTGTCTACGTCCTTGTTGATATACACATGATGAGACAGGTATATCTTCATGTGTTTGATGTGGTCTCTTGGCAAATTGATTATCAAGTCCCTTATCATGTCCTGTAAAATGCTCAATACTTATGTCTAATTACTTTTAATAGTGAAATTGATCGTTCGATCGTTTTTTATGGAGATCAGACTCTGTCATCGTTCGGCCGAGCGCTGTTTTTTTTTATGTTATTTGGGGCAGTCTAGCAGATGGTTCCTAAAATACAGGGCTCACGGCCTAGTTTAGGAGACAGGGTTTCATTCAATCTAATTCATAACTCAATTGTAGCACACTCAATGTTTTGCTTTTATTTTGTATCAAAAAATTTGTAATGTGTTTTTGGAGTTCCTGTTTCTGTTTTTTGTGTAATAAATACATTATTATTTTTTTTGGAGTAATAATAGATTTACAAAAGTGTTTGCCGTCCTGGCGATCTTTCCGTCATGGCTAGTAATAACATATGTAACTTTTTGTCAAGAAACGATTTCAAATCATAAATTGATAAAATATAATACCAAGCTAAGATGTTTTTTAAGCATTGGTATTAAGCGATAACCATTGACAGTGAATGTTTCGTTATAAATGAAAAGAAGTGTACCGTTTTACACGTATGCATCAACAACCCGAAGTTGAAATACAAAATTGATTCGGTGGAATTGCAACCTGTAAGTTCCCAAAGAGATGTAGTCGTCACCATAACACATAACGTCAAGTCACACGTCGTACATATCACAGATAGTGAAGAGGGCTAATTCCATGCTGTGTGTGGTAAGAAAAGCAATAACATAATTTATAATATGTATGTAAAAAATAATAACTGCACGGATGGTTTAAGTGGTTGCCACGCCGCTTTCAACTACGCCGAGTGTTGTGGGTTCAAACCCCACATGGGACGACACTTTGTGTGATCCACATATTGTTGTTCTGAGTCTGGGTGTTCTTTGTGTCCGTATCATGTATGTTTTTAAAGTGCCCCTAATGCGGGAGTTGTCTTTTAAAAAAAAAAAAAGAACAAGAAATTACAAAATACTTGTTTATCAAGATCTACAAATATATATCCGTCAGCTCTTGGAGTAGGTAAGTTCACATTTCAAATATGGAATCCATGGTTTAAGAAAGACTCGAAATGCTCGAAAAAGTACAACGGAGGGCTACAAAAATTGATATATCGTTTAAACACATTTCATATGAAGAACGCCTTAGCGAATTAAACTTAACTACACTGGAACAAAGCAGGAAAGGGGAGATCAGATTAAAACATTTAAAATATTAACTGGACACTACAATGTGAAAGACATCGGAAACCTCTACACTATGAATTCGAATACCCATTTGAGAGGACACTCATTGAAGCTTACCAGGTCTCCCTCTGTTAGCAACGCTAGAAGACACTTTCCACCAAATCGCGGAGTGACCATTTGGAAAAGTTTACCGGCAAGGGTTATTAGTGCTGGATCAGTAAACATTGAAATATACCTTGAACAACTTATAAATCCTATGTTTGTCAAGGTAAGGTATAAATCTTTCGGGCATTTGGAGTGGCCGTTTCGTGCAATCGGTTTCGGTCATCTTCGTCTTAAAATATTTAAAAAATAGTAATATGTAAGCTATTTAATAATATTTACGAAAGTAAGGTATTTGAGAAAGTATCATGTGTTTGACGTTTACTCATAACTGTTTACACTTTGACATACAATTATTATTTTAAAATAACTACTTTTTTTAATTGAATGTAAACACTGCCAGTATATTGGTATTGTCAGTATCACCATTTCATAAGTACTTTGTGTTACTTCAGAAAAAGTTAATACTTTTTAATTATAATAATGAAAAGTTATTATTTATTTTTTGGATAGTGGTTGGGGTGCTGTGGTTTTTAAAATTGAATTGCAGAGCTTAATCATTACAGGGGTGGCAAAAATTTAACGAACTTATTATAGAACGCGTTTTAAGTTTTACTCAGTTGAAGATACTTGCAAGCATTTGAACTTACAGTCTGTTCTCAATTTATTAGGTACGTTTCGGCATGATCAATATTATTTAAAAAAAACTTTTACAAACATAATTTCTGTGAATTTGTATATTGTAGGTATTGGCAGGTGTAGCAATGTAAACATTAACAACCATGTTTTTATTTGTATATTTCTAAAAATTTATATTACTAGAATAATATTCAATTTTAACAAAATTTAAACAACAACAAATCATAATAAAACACTTTCATTTCCCCTAAAATGACCTAAAAATCACCACTCGAGACTAGTTTCAGCTTGCCTCACGTAAACAATGATCACGTCTATCAAAATCTATACCTGAGTAAAGATTTCGACACAAAACATCGTTCTAAAATAGACTATCACTCACTTGAGTATGGATCGTTGAATCTCGTTTTAAGTAAGTGCCGTTCAACAATAACATCTCCACGTAAAATTTGTTTTAAGACTAGATTCACGACTGAGACGCTTTTTAAAATACGGGAGGAAATAAAAAGAAGAGGAACCAGAAATGAACTACATCAAGTTTGATTAAAAGCATCTTATTACATTATGTTAAAATGTGAATTTAATGTTCTGACTTTCGTGCCTTAATATAGATTGCTAAGTGACGACGTTATTTGAAATATATTTATTGTTGCTTTTTTATGATACCTATAAGGATTCGTAAACAGAGCATACAGTAGAATATTCTTTAAGAAAATAAATTTGAAAAAAAGCGTGGGGTGCTTTTTACTATTGACAACAGGCACCCAACGCTTTTTTTCAATTTATTTTCTATTTTTTAGTTTGGTTTTCTATAGAAAGCGTATTTTTTAGTTTTTTAAAACTATAATTTTTTAATTTTCTTTTTTTAAATTAGTGTATTGTCATCGATCCTCGATATATCTACAAAGTTTGAACGAATTCTGACCGATAAAGTCAGTCAAAATCACGCCCAAAGGAGTCGGTTACAAACATACAAACAAACATACAAGTGAAGCTAATATAAAGCGTGTAAAAACCAACAAAAACTGCCTAGTAATATAAATTTACAAAATGAATATGTCCAATATTTGGTTATATTGCTGAGAGCAATCTCTTATAAACACGAGGACCCCATCGATAAAAGACAGAAGAAAAGTCATAATTATTTTAAGACTAGGTATACTGTGTAAACTAATACCTACGCTGTTTAAAAAAAACATACATGTATAAACGAGATATTTAATATATATTTATAAAAATCTTTGACCATTGTATTGAATATTGCTAATGATTGTGCAATTTACAGCAGGAATCCAGTGCAGAAATTGTCATGAAATTTGGTAGAATGAGTGGGCACGCAGCCCGTTTCTAGTATTGTAATGATTTAGAGGATCTTTTTTGTGTGGTATAAATATATTTTATTTTCCATGTATATTTGGAGCCCTAGCAGCTTTGAATTGTTCCATCCAGATGTAAACCACCAATGACGTCATAATGCACAAACGAAAATGGGACACTTCTTCTGATGTCGCAGAGACGAACCACGAGAATCCTTACCATTCATTTACATACTAGTGTATGTTACTTCGTTACACATGGTATTTTATTAAATTATATATTTCTTTTCCTATGAATTACAGCTTCGTAATACGTATAAATTAATTAAACTTTTTGTTTTTGTATATGGCAAACTGTGACGATGTCGACAATTCTGCCAAAGTAGAATGTGTGATGAAGGTGCGTGTGTTGTGTTTTCCGAGCCGTAGAGGGACAAAACATAACCTCTCAAGGACATAACTGCACTAAATAAAACTTTTTTTTACACATTTTAAAACCTAGTTCAAGATGTCATATTTTGTGATTTGTCAGTTGCATGCCGTCACCTGTCAATTTCACATGTCATCGGAGATGAGGTTATGTTTACATAATTTCGATCATTGTGGGAAGCGATTATCAGCTAATTACCAGTTGTGTGCGGTTAAATGTTATGACAGTAGCAAATATGAGGGGTCAGATGTCTTACACTTCATTGATAATTAGAAACAGTTCCACAAAAACACCATGTGAATTGATACGTTCGCAAGTTAGCTCGAGGTTACGATTTTTTCTCGTATTGCAGTAGAATTGCGTTGTTAGACTTTGAGTAACGCCGTTTCTTGTCATCAGTGACGTGCCTATGAACAGGGTCAATTTATTCCGTAGTTATTTAGCGAGTAGTGTAGCTTTCAGGATGTCTTCTTGTAAGAAGAGTTATGAGGTACGAATTTATATACATATTTTAACTTGTGACTAAACTGCATTATTTAAATTTCGAAGTTATTTACATGAAACAGAAAACAATTCTATTTAAATTGTTAAATTTATTAAGCATCTTGCAATCTTATAAATTTCGTAATCCCTAATTTTTGCTTAACATTAATAGTTTGAATTTAGTGGTATAGCTTATCAGTAGAATTTTTGTTTTAATGTGATTTAGTCAATTGTATGTTTGTAAACAGTTCGACTCATGAATAAACCATTTTTTTAGCTATAGCGTTGAAATTGAGTACTGAAATAGTGATGAAGTATGATTTCATGATATTTTTGCAATTTTAAAATGGTTTCCGTTTACAAAATTTATAGTTATAGATCAATAGCGGTGAGTTGTGTGCTAAATACTATATATAGAGATAATAAATTAAATTCATAAATTGTAGTTTATAGACTTTTTCTAAAGGTTTCTTTATTTTCAAAGTGACTCTTGATTACTGCTGTTTCCTGCTTTATAAATATAGAAAACATACTTAGAGCAATTAATTAATATATATAAAACATAGTGTGTAGCACGTAATAATTTAGCACACCCAAATTCTTATAGTATTTTTCCTCAGTCCAACATTATATGTACACATTATGTCTTACAATTTTGAATGCCTTTTTTTCCTGGAACAAAAAAATATTTTTTGTGTGTGGAATAAACCACTGAGGTCTATCATAAATATTTCTAATTAAAAAAAATTTTGTTAAAATTGCCAGTTTACAAACACTAAATTATACTTTTGTGAATGTCATTTAGACATGTGTTTGTTATTGTTGTATGTTATTTATACATACTATACCATATATGGTATGTATAAAATGTCCATCAATGTGTAGTACCTTCTAAGTAAATTTATATTCGGCAAGATCTGGTCGAGCAAAGAAATACCAACAGCATGTGGAAAACCTCATTTTTTCTTCATTCCTAAGAAAAGTGAAGTAATATATCTCAGGGACACCAACAGATCTTACCAATACAATATCGAAAATATTTTTCTCCTGTCTTCAATTAACAATAATACAGTTCATAACAAACAATAATTACTTCAGACCAAATCACCAGAAAGGGTTCATGCCTGGAATCTCTGGATGTCTGGAATGTCTGTCATGAAAGGCAAAAAACAGTCGGTTGGACAGATTTAAAAAAGTGTTTGGCGCAACACAAGCTCATTTTATTTGCATTGAAATAGTAAAACTTTCTGCCTCTAATTTGTGAAATATGTAATTGCATCATACTATAGATTATAAATATGTAATCACAGCAAAAGAGGGAAATACAAAACCCCTTGAATACAAAGTAGGGTTGTTCCAAGGTTGCTGCTTGTCACCAGTAATATTTAATACAGTTATGAATAATTTAATAGACAATAAGGTCTAAGGTCAATGGAAAATATACGCACTCCATCTTAGCATTCGCAGACGACCTTGCGATCCTCACACGTAACCCGTAGCAGTGCCAAGAACTACTGCGTAAGGTGCATGACTTCTGTATCTGGACGGAGGGATTGAATACAAAACGTAGCAAATGCTATTGCCTTTGGGCCATCGATGTACCAGATACACCTCATTTGACCCCGGGCTTATTATTGATAGAGAAAGTGTTTCAACATTATCAGAAACCGTGCCCTTTAAATACCTCGGCAGAGAAATAGACCACAAAGGTCGTACCCCATCTATGAATGCAGTAATCGATGACTTCGTAAAAGACATTGACAAGGTAGACCAACAGTCAATAAGTAACGTAAAAGAAGTAGAAGAACTAGTTAACATCACGTCTCAACTGGATATTTTTGGTATACGATATCAACCAGAACCAGTTAAGAACACTGGACACAAAATTCAATAAGACATTGAAGTCGTAAATCGAGCTAGCGTGATCTGCAGACCCGTTAACATTGTACAGGAACTCGAATAAATTTGGAATGAAATTTGGAAAAAAACCTTTGGAACTCTACAAATACCTAAGAGTTACCAAAATGCATGTCTTGTCAAAATCACAATATGAAATCGTTAAATCCCTTCCAAAAGACAAAAAATCATCAGAGCTCAAGTCACGGCTCCAATTCCAAAAGTAATTTGTGGTGGGTGCTAGAAGACAGACAACGAGATAACAGACAGGATAAAATCGATAGGAGAAGAGGTGGTGTCGCTGTTTATCTTCGCAGTTCATTCTCTTACAAAATTTTAACATCTTCCTTTTCCTCTAGTAAAGCATCAGCAGAATATCTTTTAATAGAGGTAAGTATCAAGGGAGCCAAAATAATTCTGGGAGTTAATTATTGTCCCCCTACCGTCGACCACTTTCCAGTCTCGAACCGATTCTGGAATCTTTAGGGTCCGAGTATATACACCAGATCATCATGGGCGACTTCAATACCATGCATCCTACACAGGCAATCAAAGCAACTAGTTTACACGTACTACCATTGACAGCCACCCATCATAATATCGACGTACTTGATACTTACCTTATCCCTACTTCCTCTCCTTCCATTGTCCGCAGTCATGGCCAACACCATGCCTCAGGTTTTTTTGAACATGACCTCATCTACCTGTCCTACGCCCTGAAACGTTGTGAACGTCTCCCTCATTTTAGCCATATTCGCTGTTTCGGACGGATGAATGAAGAAAAATTACGCAGTGACGCCTTAAAACTAGACTGTAACCCTCTAATTGAATCGCCTACAATGGACGATAAGGTTCACATATTTAATGATTTAGTAATTAACCTCTACGACAAAAATGCTCCAATTAAAAAAAGTCAAAGTACAACGCGCCCCAGCCCCCTGGATGCCCGAAGACGTTTGAAAGGCTATAAGGCGCAGAGACAAACGTAGCAAAAATTCCGGAAAACTAGGAGTGAAGTACTGGTCTTCTTGTAAGGTTGCAAGAAATCGGTAGTGCGCCATGCTAAACACTGTCATATTATTAACAATCTTGATAATCCTTCTGCCACCCATATCTGGGGATCCTTTGGAAACCTGGATATCGGTAAGTCCGTAAAAAGTAACTCTTCAATGACCTTTGATTTGGATAACATTAACCAACATTTCACCTCACTTCCTAAATTCAACCATCAAGCAAAGTGTCAGACTTTAAGGTACCTGGCTGACCTACCCCACTACACTATTAAATCTTTTCAATTCTCTCCAGTAGTATCAGACGAAGTCAAAAAGATAATCCTTTCCTAATCGTTTGTCTGTGAACCCTGCAAAATGCTAGTTTATTATCGTCGGCGTTTACCGTTTGACCAGAAGGCTGGATCCGGACAAGCCATCACCTATAATTTTTAACGGTTCTAGTATTCCCCTTAGTTCTTCTGTTAAGGATCTGGGCATCTTCGTTGATAGCAACCTCAGCTGGCAAACCCAGGTTGCTAGCGTCAGCCAGAAAATGACAGGAACACTGCGGGCTATAAGGCCTGTATAAACAGGCTCAAGAACTTTCTTCCCTCTGAAACGAAAACAATGTTTGAACAGACCACAATGATCCCCATTATCGATTATGGTGATGTGTGCTACTACGACCTGAATGCAGACTTCCTCAACAAATATGACCGACTTCTGAATAACTGCATTCGATTTATTCTTAATCTACGTAAATTTGACCATGTTTCCTCCTTCCGTTTTAAGTTATTGCTGTTTAAGTTATGGCTCCACCACTTTTTTGTACTATTCTCAACTCACCTACTTATTTGACATCCTCCTTTCAACTGTTGTGTTCTAATCATGACAGAACCCTTCGCATACTTCCACATGTATTAATTCTTCCTTCCTTATTCAATCTGTCCTCCTCTGGAACGCTCTTCCCCAGGCAATCAGAATGGCAACCAGTCGTCATTCGTTTAAGACCAATGTGAGAGGCTCTCCTCACATACAAAGAAGTTACATCATCATTGGATTAATACCTAATAAATTTTATGAATTCTGTTAATGTATGTATGTACGTATATGTTTGTACGAATGTATATATGTATAGTTATATGTATACTAGCTGACCGGCGCAACTTCGTCTGCGTCTCTCAATAGTAATAAATTTTCTCCGTTTTTTGAAACATTCTTCATTGGTGCTCCGCTCCTATTGGTCTTAGCGTGATGATATATAGCCTATAGCCTTCCTCGATAAATGGGCTATCTAACACTGAAAGAATTTTTCAAATCGGACCAGAAGTTCCTGAGATTATCGCGTTCAAACAAACAAACAAACAAACAAACAAACAAACTCTTCAGCTTTATAATATTAGTATAGATTTGTCAGAAAGTTTTAATGATATTCGTCACTTTTTCTACCCGCATTTTTTTTCGCGTATCCTTTTATGTATGTATTTCTTAGTTAAGTTTTGTTATTGTTATCGAGTTTAGTGCACCTAATCACTCATCTCTACACCACCCCAAGGTAGACTGACAAAGAATGCCTACAGCATTAAGTCCACCTTTGTACATTTTTTGTGCATAAAGTATTAAATAAATAAATAAAGTAAAATAACCAAATCTTTCCTACAATAAGATAAAAACGAGACATACAAGGTGCACGCAATGAACCTAGAAATGCGGTATGTATGGTTAACTCTAGGTGAATTTTGTTTCCCACCAGCTTTGAAATGGCGAACCCTTTTATACAATTGGTCACCTGCCTTATTAAAATTTTACCTCAACGCCTTTCAATTAACTCTTCCCAATCAAGGCAACCTAGTAAGCTGGGGAAAAGCTACAGAAAAGGCTTGTACTAAAAGATTGTAAGGCGCTATTAGACCGGGGTCATCATTCACGTCGCCATGATAGGGTATTAGGTATTAGGTATTAGGATTAGGGTATATTGACAAATCATACGGGAAGTGTTAGTGTTAGTTTATCACTGGCGACTCGAAAAAAGAATTACAACAAACAAAAACTAACATTGAGTTGGTAAAGGAGGGCTCAACAAAAAAGACTTCACAAAAGCCGTACTCAATTATAAATACCGCCGACATTATTAGTAGACATGTATGAAAATCATTACAGAATACCATAGGATATCTGTGCCTCGGTCAATTAAGTGTGTAGTACTAATAGAACTGACGGTACCATGGGCAACGAATATCCCTACAGATCACGCTCTAAAAAGAAACAAGTACTTTGACTTAACTAACGAAATAACTAAAAATAGTTGCGTTGTATACCGTGGAAGTGAGTGCAAGGGGTTTACCACCTAAATCCCTCTATAAGACTTTGGATTGCCAAGAGCTTCAGTAAGTTGTTTTCTTGAACGAATATCCAAAGCGGCATTGCTAGGCTCGTATCAAATATAGTTAGGTAAAGGGGGTAACACAGCAGATAGTGGAGGTGAGCGCTGACGCATCGCAAGGAGTACTCCCTAAACCTACTCCTTGGTCGCAATTCCTAGGCGCTGTCGAAATCGCATGTGTTGCCCCCATCTATCACGCGATGGACCACCGCTCGGTGAATCCATGGAACGCTAAGAAATAGGTATCAATACAAACATAGATTAAACCATATTAGTGTAATGAGATTAATTAAATTAAACATCTTTTTTTCAGGATGCTGTGTGTAAACTGAACTTGTTGCAATCGAACAAGGCCAGTATAGATCAGATCAGGAAGGACATAAGGACCGGTCAAGTAAGTAACATTGTAGCTGAACTCCAACAGGTAAATGTTAGTTTTGAGACGGGTGTCTTGCATGCTGGCATACTCAAACAACAGTATGTAAGTTACATGTTCCACCAGCCATTTTTACCTACATCGTCAAGGGCTACATTTTGGCGCCTAAATTCACTACAGACCATGAACAATCATAGATTTTTGCCCATCCCGCAATTCCGTTCTTCTCCAGTCTTTTTATATGAAGAGATAAGAAGAATTATTATTATGTGGGTTAGCACAAAGTGAAAGGTACATGCTAGAACATGCGCGAATGCCGCAAGGTCCATTTGTCTACTTCGCAACACCCTTCTCTTTTCATTGTGTAGTTTTGTTTGCCACAGTAGAAACTGTTAGATATTAGATCACATTTTTCCATTCGCGCGCTATCAAGCCTGTCATCCTCCTCACGGACCTCTGGTGAATTAGTTAACTACTCTGCCAAATCTGGAATATTATACAAAAATATCTACCGACTTAGCTTCCCCCCGCAGCTTCGCCCGGGATTTCGGTACCCGTGATCCGTGATCCTGTTTTCGAACGGTTTATATAACATAAGATTTTTTGCGACCTCTTCAACAATAATCGTTATATTTCAGTCAATTTACATTAAACCATCATACACAGGAATCACACTATCTATTGACGAAAACCGTACAAAAATCTGTTTGGTCGAGTGGTTTGAGTTTATCGCGTTCAAACAGAAACATACGGGGGGACTTCATTTTATAATATAGAAGGATTATTAAGTGTAAATAAAGAATTATGATTAATACTATCATGTAAATACTAAGTAAGTTTTGTTGTTAGAGGGAAATCAGTGTGTTAGAGACCTGAGACTTTGAAGCCCTGCGACCCTGACCCTGATGAGATATTGCTTAAATTCGAAATTGCTAAGATCAACGTTATTCTAATGCACGTGCGTGGGGCACAACTGAATTTATTTGGAGTGATTTGGTCCTCACAGAAAACCGGTATTTTGTGACAAGCAATTTTTTCGTTGCATATAAAGGAGTCTTTAAGTTACTGAATTCTAGACCCCTCCACCAAATTCCGAAGGGGGGCATTCAAAGGCCGCAGACTCTTGAGTTGCATAGACAGCGGTAGTCACTTACCATCAGGTGACCCTGCCTGTACCAGAAAAAGGAATACAGAAGAATTCACAGAATTAAACATCGCAAAGTTGAGTTAGATTATTTCATTAAGATGATATATTTCTAATTCTTTTGCATACTCATTGCATTAAATATTCACGGGTTTCAGACAATTTAAGTCTGCTAAAAATGTAGAATATTCACGTAACCTTCTCATTGTTATGCATAGCGTGATTAAAATGATTATCTGCCTTGAAAATGCTTGACAAAAACTAATTTATAAATTGCGTCGTGGAATAAGCCAATGTAGTCATTATATAATTTAATATTGAAAAAATTGACATCTCATTGTGGTTTGTCAAATTACGTCATAGCATGCCAAGATAATTTCATGAGTAGTTCGCCATGAAATTGGCTTGGCACCATGTTAGTTTTATTGTAGCGAGGATTTTCATATGCTCGGTACGAAATATTAAGCATTGGGAAATAACAAGAGATGCAACGATGTCTAAACTCTATTATAAACAAGACTGGTCCAGTCTAGTGATTAGTGACCCTGACTGCTAAGCCAAAGGTCGTGGGTTCGATTTCCGCCCAGGACAAATATTTGTGTGATGAGCACGATCCTTTGTTATGTGTCTGGGTGTAATTTATCTATACTAAGCATTATAAAGGGGTAAAAGTTTGAGAATTTGTATGTTCGGGGTAATCTCAGGAACTACTAATTGAAATTGAAAAAATATTTTTGCCTTGGATAGCCCTTTTATCGAGGAAGGATATATAACATCAGGCTACGACCATTGGGAGCCTAGTATCAATGAAAAATGTTGATAGAAGCAGACGACGTTGCACGGGTCAGCTAGTTTATTTATAATATTTTAGATAGATATTTAGAAATATATTAGTATGTTTATGAGTGAGACTACTTTTGGATACCATAGCACTGGCTTTGCCTAGTTTTTAATTAGATAACCACGTGAGAGATGTGTGAAATAATTATATACTCGTACTACTAGCTGACCCGGCCAAACGTTGTTTTGCCATATTACATTTTATTTTGTCAAAAAAAAAGGTGTATGAAAAATAGATGTTGGCCGATTCTCAGACCTACCCGTTATGCACACAAAACTTTACGAAAATCGGTCGAGCCGTTTCGGGGGAGTTCAACCACGCACACCGTTAGATTTATATATTAGACTAGCTGACCCGCGCAACTTCGTCTGCGTCTCTCAATAGTAATAAAAAAAATCCGTTTTTGAAACATTCTTCATTGGTGCTCCGCTCCTTTTGGTCTTAGCGTGATGATATATAGCCTATAGCCTTCCTCGATAAATGGGCTATCTAACACTGAAAGAATTTTTCAAATCGGACCAGTAGTTCCTGAGATTAGCGCGTTCAAACAAACAAACAAACTCTTCAGCTTTATAATATTAGTATAGATGATACCATAAAATGTCATGGGCGTCGAATCCCAACGGAGCACTTCTGATTCAACCGTACCGTTTAACCAATAAAATTAGTTTGTTAAGAATCAGCCCAAGTGCTTATTAAAGACAATTATTTGGGGCTATCCATTAACGTCACTCTAATTCCATTACTTTTGCATATCTCGTACCACATGTCATATATGCATATGCGAGCAACGGCGGGACAACACATATCTGCTATTTTACAGTCAGAAGTAAATAAATAAAAAAGGCAATTCTAATTAAAGAATTGTTTAATGTAAGATAGAGAGAGAGAGAGAGAGAGAGAGACCTGAGTTGTGAACTTCTTTTTTTGAAGCGTTAATCTTACTTTCTAAAAATACTCTTAGCATAATAAACTTATTTCATTAATAAAATTAATGTTATCATTATTAACCAAAAATTTTATCTGTTTCAGAGATGTACAAATTTACCCGACATGCAGAATTATTTATCAAGAACTGGTGTGAGTTTGACGAAGTTGGATAAATTATCTGTGATACACGTTGCGGGCACGAAGGGAAAGGTAATAAATATTATTACTCCAAATGAAACTGGTAAAAGTATTTTGTGTGTTGACCATCACTCGTCTTAATCTCGTCGAAACAAATCGGCAAGGCTCTTTTGCTTCCTATATCATAGAAAAAAGGTTGTTAAAAACAACACCTTATTTCGATCTGAAAACTGTATAAATAAAAAATAATTGTAAAATTCCCCAATCCCTACGATATAGCAATATTTTCCCTATGCAGTATTTTCTTATAAGTTATTTAGTTTGTTTATGAAAGAGATTTTACTGTGGTAGGCATATACACATTACAGCCATATTATTATTAGTGTGGTCATACATAACACATTTTATGACTGTGCATAGATTACACATACTGCACACATTGTGGTTTCATTGTAAATCAAAATTTTCCATACCACATTTTGTACTTTATGTAAAAAAATGATTTACACTTTTATAATTTGTTAGATACATCTATGTATATACGAGTACATTAATTTAACACTATGTTGATAATTATCAAAATGACAAGCAACGTTTCTTTTCAAAATGCAGTATTATAAAATCATTTGTCTGGCTATTTGTTAAGATTTTAATATTGTTCTGTAATGTTTATTAAATTAAAAAAATAAAATTTGCAGGGTTCAACAAGCGCAATGTGCGAGTCAATATTACGTCACCATGGGTTCCGCACAGGGTTCTATTCGTCGCCGCACCTGGTTGCGGTGCGCGAGCGCATCCGCCTCGACGGCAGAGTTATATCTGAGGAAAAGTTCGCCGCGTACTTTCATCAAGTGTACGACTTGTTGGAGAGTAGTAAGGTGATATGAAATACATTTTTCAGTATGAGTAATAAGGGTCTTCGATACTTTTTCTGCCACCAGACGGCGCTTCGTATGCGTCAGGTCCAAACAGCTGTCAGATAGCACAGATTCTTACCGAACGTATAATATTTTAGTGAAATTCTATGAATTTGGAAGTGTTATTGAGTTTATTATAGATTACGGCCAGAGAAAGGTTGCCGAACTGAAGATTGAGCTCAAAAAGAGAGGCGCAAAAGTTTTATTTGCACACATAGGCACTGCACAACACTGTGGCATTTTAGAAATCAGTATTCCTTTTGCAACGTTTTTAAGAATGAATAAACCAAAAAAAATGATCGAAAAATACAAATCGTGTATGTGTTTTGACAGGTGGTTGGACCTGACGCTACAATGCTGCCATCTCACGTGGAACATTTCAGAAAACCCATATTGCGCTATACCAAAAAATAATCCATCCATGCAATAAAAAATCTGCCTACCCTTATCCCAATTTGATTTGTCGGGCCAGTCGGGCAGTTCATAGTTTGGTCTCATACGTTGACTCTTTGGTCATTTCACTGTTCATTTCCTCCCAAGCCATATCCTCTCTCACACAGTCCGACCTCCTTTTCTTTGGTCTTCCTCTTCTCTTGTACCCTTCAACTCCCATTCCTAACACTTTCCTCGCTACGTTTTCCTCATCCCTCCGCATGACATGTCCATACCAAGGTAACCTATTACTTCTTATCTTGTCATCCAGTACCGCGACTACATATATCTGGATACATAAAGTTACTTGCCCTGACTGACCAACGGCCAAAAAACTTGAAGTTTTGGCAGCTGATGCTTTTATGTTTTAAGCACCTACTAAAGAAAGGATTTTGGAAATTTTCACCCCTAGGGGATAAAATAAGGGATGAACGTCGTCGTCATTTTCAAAGTTAGAAACACGTAATAATCAAGTGAGCGAAGCCGCAGACAATAGCTAGTGATTCCGACCATAATTCATTAAATTTAAATGTTTTGTTTCATATCATTGTCCATCACAACTGGAACTGTCATGTTATAATTTTACATACCATGACAGGTCAACATATACTGGACCCCTCTAACTTTTATGGCCTTTAATTTTATACGTCAAACACATATTCATTGAAAATTTCAGCTTTCTGTACTTCTTAGCATTAATGAAATTCGGTTTACTTAAACTTAGAATTTCCAATTAATGCGGAGTCTCCAACACTTTCTTCAAAAGGTGTAAAAGAAAACGCGTCACGTGTTAATGTAATTATTATTGAATATCGTTTTTTTTTTCTTTATAGGCACACCCAGATGACATGCCGAAGTACTTTGCGTTCCTAACAGTGATGGCGTTCAACGTTTTCCTCAAGGAAAAAGTCGACGTGGCCCTGGTGGAAGTTGGCATCGGGGGAATTGTCGATTACACTAATATATTAAGGTATTTTATATGTAAATTAAGACATGATATCTCGCCTTTAAATTTCTTCTATTCCGGAACTCTTTTAAAAAAAAAACCCGACACTTACTGAAGTGTGCCTGTAGTGGTTAAACCTTTAAAGTGTAACCTACAAATAAACTCACATTCATCATCAGGATCATTCTTTGCCCAAATTTATTTGGGGTCGTTGCAATCATATTTGTTGTCTTATTCTTCTCTATGGCTCGACAGATCCCTGCTTAGCCATATCCTCTTTTACACAGTCCTTCGTTTTATTGCTAAATGGTTTTGTCTGTATTCTTATATGGCCGGCCGGACAGTGGCCTGACTTCTTGGAAGTGTAATCATTCTTCTTGCATAGTATGAAGCGAAATGCTATTTTAACCACGTGTTCAGAGAGCCAAGTGCGAGTATATTTCACATCCACTCGGTCTCGACAGCGGGCGCGTTCGGCATTGCGGTTGGTTAAGATTTTGGTGCGGGCCAATCCCAAGGCCGAACGCGATCACCGTGACGATCGAGTCGCTGTGAAATAAACCCACGGGGAAGTGACGGACTGAGAATACAGTGTCATCACCCCTTTTCATTTTGTGAGTGTCATAAGAGGCGACTAAGAGAGTAAACTACGCAGAACAACAGCACTGCAAAGAGAAGGAAAACTTGACACAAACCCTATACCAACCCGTCTGGCCAGCGTGTTATAGTAGGCCAAAACCTCCTTTCTAAGGAGAGGCCTATGTCCAGCAGTGGACTATTAAAGGCTGTTGATGTGGGTCTCAAGTCAAGTTTGAAGTAAACTTTGTATATGTGTAATAGAATGTCAACGCAGTACTCACAACAAATAACAGTGAAGCTAAATACTTCAGAAACTACAGCGGCTACACTTAGGATTGTCACACTTGTTAGTGTGAGGTGGTACAGCGCTTTGTGTGGTTGTTTAGAACATGTTGATGCATCTAAAGCTGCTTCTCTTCTACTTCTTCACTGACAACGACGGCAATATTAGTTAGGGATCGTTATCGGTAAAGCTATAAAGGTATATTCTCAGTATATTTTAAAATGTTGCCTTAACTGACAATTTGTAGCTTTCTGTTATATACGGAGTGTACTCGAAGCTTCTTTGACGACCGCATGGCGTAGTGGTTTGTGTAACGGACTGCTATTCTAAAGATCGCTGGTTCGATTTCCGCTTAAGTCAAACATTTGTGTGCATGAACTTTTAATGTTTGATTTAGTCTGGTTAGTAGTGTTTCCATGTATAATAAGTATGCATTTACAAAAAAAGAATATACTTATGTATTTATATCAGTTGTCTAGTACCCATAGTACCTACAAGCTCTGCTTAGTTAGGGAATAGATGGCTTTGTGTGAATGTGGTAGCATATTATTATTATTTTTAGTTCTTCGTAATGTAAGCCTCTCTTTTCCGTAGTGTCGCTCGTGATAGCAGTTGTATGATATCTTTGTTTTAAATCTGAACTCTCAATTAAGTGGTGGGATATTACATACCCAAAAATGATATCACTTTTTATTATAAAATACTAGCTGATTTCGTGTTCATCTTGAGGGGTGGGGTCTTCTCCGTCGTCACACTCTTGTCAGAGTGGTCGTGGTCGTCATGACCGGAGCGGTGGCAAGCTTCACAATTTGTCGCCATTCCTCTCGTACCGTTGCTTGCCTCGTGCATTCGTGGAGTGGACCATTTAGAGCGGTTTTGATTTGGTCTGTCCAGCGCATTGGTGCTCTACCGCGCGCCCTCGTGCCCTCTATTTTGCCCTGAACCACGAGTCGCTCCACAGACTTGGGGTGGGGTAGGAAGGTGAAAAAGACTACTCTCTTCTTATACCTACCAAATCTACAGAAAAGAAACATTTTAATCGGTCGAGCCGTTTCGGAGGAGTGTGACCACAAACTCCGTGACACGAGATATTTATTTAGTAGATTATAAGGTTTTCCTACCAATAATTATTTCTAATATTACTTCATACTTACTACGGCTTAAGCGGTCACCTCGCCGCTTCCTACTGCGCCGAGTGTTGTGGGTTAGATTCCCTCATGAGACAGCACTTTGTGTGATCCACAAATTATTGTTCTGAGTCTGGGTATTCTTTGTGTCCGTTTTTAGTGCGGAGTTTTCTTTTTAAAACCAAACAAACTTATATCTTTTCAGAAAAGTTCCTGTCGTAGGTATAACAGCTTTAGGGTTGGACCATACAAGTATACTTGGTAGCACGCTACCGGAGATCGCGGCGGCTAAGGCGGGGATCATGAAACTCGGCTGTGAAGCGTACACCGTGTCACAGCCTAATGAGGCTATGGATGTTCTGAGGAACGTCGCCAGCAGTGTGAAGGTTGGTTTATTGGCTGTCATAAATACGATAATGTTTCGAAGATTAAAATGGAGACTTAAAAATATATCGGTAGAGAGAGGGAACATGCTCTGTTATTACCAATAGACGCCATTAAAAGTATTTAGCCATAACAATATTCTATTTCTAAATACATACATAGATAAATTACACCCAGACACAGAATAAATAATCGTGCCCATCACACAATTATTTGACCTGAGTGGGAATCGAACCCACGACCTCTGGCTTAGCAGTCAGGGTCACTACCAACCTAAACCAACTGGACAGTTATTTACATTAAAGGTTCGAAAAAAAGAGACAAGAAACTTTTTTTTTATTTTGTTGTTTAATTAGTTTTTTTACTCTTTTTTTGTTTCAGTGTCCTCTAACAGTAGTTCCAGACTACAAAACTTATACATTCCCAAATACCGACAAAATTCATTTACCTGTCGAGTTAGAAGCTTACCAAACCAACGCGTCCCTAGCCATTCAGCTCGCACACGCATGGATGAGAATCACCAAACCGACACACAGGAAAAACGGCGTTAAGAAGCACAAAAATAACGCTCAAAATGGAATATCAGCAGTTTTGGAGCCTGTGGTGAAATGTGTGACAAAGGAAACTATGGATGGGTTGACGTCATGCAAGTGGCCGGGGAGGTACCACGTAGTGAGTGCTGAGTACGCTGAGTTCTACCTGGACGGGGCGCATACTAAGGAGTCAATGGAAATCTGTGCGCAGTGGTACAGAAATACTAATATGTAAGTATATTAAAATGTTCTTTTTACTATCAGGTAATGAAGGTTTTAAGAAGTGTGGGTATTCACTGTGGAAAAGCAAGGGGTTACACCGTTTTACACATAGCATGAGCTCTGCCATGACTCTTGGTTGAAATGTAGTATGAGAGATGTAGTAAAGATGACCAAACTAAAAATATCTATTAAATAATCTGAACGATATAATTTATATGGATGAATCGAAAATTTTAAATATTATATGGCAGAACGTTTGCCGGGTCAGTTAGTTTGAATATAAACAAGACATCAAGAAAGAGACATGTCATTCACAAAGTCGTTTTTTTTTTTTTATTTTGAAATTTTCTGCTATATATTTTTAAGAGTACAAGAAAAACTATGTACATGTAATCACTTCATTTTATGACAATTTTTGAACTTTCTTGTAATTATGTATTTTTTAATTTCCAGATTACATGACAAAATATTAATATTTAGTGCAACAGGCGACAGAGACGCAGAAATTTTACTACAACCATTGCGAAACTTAGGTTTCAATACTGTATATTTCGTCATACCAACCGCCTATAGACACACAAATAAAAATCAAGACAATTATTCGAAGGTAGAGGACGAAGAACTTATAGGCAGGTGTCAAAAACATGCTGACATTTGGCGGGAGTTTCATAGAGGTTATGATACAAACGTCACAGTTGCTGGCTGTGTAGTCGATGCCTTGATGTGTTTGAAGAAAAAAAACTGGGTCGGTAAACCGTCTGTGTTGATAACAGGGTCATTGCATTTAGTTGGTGCTGCGTTGTCGATATTAGATCCTAATTTAGTAAGTTAAGTGTTGTGTAATGTAATAAAGTTTATATTAAGTTACTTCTCATTGTTTTATTTGTGAATTAGATTTGATTTCCTTTAGATTATACCCAGAAAATTTAAATGCCACACCCAAAAAATATAAAACCTATAAGTATGTGACATTGTAACCTTGCAGTGAGAATATCTCTAACTATGAAAAATCAACAGTTGCAAGATGAAATCATCTATCCAGAAAAGTGAGTCACAATTCGAAACTCAATTTAAAACCTTACAACTTCTTCCAAAATCCTTAAGTGTGGGCAGAATTTAGGAAGGAAAACTTGTCTTTTTACATTTGTATGATAAACAATATCATCTGTTCTCTTATGATCTCCAAAGATCTCTCTCTCAGAAAATCCAAAACCAAAAATACGTAAGAATAAATAAAAGAATGAGGAAATCACTCAAAAATGAGTCAAATACATTATACTAAATTTTATTAGCAGAAATAATTAAATTTTAAGTAATCATTCTATTGTTAACTGCATATCATTTGTATCCAACAATCTATCTATATCTGTCAGCCAGCATATTAGTCTATCCAAATATCCACCATCTTGTTTATAACTTAGTAACAATAGTTGCATATGTTTGTATGCCATCGGCTGTTCTAGTAAATATTCTAATCTCTTGTCTCTTAAAGATAATAGCTTAATAAATATAATAGCTATTAAAGTCCACTGTATGGGTTTAAACATAATGTTATTTGCTTTCAACATGAAAGTATTCACTAGTAAACGTACATCCGCACTTATTTGTAAGCTCAACAAACCTAATGAACGTAATAAATCCGGTAATACTTTGTTCAAATGTTGACATACTATTCTTCTACGTAAAGCATTCTGTGAGCTTTTGTCGACTAAAGGCAGGTTTGTTGTGTTATCCTCACTCGAAGGTAACTGTTGTGTAGTTTCTTCTACTTCTGGTAAAGCTACCTCAGTTTCTCCAGAGAAGAAAGCTTTTACTTTAAGTTTCATTTTCTTACTCTCCTCTTGTAACATTGTGTAGTCCGGCAACGGTTTTGTCTTCCGTTTCAAAGTTTCGCTATCATATTGCCTATCCTCCAACTCCAACATGTTTAGCTTTTTACACAATGCTTGATACTGATCATAGGCATTCGAACTGTAGAATATACCTTTAGAGTAATTATTTAAATACTCTTTTATACATTCTCCTTTATCTGCAACCATTTCCCTAACTTTTTCGTCACCAAACAATAGTAACATAGTGTCTAATGTGAACCATTCAGCTAGACACTTCTCTACTTCAATAGTCAATGTTGTTACCAACGGTTGTTTTTTCTGTAACACTTTTGATTTTTTGCTCTCTTTATTTCCTTCAGAGGTATTTGGTACCATAGATTCTGAGAGTATTGGATCAATTTTCTTTTCAGGCCTTTCTACTATTTCTCCAACAATATTTAGAGGGTATTGGTTTATCTTTTTGGTCACTTTCTCTATTACTGAATTTTTTGATTGTGCCTCTTGCATTGCGTTATTTTGAGCTTGGGTTGGTACTTCAGTAACACTGTGACTCATATTTGTTTCATTATTTTGAGTATGTTTGGGATCCTTTAATTCTTGAGGTTTATTTAAACTCACATTCTGTATTTCTTTAGTGATGCCTTCTACTTCTTTTTCACTGTCTTTTATGTGTGATATTTTGTCATTTGGTTGTCCATTAAGTGCTTTTAAGGCATCACCGTTCCTATCATTGGAAGGATTTGTTTCTGAAGGTTCAGTATCCATATTTAGAGCATCATCAGGCATGTCTTTAAGACTTGCATGTGCGAAATCATTTACTGAAGTGAAAGGTTTTTTGTCTAAAATCTTGACTCTACTTACCAGTTTGACATCAACTTCTTCTCCCATTCCACCCATGGCATCAAATTTCAACAATTGGAATGTAGGCATGTCCTCATATTCCCTAAACCACAACGGACTGGTCAGCATTTGTTTCTTCACAAACATAGCTGCATTATAACAATTGTTGCTACAAAAGTTCTTTCTAGCAGTTATATCGTACACTTTATTCGTTTTCAAAGATATTCTGTACTTCTGTTTAGGTATTTCCTTCACAGATAATGTTTTCTGGCATATAGGATACCCACAAAGTTGTATGATGGATCTCTCTTCGAAAACATCTTCAAAATGTGCTTGGTTGATGTCTGGGAGACACTGAAGCAAGTACTTATCTGTAATACCGCGTTCTAATAGACTTTCAACGATTTGTTGGGCTTTGGCATTACACTCTCTCTTCTTTAAAATCGCTTGACGAATTTGTTCTTTAGTCATTTCTTCCAGTTTTGTTGGTTTTTTCTTGGTTCTTTGATTAACGGTTTCCATATTGAGCTACCAACCCGTCTGGCCAGCGTGGTATAGTAGGCCAAAACCTCCTTTTTAAGGAGAGGCTTGTATCCACCAGTGGACTGTTAAAGGCTGTTGATGATATTGAGCTAAAAATATCTGCTCACTGATAACACGCTATGAGGTAATTTATATTTTCCAATTAATTGTATAGTATTTGTTTTTTTTTAAGCACAACACTTGACGATTGGAGAGGGAACAAAATAATCATTCAGATGTTTTCAATCTTGACAGTGTTTGACTCGTCTTGAAACCTTAACGTTCATTCGAAAATAACAATTCATAACATTCTTCGATGATTCATGGTTGATTTTTGTTATGAATTATTATTGTTATGTGAAACGTCCAAATATCTCATTAATTGAGGACTTGAGGTGGGATAAAATAATATGCTTATAATTTAACAGTTTATATTTGTCTAACAAATTGGTATTTCATGTTTTATTTTACAAAAAAGTTGAACTGAGTGTAATCGAATTCAAGCTGTGTGGAAAATGTTAGTTTTAGAGACACTTTATTGTTAAATCAGTAGTTTATTTGATATGTCATCTTAGTTTCATTTTAAATTTGTGTATTAATGATGGTGTCTTCCCTAAACGTCTAAAAATAACTATTGTTAAACCACTGTACAAAAAGGTAGTAAGGACTAAATTAACAATTACAAGCCTATTGCTTTAATTTCTATTTTATCTAAAATCTTAGAAAAATATATTTATCAAATATAAAAATATTTTGAAACAAAATCATTATTCTGCCATCATCAAAAAGGCTTCAGAAAAAATATGAGTATCAATAAGGCTATTTATGATTTTTTATTGAACATAATGATCAATATAGATAAATGGACACCTGTTTGTGCTATATACTGTGACATGATGCAGGCGTTTGATTATGTAGATTATAAAATATTAAAAAACAAACTAGAGTGCTATGGTGCAAGGGGAAACCTTTTTTAAATCTTTTGAATGATTACTTATCAAACAGGAGACAAGTAACTGATCTCTAGATTGGACAATAGGATTAAAACAGAGGTGTTAAATAAATTCTCTGAACGCGAAATATTAATCCCCCAAATTACACTTCAATCAGACCTCTTTTATTCATTATTTTCATAAATGATTTACCTTGTTCTACTAATCATCCAATGACTCTATTTGCTGTCGATGGAACATTCTAGTCCAGGAGCCACCAATTCTAACGGATTCTAATATTTTTAATAAAAAATAAAAGTTAACGTTTAGAGGAACAAGATTTGCTTGGTCGGCGTGGATTTGATTGGCCGGAAATATTTTAATTAAATTATTTATTATTAAATTTCCATAATTTTTTTCCGTCATCACGGATTTTGATCAATCTTATATAGAATTTTGTGTGAAATATTATGTTCAACAAGAAAAAATGCGGCCGACCAATGATTTTTAGCCGGAAAGGTCACGCATACCTATTTGAATGGTGTGATAAGGGGTAAAATTTATGCATTATATGCGTATGCGTGCTAACAAACTGCTGAAAGTATCGCGCATACCAATTTTTAGGGTGTGAGTGAGGATTATACTGTTATAGATTTCACTTACTTGATGACATTTCTTTTAGAGTCTTTCTTCTACCTCTATATATCTTTAACTATTTATTATACTAATTAATATGGAAAAGAGGAAATACAGGAAAATTTTCATTACTCTACTTAATTTTATTTACTTAAATTTTTAAACTCGAACCATTGTGGTACATTGGTCCATCGGCACCGTTAAAGGTTTAGGAAATATTAAGTTGCCAACAGAATGAGTAAGAAAGCGTAGAATCAGAAAAAGAGAGAAATGATAATTTTGATGATAATGATGTAGATGATTATTGATTAATAAACTTGAATTGAACATATTTTTTGTATCAACCTTCATTTATTATATAATCAACCCAAATAAAAATTTCAAAAAAGCTCCGTGGCTTTCAGGATTGGTGGCTCCTCGCCTATTCATAGTGACATGCAAAAATACTAATTTATATGAAAATGACATCAATAATACCTTCACATCAAAGATTATGTGGTTAAATAACAATAACTTAAAAATTAATTTAAATAAAACAAATATACTTAATGTATTTTAGCAAACGCATAGATACCCCGTCAGAAATGCATAATAGTATGATAATGTAGCAATAAGGGAAGCATTTTCTTAGTTTGATTATATATAAAAAATGGAATTGGAAGGAACATGTTAATACTCTTAGTGATAGATTAAGTAGATCTACTTACGCTCTGTATAAACTTGCTCCGACGATATTAAGATATGGAATAATTTTTGGGGGCAATAACTAATAAATCTTCAATATTTAAGCTTCAAAAACGATGTATTAGCGCTGTTTGGGTTGAAAGCTACAGACAGTTGTTAACCATACTTCCGTAATCATGTCATTTTAACCCTTCTATCATTGTATATTATAGAAATATACCTCTTTGTGAAAAAAAATCCCAAGTCTTTCCTTCTTTCTTATCTAATACAGTTCAGCGTAACAGACGAGACAATGAACGACTACGTATGCAAAGCGCCAAAACTGCTCATTTGGCTATTAGTGTAATCTTTATGGCACCCAAAATATATAAATTTCTATTCTATTCTATTCTTTTAAAAGACAACTTCCGCATTAAGATTATATTCCTGTGTCGCGGGGGACTTTACAAACATGCATTCAACGGACACAAAGAACACCCAGACTCGGAACAACAACTTGTGGATCACACAAAGTGTTGTTCCATGCGGGGATCGAACCCACAAGACTCAGCGCATTGGAAAGCGGCGAGGTGACCGCTTAAACCACTACGCCATCTGTGCAGTCCGGTAAGTAAACTTAATTGAATTCCTTGTTCAGCGCAGCCGATTGGGATCAACGATCGCATTAACTGCACTTAAAAAGCTCTGAAATAGGCAGTCAATAATATAATTGTTTCATGGCTTCCTAGACTAGTATGCAACATAATAGCTCGGTGTTAATATTTTATATTTGTGTTAGTAGGCCTGTTTAATGTGTAGGAAGCTAACAGTACCGATTTTAGCAAGAATAGCCTGTTGGTCTAGTGGTTGGAGATCCTGAATGCTCAGCCTGAGGCCGTGAGTTCTATTACAACATGGCCGTGGGACAAATAATGTGTGAATAGCATGATATTTTACAAGTATGTTTATCAGCAGTCGTTAACCTTGGTATAAGCTCTTCCTAGTTTTAAATCAGACGGCCGTATGTCAAGTTGACCTTTTGTCAAGTTATTATTTTCACTAGATTAATGTTATTTCTAAAAATGCTAAAGTTTGGCACTCCTCTTACGAAAAAATTGTTTCCTCATCACAACTGGGCGTAGATGCGTGCGTTCGATTTCTCGACAAATCCGTGAAGAAGATAGGTATGGTTTGAAAGGGCGTGTAAAAAAAATAATAATAATAAAATACGACCCACTGAATAAAAAAATATTTATTAAACGTAGTCTAAAAAAATACGTAAACTACGGTAAGATTAAAAGGTTTACGTCGACGGCAAAGTTAAAGATTGACATCGAACCTTGGTCATCATGACCTGTGGACAGTATTCTGGATAATGATGCAGGTGACCCTCATCACATGTGTAGTAATACTCTGGATGTGATTCGAACAGGTCAGGTTTAGACGACACTCTTGGAATACTTTCTGCCTTTTGGACGATTATGGATACACTTTCATGCTTTGAAGATAGTTTTGGGAGACTTTCATGGGAGCAGGGGTACAACTCCATAGGTGTGCGCCGATCGCCTTCGTAGTGGAACAAGTCAGACTGTAGGTCCGTCTGGCGCAGTTCGATCTCGTCCATTCTTTGCAGCAGGTGGCTTCTACATTCCCGTGTATGATAGCTCCTTTTATATTCAATTTCGTCCAACCTTTTGAGCATCTCCCTTTTACACTGTCTTGTGTCACACAGGTTTCTGTTGCAACGATCTTGGCAGAAACAAAAAATATATAAAATATACGTGGATTGATATTTAAAAGTATTATCTAGGTATATTATTAATGAATGAGCTAGCTAGGTAATTGAGATTATTTTCTTTTAAGCTGTTTAGAATTTCAAAAATCTTTCATTGGTACTTTAAGAAACATTTGGATATTTTCTTAAATAAAATAAGGTAACGCATTTTGTAAATCAGAATTCATTGCTGCTCAAAATGGCTTTTAAATTATTATTCTCTTTTTTTATTACTTATTATATTTTAGCACCTAAACGATGCCATCAGGCACTAGCGTTTTTGTAATTGGCTAGTATAGGAACATAGTTCAATAAATTGTGTACCTAAACTTATTTGGTTAATGGATTGACATGATAGAAGACAGATATCTTTGTCTTTCTCCCCGTTAAAACTACAGAGCGATGCAAGGCTGCCCTTTTTCAAAAATTAGTAACATAACGTGAAGATGTTAAATACGAGTGTAACCATTATATTGCATATTATCTAAAATCTTTGAAGCTCTTACCACCGCCCGCCTCGTCGCATTCCTTTGTGCATTTAGGAATGCATCCGCAGAAACACTGCATATTAACTCTTAGTTGCATAATGCCGAATAAGAAATAACCTAGAAAAAATATTCGCTACTAACATAAAACATAAATTTCAGGTATCTATCTACGACAGCAAATTTTTTGGAATATTATTAAAACACGCTTTTATTAGCTTCACCTGCACCTAACTAACTAAACAGACTAACTAAATCCAGGTTAAAAAATTGGAAGCTTCTTTTAATCTACTTCTGCTCTTATGTGAAAACCAAGAGTTCTATAATGGTGGAACTTTTCTGTGTTTACAAGTAAACCCCTCGAGTTTGGGCTCATTGGAGTCGTTTTGACGATTCCAACAGATTGAGCTTGGCAACGATGGTCTGATGATGTACCCCAGGAGGTGGAAACTATTTTTCATATTTTATTTGGTCCCCATAAAAGGGTGTTTTTGATTTATTTCTACTAAAATCTAACTGACATTTGTTATGGGGGGGAATTGGATCATTTCACCTGCTACAAATTAAATGATACGCTCTATACAATATTTCAATGAAATTATCTAGTAAACCTCTATATAAATCATTATTTGATCATAAGCAATCGAGTCACATGAACGAATGCGATCGAAAGATGAGTCGATTATTAGTTTCCGAGATTTTCAAGTATATGTGACTCGGATTCGTGGCTTTATGACATCGACCGAACTAGTTGGCATTACAACATAACTATTATAGTAGGCACAATTAACAAAATCTAACACATTACAATTAGTTGACAAGGCAAATAAACCAAAACCAACCAATACTTTATTCACTTACCCAACATCATACCCAATACAACAGCTACCAACAGTTGGAAGAATACCATCACAGCCATCATCAGCAGGTAGCCAATCACACTGTGTACTAGAGCTGTTGTTGTAAAATTTATCTTCAGAAATAGACTAAACAAACCAAATACAATATTTAATTAATAGGAAAGCATAGTTTGTCTCTAATGTTCTCACACTGCCATGGTTACGTCATCGTACGAGGCTTGGACACTGTGAAGTTAAGTTCAGCTTTTGTGGAAGAACGGGAGTCATGTCCTGCCAACACAAAGAGAGGATCCTCCGACCAGGCGAGTTAAATATGCCTGGCTGACCGCGCCCAACGGTTAATGTTAGGAAGTTGTGTATATGCTAATCGGCGAGAGAATTATTAATATCGTGATACAGGATCAGCAGTTACTCCGTAGATCGGTGTGTCTTCGTTAGATGGCGCTGTAGTATGTTTCCTCATTGCACCGTATTTGAGTCCCCACACTTTCATTATAATCTTTTTGCACTTGTTGCACTAAATTCTAAAAGTTGAGGGACATAAATATAGGAAAACAACAACGTATCTTATATTAGTGACATACGTTTTATTTGAAAGCCATGTTTCAGCACATATGGGCCTTATAGTAAACCGGCATTAAGGAATCCTTTTGGTGCTTTTCACCTAATGAGTGAGTTAAATGTAGTCACCTACCTTCAGGCACTCCATCTGCTCGGTTGCCTTCCAAAACCAGCACAGATCAACACAAGCGCAGCAGAGATATAGTGATGTTTGAATGTACATGCACTTTATAGCAATAGTTTCAAAGTTTATTGCCGAGTGTCTTAAAAAAACTTCTCTCCTCTGCGCTCCTCTCGGTCGGCGCTGGCCCTATACCAGCATTTCATCATTTTATATCTATTTATTATCTTAATCATAAAGATATGCTTAATGGTTTCTTTCCTTCAAAGTTATACTAACTGATTTTAACTTACTTTTGGTTTTTTTGCTTGCATCTTGGAGGCTGACGGTATTTTATTTTATTGGCGTCTCGTTGCAACTTCGCCAGATACAACTGCAATATTACATATGATGTAAGTACTTACTACTGCGATTGCTTAGTTAATTGATTAATATTAATTTACGCCACTAGAGATTTAAAACGACTAGCACTGAATACCAATTACACTTAATAATAAAATTTATTTTGACTAACCTTACAAACTTCGAAGCAGAAGGCCACAAGAAACGTAATCATCCATAAGAGAATGAATGCCCAGGGCGTCTTAATCTTCAGACCCGAAAACATAAACTCACCCATTTCACTAGTTTCGCTAAGCTGCCACCAAGAGGTCTTAAATCCTTCTGCAGCTTGCCGAATGGCTGACCTGATACTTAATAAACCTTAAACAAAATGTGGCAGAAACACAGTTCACTCCAAATAAACTGAACGAAAACTTCACGGTGTCAGAATCTTATACGATCATACCTACTTCAAATAAAACTGTAGGAAAGATAATATGAATTAATTCTGGAATACCGACCGAATCTGAAAGATTTGGTGTAGATTTTACAGAAGATATCATTCACTGCTTTAGTCGAGGTATCCAGGATCCAGTTCGTGTTAGAGGAATTTCATGGCTATACAATGGAAAAAAGTGAAAAGGTGAACCCCGGTGGAACTCACCTGTCTGAGTAACTTTTGCTAGAGGAGGCTCCCTCTCTTCCAGTATTACTGGCGTATCCATAAGTTCCTTTAATGAACCCATGTTAAAAGATTATTAAAATAACACTTCAGTTTTGACTACTTTCAAAAATAGTTTTTGTGGCAACCCATTATCACAGTAATTTGTATTTAATGATTAAAAGCACAAGAATACGAAAGCTCTGATTTGTGAAATTTTATTATTGTGTAGCGACAAAAAATGACATTTCAAGAGACGTGATTTTTTAAATTAAAAGGCATGTGTCAACAAGATAAGTTTGACATTATCCGCTGTTCATCCGTCTTCTACTCTTAATTTAGTGGGTTCAACGTCAACCGATGATTCTAAAAAAAGACGAGGTAGATGGAATTTATGTATAGTTTAGCTAGTGATTTGAGGTAACGTGGAGTAAAGGGATTAAATAGAATATTGTAGAGAAAAGAAAAGATATATGCATTACGGCGAAGGCGAATGGGTGACCACTTGCTTTTTACGATATTCAGAAGCACGGTCATATTTGCGAAGTCCAAATGTGAATCTTGGGCAGAGATTTTAGAGTCTCTCAAGCTTATCCAAGTGGTCTTCAGTAAGATCCAGATAGCTGGCATCAACATAATCAAGAATGGGGAGAAGCAAGGGCTGTGCAAGAGCAAACTTAGTTGCAGTAGGTAGAAAGTTGCGTGGTCGGCGCAAAGACCCTGCAGCGGCAAACAATTTGCGACTCTGCTCTTGTAACTGAAGGCCCTAGGATAAGATACTATCAATATAAATCCCCAGGTTTTTGACCTTATTACTGTACGGAAGTCACGTAATCGCCGATATGTCGCTATACTCCGAAAGAAAGCAGACAACTCTTTAGTATACTATTCTTTAAATATAAAATCTTAAAATAACCTTTTTTAAACAAACTCGCGGGAAAGCGTAATGACTTAAGGGTAGATGTACACTGATGCGTCTATATTATGTTGTTGAAAAGGGGTTTAGATTAAATGAAACACATCACAACCAAAATAATTCGTCTTTATTTCAACAGTAACACTACGCGTACGGGTGCCAGAACAAAATTATTGCTAGCATTTGGCACATCGCAACTCAATATTCATAAAAGGCACTTCAAATATATCTAATAAAGAAAATTACGTGAACAGATAATCGAACCATTGTAGACTAAGACTGAGCTACTGAAAGCCGCACACGACAAGTAACTTATATCATTTTTATTAAGAAATAAGAACAAAATCATAGAAGGTTCGAACGTGTGAAAAACTCAGATTGAGCGGCAAGGCACATTTAAATTTGACTAAAATATAAACCTTATTTTATTAACATAGAGCATAAAGTCATGTGCAAGTAGTGTAACCTAGTCCAACGGTGAACGTTGTACGATTTTCAGTCCTTATTCAATGAAATAAAATTTCTTAACTTTTTATTTAAATAAAGCAGAGAGCTTTAGTAGTCCTGTTTAGCAGGGCTCCTTCTCTAAGTAACCGGTTTACCCCTGGGTTAGAAGTTCTAGTTAAGGTCAAATAGTGATAATTGTGAAGGGCTGTATTGCTTAATTATATGAAATGTAAATTATGACTTTTTATATTATGGACATACATTTCATTCCGATGATATCATTCCAGCTCTTCTTGTGCACAGATACGAATGAAACGTCAAAAACCGGATCAATGTAAAGTAACCTTTTACAAATTTGTGTGAATAGTTTATTGAAAGGCTAACTTTACTTAAACGTAAGATATCGCTAAAGGTCTCATTTAATATTTTCATAACACTGGATTACGAATTGTTGTTTTAAAAGTATTTTCCCGCAGCGAACCGCTCTAGTGGAATAATACCCTAACAGCGATCACTTTGGCGATTCGAATGTCTTAATGTATGTTACTTTAGTGGGATAAAATAAAAAATGCCACGGTACAATGTAGGTCTCACGGTCATTTTAGTACTTGTGAGTGTGTGTTTGTATGTGTGTATCAAATAATTAGAGAAACTCCATTTTTACTTTTGTTAACACCAACCAATCTATTCGTACGAGCAATATGGCTTTTCAACCGTTCCCTTTTTACCTACCCCTTAGGGGGTCGAACCAGAATACTGTTATTCGTTTATTTTGACAGTAAGTTATGTTAACAGTCTAGTAGCTCAGTCTCCTTGCCATAGTTTACGCAATGGGTGATCACACTAATCACATAGTAAAGTCAATACTATTTATATACATAACAGTACCGTACTTATTTCATGCAACTTACAGCATATCACTACAGCAATAATATTATACATTTATAAAATCAGTCATAAATTTTAATATAAAATCAACACATTTCATAACTCAGCTGCACTCCAAAAAAGTAATTATAATAAAAAATATCTATGGTCGAAGATTGTTCGAAAAATAAAAGTCTGTCCGAATTAACGCTACAATGTTAGGGTGACAAGTAAAAAAAATTGTCCCACCATTTTAAGGTAAATAACATGTATAAATACGTCTTTTAAAACTAATGATATGATATTACAAAACTATACATCTATCTAAATAAACATTGAACTTCTGTACAATTATTTCTGTAAATATTATTCGTCATTATTGAGCAATCCCTTTGTTAAATGACGTCATCACATAAGGAGTTTTTATTAAAAACTTATTATTTCTTTGTGGCGGCAAAGAGGGCATCCAAGACACTTTTTTAACCCTACACAAGACACAAAATTTTTAACACTAAAAGAAGTGTACCTACACCACACTTTGTAGTTTACAAAACCTTACTTTCAGTCTAATAAAAATACGATTATATAAAGTAGATGTTTCACATTCCGTAAAAAAACATTTAGGAAGAACTTATGAACAATTTTATCAATGCCTTTTACTAATAACATTTTGTGTGCTGATTACAGTAACATTGTAATCAGCACACAAAATGAAATTCAAAAGGCAGCAAGCAGCGTTGTACTTGCATTCGGAACTTCTATTTTTAGTACATCGGCAAACTTCTTTTTAAGGCTATGATAAAAACCTTTATTAAAATAAACTAACTAACTAACTGGCAAACTGTCTACATCATCGTTAAAAATCGAATGTTTGTGACAAACGTCAAACCATTCGATTTTTAATCTGGCAAATCCACGCATCAATATTTTTGTGTGTGTATTTATTTTTAATGTTATAAGCCCGAGTCACAGCTATTAAAAGCCCGATTCTCGTTCAAAACTGGAACACCTTCAAAATATAATGACAACCAAAACATAGATACAGAGATTTTACTTGATTTTGTTTAAATAATTACTCAATGGATGCGCCTCTATTCCATAGACTACGTTTTATAACATATATTGGAACACTTATGTGACTAGTTTATTTTTAACAGTTCTATCATTGGCGAACTAGTGAGGGGTATAGACAATTTTTTTATCTGTATTGATTTATAAAAAAAAACTAGTTTAACCAATGATATCAATAGCCAATAGCCTCTTATAAATATTTAATCTATACGTTAACAAAGTTTGATCAGGCTTTAGCTTTTAGAAATGTTGGAGAACAATGTCTCTCTTAGTCCATAGGAATAAAACCAATATACCAAGTTATTCACAGCAACTCTTTCGTCAGTTGATGATCTGCTCCTGAGAGTCACTGGGAGTCTTGGTGTTGTGACAGCAAGTTATTTGAGGGCTCCGCTCCCTCGTCTCCAGCCGCTTCTGCTCTTCCTCCTTGCAACAACCCTGACTAGGAGTCGCTTCATGGATTACAACTGTGGTCTCAATCTTCTTCTTACAACATTTCTCTTCGGGTGGCGGTTCTTGCTTCTTCTTACAACACCCTTGCCGTTCTGTTCGGAGGAGTTGGACGTCCTCGACGCTTGGACTGTCCTCTTTCTCACTCTCACGGTGGCAGTGCGAAGTAGAAGCTTGCATTTTCTTAATTCTAGCGACTTTGGATGGACACTTCTTAGCGCCATAGTAGCAAGTAGCATTTTGTTCATTAGAGCCGCCATCTTGCGATGTGGCTGGAAAATAGTGCGATGGCTGGATGCAGGTACGTGTTTGACATATGAAAAAATCCGACTCTGAACTCATGGAGGAGTCAAGGAGAGGCGGCGTTGTATTCTCAGCTGTGAAAAAAAAAACAATGTAAATAAAATATTCAATTCAATATGAAAAATTCAACTAATTACACTCAATTATAAGATGACGTTAAGAGCCGAGGTGTCAGTGTCAAGGACATCCTATATCTGAGTAGCTTTTTAGCTGAGTATTCATCTTTTGCGGGCGCAAGAAGGCTGGCAGGAGCTGGATGCGTGAAGCCCAAAACTGCGATAGGCTCATGATGATGATGATTCATCTTTTAGTGTCAAATGAATGACTATGACAAAGTATACTTAAAAACTAAATATGGGACACATCACACACTGATATCAATCTATTTTACATTTTAACTAAAGGCTGCATTAAAAATAGTTTCACTTCGGAACTACGCTACAATAAACTTCGTTAGACGCACAAACCACATGCAATTAAAAAAAAACGAATCAACTTTATACTAGTGGCACATGATGTGTTACATCTGACATCTTGCCTACTGTCGGATGGCCAAGTCTAGCACCGAATGAACTCCCCCAGATTCTTGAAGGTCATTTGGCCTTCTGTTATATCCGTCTCTTTGTATTCCTACAGATTAAAGGAAAGTAAGAAGAAATGTATGTTTTGTATCGATTCGAGGCGAAACGAGATGAACGAAAATGCTATAACTTCACTAGGCATGGTTCCATTCATAAATTTAAATTTCAAAATTTTAATATTCCAAGAAGGTTGTATCAGTTTTGATTTAAAAAAACATAGACATCTTATACAGAATAGATACAATACAGATACAGATTATACTGTCAAACTCGGTGCATAGAGGTGTGGACTGTCTGTACATCCTTGCACGCGTCGCAGTGTAAACTGCACCTAAATGCTCTCCTAAACTAATGTTCACCTGACAGCTGTACATTTATATGTTCTATGCAGTTATGAAAACATAAATCTGACAATGGCATTTCATGTAACAATTAAACAACAGTTATAAAGTTTAAAAAGTACAATAAAACACTAGCAGCTGTTTCTAAGAATATATTATTATGACAATGCCAAAACATTGTATATCAAGAATGTGTAATTATTATATTTTAATGCAATACTTATCTTTATCTTTAATAACTTACTGTTATCTATTTATATAGTGTACCGCGCGTGCCTCTCTAAACCGGAAGGAGGACAAGTCTCTACTCTCAAAGGTGCCTATGGCAAAGTCTGCGGGGGTTTTCGGGGACGTCCTTGTTGGGTACATGTGTCGGAACACAGTGCTGTTTTAGTTGATTCGATTCCGACATACCACCTCGGTGAGATACACCCTTGAAGGTTTCTACACTTGTACATCGAAAAAGAACTTGAAAAGGATTTTCCCTAACCTTTTTGAGTTCATTATCGATTGTTTTGTAATTTTTACACAACTTTGAACATTCATATTTGCGCATATTATTATCCGATTAGGACTACGTTTTGAATAATAATCTGTCCAATTACAGTTGAGCACTGAGCGTTTCACCGTATGTCTAATATTTCCTTTGAACAATGACCTATTTACGGCCATGCTGCAGAGGACGTAAGAGTGTCAGTGGTCGCGCAATGCGGCGGAATCCGATAGATATTTTCTCAGTGATAGCGCAATCGCTGTTACTTCTAAATATACTGAAAATAAAGTAATTTTAAGCACAATTGCTTGAAGTTCGGGAATTTCTGGCCCGCGTGGTATCATCATCATCATCATCAACAGCCTATACTAGTCCACTGCTGGACATAGGCCTCTCCTGTGATGATGTGATGTTAGCTTGAAATTACAACTTTTAGTATGTGTTTAAAATGTCGAAGTGTCTTTCTGCTTATTTATTTTGAAATTGTGTAAAGTTTGAATTGATGTTCATAAACAAGATGTTAAACGTACAAGACAACTATTAAAGTTATGAGGAGCTCCTCCTCCTCCTAAGTAGATATTTCAAAGCAATATTTAAGCCTATACTTTTCTATTAAAAAGTTGATGATAGATAATTTTAAAAGTATCTTCTATGTCACTTGTTTAAATTATAAAAAGGGCATGTAAGAATATTAACAGTCACATTTTAATATATTTAATTAAGTACGCCTAAAGAATATTTATATGTTTATCGAGCAAATATTATTTCAGGTGTGTAAGAGATGGACGAATGTATGCATAATTAACATTTTGATGTGTTTCAACTGTTCTTGGAACAGATGAAAAGAATACTGTCAATAATGCTAATAATAGTAACTTGGCCTTCTGATCCCAAACTGATCACAGCCTGTACTATGGTAACTAGACCGGTGATGAACATACCTAATTATTATTTTCTAAATACGTACCTATATGGTGAAGATGAATTACATCCACAACAAATAAAAGTTTAGTACTTAGGACTATCATTTTTATACTGTCTGGAAATTGAAACGAATATGGATCCTGACCTAGCAGCCAGGATCACAAATTCTAGGGTTTACCAATAGACTAGACAATCTTATTGAATTTATTTTATTTTGTATATTTATTTATTTATTATTTTTTACACTTCCTGCATTATAATTTTCACAAGGCGGACTTAATGCCATATAGTTTTATTTACCAGTGCACCTTTACTACTAATTTATATATATTATGGTTTGTAGCTTAGTAATAGAAATCTGTTAAAAGGACATAGACTTCGAAGAGGACTATCGAACATACAAAATACTGTCAAATTGAAGAGTGGTGACAACTCTTGTTTGCTCCAGTGCATTTAGTGTGGACGTAAATTTCCAGGATAATCTTTACTCTTTTTTACACTTTTATAGAAGACAACGCCCGCATTAGGAATATATATCATGTGTCGTGGAGTACTTTACAAACAAACATGAAACGGATACAAAGAACATCCAGACTCAGAACAACAAGTTCTTGACCACGCAAAGTGGTGTCCCATGTGGTGATCGAACCCAAAACACTCAGCGCAGTATAGAGCGGCGCGGCGTGGGGACCGCTTAAACCACCACGACATCCGCGCAGTCGAATTGAATGAAAGCATATTAGTGTATTTTGATATAGCTTCATAATCCAAAATAAAAGATTTGAAATCTTTTTTGCCCCTCAAGTTAAGTCATTTTTGACTGACTGAATGGTCCGGAGAAAAATTAAACGTTCTACGAGGTGTTAGAAGTTTTTAGGTTATTACGAGATTTCTCAGGCAAATTCACAAACTTTTTGAAACTTTCTACAAGAGAAGCCAAGTGTTGAGAAGCCGATGGGTATGTGTAGGTAACCCACCGATGATGCGGTGTACAGAATATTGCGGTTCAGCGAGTAAAAAAAATGCGATGAATAGCGAAAAGCGTACATGCGAATATCATAAAGAATTGTTCAAATTGTTTAAATTACGAACCCCAGATCTTAACAATAATATCATATTTTCTTTGGGGTAACTATCTAAACGGTATTAGAATTTATTTTAGCAGTCTTTTTTGTTAAAAAAAAAACAATTCCCGCACTAGCACTAATACATGAAACGGACACAAAGATACCCCCAAACTCAGAACGACGATTTGTGGGTCACACAAAGTGTTGTCCCATGTGGGGATCGAACTCACAACACTCAGCGTAGTACGTCTACGCTATCTATGCAGTCATAACGCACCATAACTTACCTAAGCGTCACTATGCAGTATAGTCCCTTCTGGTTGACTGTAAGAAATCGCAGACTGCGATAATACCGCCCAAAGTACTATGTTTAGATGGTACAATACTTTGCTTGGTGTGCAATAAAGAGTATCTATCTACCTATCTAAGTTCTCTAAACTACAACGACATCTACATAAAACAATTTGTTTATTGTTACGTTAAGGGCAGTTGTGATGCTGACACTCCTTGAGTCTGCACGCTAAGGCGCGGGACTATCTCTGTGACGGTACGAGTCCCGTGGGAGATTGGGCAGGTTAAGGCGCTCATAGGGGTTAGGCTCCGAAGGCATTTGCTCCGACGTCTTGCTATCATACTTGTACGGCTCAGATGATAGTGGTGTTTCCTCCTGCTGTATTTGAAGCTCCATTGCGTTCATTTCTTTGCACAGTTTGCCCTCGCATTCCTCCCAGCTACACTTCTCTCTGTTGCAACGATCTTGGAAGAGGAGAGGGATTAGGAGGGAACGTTAGTAAGAGTGTACTAAGGCTAAGAAAGACAGTTAAAGTACCTCTTTACATTTAATTTCATTGTGAGTATTATTCAGAAATGATACGAGTTTCTGTTAGTTAGGAATTTGCCACGTGTATTCTAAGCAAAAATATATCTTGACGATTAATGATAATTCATTAAAGTCGTCTATTTTGATTCATCCTTTTGGTCTTCTACTGAGGCTTCCATGAGGGAACTGGCTGAGAAGATGCCTCAAGGAAATCAGTCAGACATTTTTCATAAAAAGTTCGGTAATGTAAATGAATATATAATAATATGGTCTTGCCATACATGGGATACTTAAAACACTTCCTCAGTGATGCGCCGTAAATTATTTCAATAATTTAAAGAAATTTCCTTATTGTTTTGGTTGCTAGACGTAAAATCAATCATACCTCGTGTATTGGGTGCAAACCTCTTAATCATATACTAGATTTGTTCGGAATCAAAGCGTATTATCGTATTTGCTAATCTTAAGAGATCACCAATTCACAAAAATCTCTATAATACATCAAGTATCATGTATTGTAAACGACACTACTGAACCACACCACTATGGTGTCGTTTACAATTTTTTATTGGTAACGACACCACCGTTATGAAGTTCTAACAAAAAACTTATGCATTTATCGACATTAATTATTTTTCAATCGTAAGATCACGACCATGACCATTTTAAATGGGCTTTTCCAGAAGTTTCCAGAAGTTCCTTTAAAGATAGTAGATGAAGTGAAACAAATTTATGTTGAAAATAGTTATTGAATAATATCGGATCAAGTTGTATAAATTAATTTAGTTGTTTTTTGTTCCTTTGTATCAATAAAAATTAACACATAACGAATTGCTCTCTTTCGCGTTATACATCACTAGAGCCGTAACCAAAAAAATATTGTAAACGAAACCCCAGAGGTTCAGTGGTGTGGTTTACATTACACAATAAGCGTCCTTACAGTCAATTATTTGCATAAACTGCCAATATGTTTCTAAGCTAAAAACGGCTCAGAAAACACTGGAATATAAACTCTCAAAACGGACAGAAAGGTCACCTGGTAAATGACTACTGCCGCTCGCTACTAACCATCTGCAACTCAAGAGAAGCGGGTGTGTTGCCGCCCTTTAATCCCAAGAACAATAATTAAGGTTTCTATATTTACATTTAAAACAAAGAACTGGCAGATATCACTGAGACATACGAAAAATTGCTCTTGGTTCAAAACGATATTAAGTTTCCGAAATATGACAGTAAGGAGGTATTCTCACTTCACCGAAGATATGTAAAAAGAGCATGTGTTAGATTTTCAAGTACGCGCAATTATTGGCAAAATTTCTCACCAGTATCATCACATTCAGGCGTGCAGATGACCACTCTCTTTGTGCTGAAGCACTGCATCTGAAGTCGCGTCAACTTTGTACCGAAAAGGAAGTAACCTGAAATATGAAAATACACTATCACGTATGTAGTTTACGTAAGTTGAACTTCATAACATTGCCAGATCAAAAATTAAAATAGAAAGAGATTTTGGCCGTTTGTCATTGCATAACTAACTATTAAAAAGGTTTAATGAGCCTGCTTAGTGAAGAGTAGTGTTCTTCATAACTTAATCTCGCTTCCTCCACGTGGTCAAAATGGGTAGTCAAACTAATTTGTTCAAAAGGAATAATTTACAAAAAAAGTATATGAGTATTCTATCAGTCAATTTAGCTTTCATAGTACGAGTACAAGCTCTGCTTAGTTTGAAACTAGACGGCGTTGTGTCAGATATCCAAAATATTATTATTATTTAAATTAAGCTAGTAGCCTATGTAGTATTATATCTAGTAGTCAAAGCTAGTAGTACCTTAAGAGAATGAATGGGATCAAATGGAAAGTATACTCTTTCAAATAAAAAATAATCCAAATCGGTTCATTACTGAACGAGTTCTGAGAAAAAAAAAAGGAAAAAAAAATACAGTCGAGTTTAGAACCTGTTCCTTTTTTGAAGTCGCTTAAAAATTTAACGCTAATAATAGACCAACCGTTTCCGGCAGTTCCATCTGCGTTTATTGTCACTGTTCCGCTCTTAAAGTGGTGATTTTACATGCATGAGGTTAAATACCATTTGGGTATTTGGTATGTAACATCATGCTACAACCTTTAGGACCGCAGCAGTGACAATAAGGAAGGGTTCCCACAATAAAATCTCCTCCAGAATTATTCGAATACGACAGAGAGTTCCCGAGAATAGTACATTTAAGTCAAACAAAAACTCTTCAGGTTCATTACAGTAGCACATATAATTTTATGAATAACTTATACATATCATCAACAGCCTTAAACAGTCCACTGCCGGACATAGGCCTCTCCTTAGAAAGAGGGTTTTGGCCTACTATACCACGCTGGCCAGACGGGTTGGTATAGGGTTTGTGTCAAGTTTTCCTTTTCTTTGCAGTGATGTTGTTCTGCGTAGTTTGCTCCCTTAGTCGGCTCTTACGACACCCTCGGGATGATTGAGGGGTGGTGACAATGCGTATTCTTAAACATATATTTAAGTTTTTATCATATTAACTCCGGTATTATATTAATACTCTTCTTGCAGAGATCAAGGTTAGAACCGAGTGTGAAGTTCTTACAAAAGTTACTGAATCTTCTTTATTGTACCTATATAATTCGTAGAAAGTTTTTCTAATAATATCCAGACAAATGCCTTGCCTAAGTTCATATGTAAAGTTTGGCAACAAATGCAATTTTACTCTTTCTTCTACAAGCGTATAAATCTTCTATTAAGTGATCACTGAAGTTCTAAGGAATACTCTTTTTGTAGGCCTTCTTTACACAAGCTGATCCACAAAAAATTATAATAGGTTCGGAAACATTGCACGTGGCTTAGAATAAATTACAATTACTTAAGGAAACTCAATTTACATTCCAGACCAAAATATAAATGCGAATTTGTGAACCAAAAATGAAGGTCTCTGTTTTATAAATGCATTTCAAAAGTCTTTGTCGAAATGCCAAAATTGTCTTTTGAATGCCGAGCGACTAAAACTTGGTGGGGTAAAAAAATGGTGTGTGTTAGTGAGTGACGCCGCTTTATCAGACACTTATTAACTTTAATCGATTAAAAGTGAGCTTTATTTAATTGTATTTATCAGAAAAGAAAGTAAGAAAAAGTATTATCGAAAGACATTAGACAGAACTTACGTAAACCGTTAAAGAAATCTGTTGTTTAATTTAAAAATTTAAATTACTATGTCATACCAAATGTTAATGGTTTACTTATTAGAAAATAATATAATAATAATAATATTTTCACACATTTCACACACGGCTGATCCCAAATTAGGCAGAGCCTGTACTATGGTAACCAGACTGCTGATAAACATAATTATATATTTCTAAATACATACATATTATAGATAAAGTACACCCAGACACAGAACAAAATATGACCGTGCTCATCACACAATTATTTGTCCTGAGTGGGAATCGAACCCACGACCTCTGGCATAGCAGTCACGGTCACTAACCACTAGACCAACAGGCCAGTCAAGTCAAATATAATAGATGGTTTGATTTAATAAGGCACTTAAATAATAAAATTAACACACACGAATAAGCTACATATTGATTGTCAAGATAACACGCTATTTACAGATAACTTGGGTGGTTCCGCAACGCATTTTTTGATTACGCACTTTTAATTAAGAGCGATAATTTTGCCAGTTATCATTAATCCGCTTACAGCTTACGGACACAGTAACGAAACAAAGAAACGAAGGCGCTGGTACTATCCTGAGTGAATCAATAAGTGGCAGCCACACGACGGAGGTAAGAAGGTAGGTTTTTTTTTAATTTATTTGAACTTGCTGCATTACACCTCGTGCAAGTTGTAATGCTAACTTAATGCCACATGGCATTATCTACCAGTCAACCTTAAGATGGTTCAGTAAGGGACATGGCAGGTGCTATGTCCCTTACTGAACTGAAAAAAAAAACTATGTAAATATAAAATTACAACTACTAATGCTATTAAAAATACATCGACGAATACATACATAATTATTTATATAATATAAATACGGAATAAAATATATTTGCGGTGATGAGACTTTAGCTTTAAATATATAATAAATTCTCGTAATAAAAGTTCGGTCTTAATTCAGTTCCGATCAACTTTCGATCACACAACTGTTGTAACAGGTATTTTTGTAGTGAAGTATTAAACATCCAACGTTGGCTGTAATGTGATTATTTCGTATTGTAACCGAAAATTGAATCGGTAATCTGCTAGTCTTAGTAATACTTTACTATTTTACTACGAAAATACCTTTTACGACAATTGTAATATAGAAAGCTGAAATGTAACCGAACTTTTATTACGACAATTGGCCTTCTGATCTCAAGTGGGACCGCATTTCTGGCGGGTTCTCATTAAAATATTATAAATCTACCCTGGGAGAGCCATACTTCAGCACATATAGACCGACACGACCGGAGTGATAACAGAAAACCGGTGTTGAACAATACTTTCAATTCTTTACCGAGTGAGTAAGTACTTCTTCACACAAAGGGTGGCAACACTGACAACGCATTTGTATCCCTTGATTTGAGATGCAAGTGTCAATGTTTGCCATTAATTACATTAAAAAAAACTGTTTGTTAGCTTTATTAGCCTTCATTCAGGATAGATGTTCACTATCCCAGCATTTAGCAAGTTGATGTTCCCAGTAGTCTCAGTATTGAACATTGCAAAAAGTAATTGGTATGACTCTAAATAAAATGTTCACTAACCCAGCATCATGCCAAACACGACGGCGAGCAGCAAATGAACGTTGTACACCATGACAGCCAGCATCAGCAGGTAACCGACCACGTTGTGTATTAGGAACACAAACGATTGATGGGTGTTAACCAGCGCACTAAGAAATATAAAAAATATACATGTGGAGTATACTGCTAGACTAAACTACTAGAAACTATGTTAACGCAAAGCATCTCAATTGACGTTAACTAACCACGGTGTTACAAAATAAATATTAACTTCAAAATTCATGTAAAAAAAAAAAAAAGTTTATGGACATGACTAAAACAGTTCTGTAAAATCAAATTGTGCAAGAAAGTTTCATCAATTTTTTATAAAGATCATATTCTGAAAGGTGAAGACTCAATAAGAGTCTTTAAATCTCGACTAAACAGCGGTCGGGCCGGGACGGCGACGACAGGGTGTTTGTAGATTGTAAAATACTCGTTAATATGGAGTGTTACATAACCGCATTTTTTTCGATATATCTCACACATCTCAATGCCTGCGATGACACATCTGATAGAGCCTGTGCTATGGTAATCAGACTGCTCATAAACATACTTATATAATTTTAAATAGATACATATTATAAATAAATTACACCCAGACACAGAACAAATGACCGTCCTCATCACACAATATTTGTCTTGGTTGGGAATTGAACCCACGACCTCCGGCTTAGCAGTCAAGGTCGTTAACCAGTAAATTCAACCAATCAATCAATCAATCAGTTTATTTTCATTGCGAATATGGGTTTACAATTAGGTGTTACAGTTATAATATTTTTTTCTGCCACATTCTACCTTTAGGCATGCAATAAGATAACATTAATAACGAGTTGGGCTTATTTAATACATCATACGAGGTCAGAATTCTATTTTATGTCAATATCAATTAAAATAACAATTACAATTATATTATTAAAAAAATGAAAAATGTCATAATCATAATAAACAATGTATCACATTTATTAAAAAAGTGTATTAATAGAGGGTATGGTGTAGTTATTAAAAACATGCATTCTATTATATTTTCTCCGTTAAAAACTCAGTTACAGAATAGTATGCTTTCATTTCTAAAAATTCTTTTAACTTGCTCTTGAATGCACTTATGCTCAAGTTTTTCCATTGTTGCGGTAAATGGTTATAAATTACTGGAGCCATACAGAAAACACTTCTACGCATAAGCACAGTTTTTGCTTGGAGTAGGCGCAGTCTACTATTATCACGCCTGTTCCGTGTAACCGTATCCTCAAGCCGCGGAAATAAGCCTGGATTTGTTTTAACAAACATTGACATTTCCAAAATATAAATGCTTGGCAACGTCAATACTTTATACCTCTGAAAGTAAGTTTTACAGCTATCACTTGTTTTTAGTTTAAACATTGACCGTATGCATCTCTTTTGACACTTAAAAGCAATTAATTTATCTGTAGAGTTACCCCAGAAAATGATGCCGTAGCGTAAATTTGAGGCAACTAAACCGTAGTATGCGGTCATCACTGTTTCTGTATTGACGATTGACGTTAACGTATGCAAAGCGTATGCAGAACTACATAATTTTTTGCAAAGCGTCTCTATATGTGATTTCCAATCTAGTTTTTTATCTATCGTTAACCCGAGGAACTTCGAAGTCGTAACATTTTCTATACTATGATTGTCAATGTTTATATTTTGGTATATATAACTGATTGAAGCGATCCGTTGACTGAAATGTATAATCTTAGTTTTATTTAAATTGATTTTTAAATTGTTAATGTCAAGCCAGTTTATTATGGATGTCAAGGAATTCGTAATGTCATATTTATATTGAGTTATATCATTATTACAAGATATAGTAATTGTGCTATCATCTGCGAAAAGCGTTACAGTATTTTTTGTACATTTTGGAAGGTCATTAATATATAATATAAAAAGCAAAGGTCCCATTACGCTCCCCTGAGGGACACCGTACAAAACTTTCCGCTCATCTGAAAGATATAGCTCCTCTCGTTTAGTAGTGGGGTTTATTATTGCTATTTCTGTACGTTGTTTTCTGTTCTCCAAATACGATTCGAATAACTTTAGGACATTACCTCTCACTCCATAGGCATCTAGTTTTCTAATTAATATATCATGTTTTACATAATCAAATGCCTGTGTCATATCACAAAATATTGAGCATACAGGTGTTCGTTTGTCTACTTTCATCATAACTTCATGAAGAAAGTTGAAAATTGCCAAATTCAAGGTTTTGTTTTTACGAAATCCATTTTGTTCATTGCACAATAGATTATTTTTTTCCAGATATAGGTACAGTTGCGTATGTATGAATTTCTCAAATATTTTGGAGAATATGGGAATTAAAGAAATAGGCCTATAATACTCCATAAGCTCCCTATCCTGTTTCTTAAACACTGGTTTTACAATTGACTGTTTAAGGGCATCAGGAAAAATACCCGAGGTTATACATAGGTTCATAATGTGACACAGATGACCGCTTATTTCATGTGCTACAACTTTAATGACCTTAGTAGTTATTCCATCATATCCAACGCTGTTCGTGTTTTTAAGCTTATGAATTATACTTAATATGTCTTGCGGTACACATGGGGACATGAACATAGACTTGCTTGTACTTAAAATGGGTGGGGGGGTTTTTAGAGACGTTGTTTTAGGCTGTATTTTATCGATAAAATAGTTATTAAATTCATTCGATATTTGTATTGGATTCGTAATAATAGTGTCATTTATTTTTAATCTATTTATCAAAGATTTTGGTAAATTTAATTTCGCCTGATTAATAATTTGCCATGTCGTTTTATTTTTATTCCTAGAATTATTAATTTTGTAATCATTTTGTGCTCGTTGAGTTAGAAACATAATTCTTTTTAATAATTTTGAATATGATTTGAAGCGGGATTTATTTTCTGGGTTTGGCTTTAATCTTTGTAGCCATAGTAACTGCCTTTTCTTTTTGTTACATTTTTTTATACCACTTGATACCCATTTTGTCTTTTTAATTATATTTACCTTAACTCTAACTTTTGGGAAACATAAATTATAAAACAGTTGAAAGTCCTCTATGAAGCTGTTGTAAGCCATATTTGGATTGAGGGTATTATAAATTTCAGAAAATTTTATAGCATTTAGACAGCTTTTAAATTTTAATAAGTTTTGTTGACAATAATTGCGTCTAAACCTATAATATTTATCAATTTTGCATACTTTATCAGTCGGGCATTTTATTAGCTGCGCTGTATGGTCAGAAAGAGCAAACTCTATAATCTCCGTTTTGCAAGGCTTATTAAAATTATGCGCAAAGTTGTCAATACATGTATGGCTCCTAATACGAGTCGGTTGGTATATCGCAAGTTTAAGGTTAAAGTTGAGCAAAATACGTTCAAATTCAAGTGACTGGTAATTCGATTTTAAAACATTAATATTGAAATCGCCAGCCAAAACAATATTTTTATATCGTCTTTTTGTGGCTACTTGTAAAACACTATGTAACCTACTGAAAAAATCGTTCAAATTTCTCATATTTGGTACTCTATAGATACAAATAATAGCAACATTAGATTTAACAATTTCTACGGCACTGCACTCAAAAGTTTCCGGTATTGACATTCTTGATATCCTCTCTAGTTCCTTCCATTAATATCCTTTTCTGACAAGAATGCATGATCCACCTCTTTTAGTATTTTTTCTGCTGTAATGTGAAGCTAAGACATAGTTAGGTATATTTAACAGGGATTCGCAGCCTTCTGACATAAAGTGTTCAGTGATGCATATTATATCAACATCAATTCCTTTGTCTGTTAATTCATTTATACATACTGTCAAGTTGTCGGACTTGTTTATTAAACCAGCTATATTTTGATGCATTACGTATATGTGTCTAGTTTCGAAAAAGACAGTTATTCGAAGCTGTTTTCTGATTGTAAAGCATATTTACATCACTAGTGTCATTAGATTTTCCGTCAGGAGATTGTTTGTCAGTCAAAGGTATGTAAGAATATTGAAGATAGGTATTAATATTATTAATCATATCAAAAATGTCTCTAAACATTGTCAGTATTCCAAAATTATTAATTACGCCTGTACGATAATCAAACATTGTGTCGTCATAGCTTAGGTTTTGGTTTGAGTCAAAAAAATACGCATGTTCATGAGTCAGTATGTCTAGGTATAGTAGATTGTTAAAAGTTTCAACTCTTGAATTGTATAGATTAGAATAATTTGTAAATTTATAAGTTGGCGTACATATAATTGTATTGGTGTGAGTAATTTCAAGCAGTACCTTTCTTATATGCAATATTATGTCAAAATAAATATTAGTCATCCTAAAGTCATCCTCATCCAGTAGAATTAAACAATAGTCTTTCATTGTGTAATTACACAGCTTCTCCTTCAAATTATTTAGCATAGATTGTATATTTCCATTAGTTACTATGTAATGGCACAATTCTGAACCCTTCAGTGTCTTTTCTGCTACAGACAATATCTTATTTCTATTATTTGTGCTAAGTATACATATTTTATTTTTTGCCATACGTTCCTTTTCATTTTGTGATTTTAATAGACTGTTACATGGTGTTAGTTTTGATTGCCGGTCCTCGTCTAATAGTTTAGTATGAGGGGTAGTCTGCGTTTGTTTATTTTGTAAGACTTTGGGCATGTTCTCATTCGAATGAACAACATTTGTGTCAGCGTCACAAGATGATAAATTTACGCGCCTTGTAAGTTTTCTTTTACGTGTTGATGTGGGGGTTCTCGAGGTTGGACATTGCGGGGAAGAGCATAATTTTTTGTAGGCATCTATTGTTTTAAGTGACTTTTGTAGATCAGTTTTTAGTTGCATATTTTCACTGTTTAAGTTGTCTATCTCTTGATTTGCGCTCAGCAATTGCATGCTTAATTCTTGTATTTTTTCATTCAAACCACTTATTACCATGTCAGCTCCACTTTGATTCTGTAAGCTATGTTGGATGCTCATTATGGTTGAATTGAACAATGATTCCTCATATTTATTTGTATTACTTTCTATAGATAGATCATTGAGTGAGCTTGTTCTACGAGCTTTGCGATACGTTATGTTATTAATTTCGAAATCCATATTTTTGCTTGTTGTTTCTTAGTAGCGCCCTCTGTTATTAATGTAATGTATTTTCTTTTTAGTACAGTTACACAGTTCTTACTTTTCGCATTTATAGTTTGATGTTGTTTAAATGTTCTACCAAATAATGTTAGTTTTTACTTGAAAACATGGGATAGTCCTACAAAAAGACATCGACATGCGTGGTTCGAACCGACACCCCCTTCGTCTTATACCCGTAAGATCGACATGCGTTCACGTTACGCTACAAGAAACTTAGCAAATCTTGTCAAATTACGCACTACATTAAATGCAAGTGACTTTTAAAAAGAAACTTGTCGGTTACTATGATTCATAACGTAAGAATTTTTTCCACATTCTTAACACTTTGTCACAGTAACCAAGATCACTTTTTATTATAATTGTCAATTTATTCAGCGTTTATTACACATTGAAGGTTATTATATTAATTTTTATTGATATTTTTCACTGTTTATGTTAACTTTTTCACTGATAATTAAGTATTTTTAGTTTTATAATGTTCACTTTTATTTTATGTACTACTGATTATACAAGTTTGCTAACATTCACACACTTTTCATTGACTATTTCACAATATATTAAGGTAAAAACAATAATGATAACTATTTAAAACTACTAATTTTCAAAATTTTTACACAGAGCTCTTTTGGTTCCGTCTTTGCCAGATAGCGCCATCTCTCTCAACACTCTGAGCTTGTACATTTCATCTGCTCACGTCGCCTTTCTCTCCCGCCTCGACCGTTGTTTCTCCTGTATCTCTTTCGATCAACATTATAATAGTAGTGAGAGGTTGCAAATTGTACTATTTCAGCCTTGGTGCTTTGTAATGTCCATAAACTACTCTATTACCAACAAAAAATACTATATTTATTCTTCGTAAATGCTTAGAGTTACTACACTAATTTTGCACTATATTTGCGTTATGAAAATAGTGACGTATTGATTAAGCCCCGCCCTCTGACCAATTAGGTTCCAATAAAATATCGTTTTAACAAACATAAGATGCAGAATAAAAGAAGTAGTGTACGCCAAGGACTCTAGTCACGCAAAAGGGTTGACAGTTCTACAAAAAAAAAAAAAACGTTTCGTACCAAAGCTTAGTACCTGATTGGTCAGAGTGCAGGGCTTGATCAATGCGTCACTATTTTTTTAATCAGAATGGACTATCTTATGCATCTGTGTAAATGTTTCACTTACCGAACCCTGAGTGAAGCCCACCGGGTGGCAGGACCATTATTAGCGTTCCGACTTGTCGTTGGTTCCATGATGCCGCCTGCCTCCCTGCAACCAACATTCTTGATTAGCACTCATAAACAAGAATGATAAGATATAATGTCTTGATTACTGGTACTCGGTTGTTAAAAACCGTTTCATCAATCACATCAACAGCCTTTAGTAGTCCACTGCTGGACATAGGCCTCTCCTTAGAAAGGAGGTTTTGGCCTACCATACCACGCTAGCCAGACGGGTCGGTATAGGGTTTGTGTCAAGTTTACCTTCTTTTTGAGGTGCTGGTATCCTGCGTTGTTTTGCTGCCTTAGTCGGCTCTTACGACAACCACGGGATGAATTGGGGTAGTGACATTCCGTATTCTTAACCCGTCACTACACGGACATGAATAATGTGATATCAATGAACTCAATTAACTGCACCGAATTGCAGTAATTGAACGATTTCACAGTGATTTTACGAGTTAAATTTAGTGTAAACATAATTCTGTTGTTCCTATTGCCTTTTTACGTGTTATTGTACTTTTTTTTTACATGCCAAGGTCGAGTCGGGCTAATTTAAACAAGTAATAACTTCACCTAACATTTTTCCAAAGATTTTGTAGGTATGTGCAAAATGGGCCAGCTCGACCGGAGTGATAGCATGGGCTCACAGGAAACCGGTGTTAAGCTTTTTTTAAAGTGAAAACTTTTTTAGGCGAGTTCTTTATTTTTGAACAACGAAGCAAACAATATATTTTATCAAAAAAATCATTGAACTCGCGACACTGGTACCGTTACCGACACCTCTGTTGTAAAAACTTATTTAGGCGCGTTGGGCAATTTTTGAAATGGGAAAACAACTGAACTCACGACACTGTTACCGTTACCGACACATCTGTATATAAGTTTTTACAAGTTGAAAACGGTCCCGGAGTGCCCTGAGTGACTGTTTTTTTTTTGTTTCTCTTCACTGATTAAGGTTACCGAAGTCCAAACCCCCCCTAACACTGGGGGGGGAGGTCACAGAAAGGCGGCCACTGTACTCTTGGGACTCTTGAGTTATTAGTGTATATGGGCAGAGGTAGCCACTTACCATCAGGTGACGCGCCTGCTCGTTTTTATTACATATGACATCATAAAAAATTCAAGTAGATAAACATAACATTACCTAATTATTAGTTATTTTGACAGATGTTTTAAAATTCATAAAGCTTCGGTGCCTTGATCCTAAGAGTTTCACCTGCATGTTTTATTTTTTCCAAAATTTCAAAACCTGGATATTACGGAGAAGTGCACTGAACTGGATAATTAGTAAATGGTTTGATAATTCTCCTTTTAAAGCCCATCGTACAATTTGTCAAAATTCAATTGTCAAAAATCAAAATTCAATATGCAATATGTGAAGGTCTCTTTTCAAAACTATTCAAATTGAACATTAGGAATTTACTTTCTACGAGTTTGACTGGTATGTACATATTTAAAACAATACTTAATAATACCTGTTTTTTTTTTAAATATAAATTACAAACTTCAAAACGGTAGGTATTGGCTAAATATTTTATCAAAACAGTTCTGATGACCACAAAACGAATCATTCGCGGTTAACCGACAATTGTGCTTTACCAGAATTGACTTGAATTTGAATATATATTATTATAGATTACCTTTTGCTCTGCCCGTATGTCGGTAATCACGGTAAAAAGTAGTCTATGTTGCTCGCTGATAATGTAACTGTCCATTGGTGAAATAATTATTAAAATCGGTTAAGTGGTTTAGGTTTAAAAGCGTAGCAAACAAACAAGGATGAAATGAAATATAATAAAAATAAATGACGTATGTATGAAGCACAGAAAAAAAAGAATAATTTAAGGAATATAATTTTTTCTTTGTTCTGTGGTATGCACAAATGTGTTTATGTGACGGGCCTGTTGGTCTAGTTGTTCGTGACCCTGACTGCTAAACTGGAGGTCGTGGGTTCGATTTCCACAGGACAAATATTGTGTGATGAGTACGGTTATTTGTACTGTATCTGGGTGTAATTATCTATGATATGTATCTTTTTAAAAATATATAAGTATGTTTATCAGCAGTCTGGTTACCATAGTACAGGCTCTGCCTAGTTTGGCATCAGACAGCCATGTGTGAGTGTGTGAGATATATTATTATTATTGTTATGCAAACACACCATATTAATTAAATTATCATCATAAATAGACTATAAATAAATTGTATTTTTTTTTAAACGGAGTGAACTAAAAGAGGTACATTGTGTGTCTACCGTAGATATTACATAACATGTACATCATCCATTCAATTTTCATTGTTCGGTAATAAATATGTAATACTTTTATTCATTACAATAACAATTGCCAATATAAACAGTTCAAGGTAATATTAACTATCTAACATCTAATGTTTTTTAGTACCCACACGACTGTTACACATTTTCAAGGTAAATACATAAGCACCTTTCACTAAAACTATGTTAATAGTTCAGATTTGTTTGAAAACGAACTGGTAATAAATAACACAGTTGCCAATTAATTAAAAAATAATGACATAAGTTTGTTTCTTACGCTTTAACGCCTTTAGTACTCAACCGACCATGATGAAGTTTTGTAAAAAAAACAATAGCATAACGTTCGTTCATAAGCTCCCTCGCGGATTCTGAAAACGATTCTCCAGGATAAACTACTGTTCCCAAGGAAGGCCTGGTCGTGGGCAAAGAGATGATACGCCTAGTGATTAAGGTATTTTAAAAGATTATGAGGCATGCTGTGCATTTTAACTAACAAACAATAATCACAGGGTTCCTCCTTTTTTGAAATCAATTAAAACCCATGAAGGCGTACGCCATACTTTTGTACAAATGGGTCCTATCGACTGGACTAAGGTCGATCTACTCTAACAGAAACTAGCACTTTAAAATGTAATATTTTGTAAACGTATCGCTGTATCTTTCTCAACCCCTTTTTTTTGAAAGAGCTATCCAATGATACCCTACACAAAGTACCTCAATTCATTTAAAACATAAATGCAAATAATGTATTTGTATATTTTTGCTTTTACGTCTTAACTACTCAATCAGATTATTATTATAAAAGTACACATTGTCGGAAAAGGACATACGTATGTGTATACTCCTTTCATACAGAAAAAAAAAATTAATCACCATAGAAAGGAAACTAGATTTACCGCCAACAAAAGCCAGCAATGATTATACGAAACAGTTTCACGCGGCACGTGTTGTGACGTTCGCAATGTTTTGCACACGTCTCTACGGTGCCGTGTGCCAAAACACCCTCAAACACAATCGTTTGGTTCCTACTGTTCGTCATTTTACTACTCACAAACGGCAATGACTATACAGATAAGAAGATGTTGAAGAATAAAATAAAGATCATAAACTATAATTGAGGTGTCCGTATGGTGACGGATTAAGAATACGGAGTATCACCACCCTTCTTCATCCCATGGAGGTCGTAAGAGCAGAATAAGGCAGCAAACTACGCAGGACAACAGCACTGCAAAAATAAGGAAAACTTGAAACAAAACTCTATTCCAACCCGCCTGTCCACTGTGGTATAGTAGGCCAAAACCTCCTTTCTGAGGAGAGGCTTATGTCCAGCAGTGGACTATTAAAGGCTGTTGATGATGATGATGATGACATATAAACAACGTTGCGGTGCAGTGGCTTCCAATGATGATTGCTTCTATGTATAAAATTTATCATTTTTTAAATTTATATTTATTTATAGAAAATAACCATTTAAAAACATACAAAATAACACAGAAAAATTTAATCCGATCTAATCACAAGACGAATTTATTTTTAAATTGAATGTTAATGTTAATGAAAAAGGAAAAATAAATCGTTTATTTTTCCTTTTTCATTATTTATTTTTTATTTATTTTTACACTTCCTGCATTACAGTTTGCACGAGGCGGACTTAATGCCACATGGCATTATCTACCAGTCAACCTTAAGATGGTTCAGTAAGGGGCATGGCAGGTGCACATATATTTTTCATTAATGTTTTAGAAAATCGAAGTGTAGTTTTCACTCAACATTTGTCAGTAGTAAAGTACTCAAATGTTGTATACATAACGACAAGACTCTATCCGCGATATCCAGGTGTCAACTATGTCCTCACTGGCAGTAGTTCATTGCAGTATAAAAATAATGATATTCTTTTTATTATTGGCATTTGAAGAACGCATCGGTCGTATCGGTCCAAAAATACCGCATGCAACTGTTAATTGTTTCACCGGTTGGTAGAGCGACCCAATAATGTTCTTGAAAAGTGCACGGTGGTGGTATGCCGAGTATACAAAGAAAAATATAGGCAAGAGATGAAGTATTTCTTGTTTAGAATTTTTATACTTGGCAAGAGCCGATGATGCGCCGATAGATGTAGCTACTGCTATAAAGTTCGTTATATTTTATACTAACATTAGTTTATAAGCAAAATTGTTAACATAATACGGAATATTTACCGAATTAAATGATTTTATTATTATTATTTTGTACAACTTTAAAGGGGTAACGAAATCTAACACACGGGGATTTACCATGTGTGCTAGAAGGGGATGAGGTTTGAGTTTAACAGATAGAAAAATCAAAATTCCATACCAGTCGACTTCTTTGAGGAGCTAAATCAATGTACAATACTCATAATTATCTATTATTTACTATAAAATAAAAAGGATGTGTAATTCCTATTCAATAGACATACTATAATACTTATAAATATTTTAAACTTACGTGGAAAGAAATAACTCTGTACTCAATTTCACCTTAAAAAATAATCATCATCATCATCATCATCAGCCTATCGCAGTCCACTGCTGGACAAAGGCCTCTCCCGTTGCACGCCACTAAGATCGATTTTGGGCTTCTCGCATACAGCTCCTGCCAGCCATCTACGTTTGCCTACACTACGTTTGCCGAGACGCGGTCTCCACTCGAGAACCCGTTTACCCCAACGATTGTCGGTTCTGCGGCTTATATGGCCAGCCCACTGCCACTTGCTGATCCGGTAGGCTATGTCGGTGACCTTGGTTCTCTGCCGGATCACCTCATTCCTGATGCGATCCCTTAGGGAAACGCCGAGCATAGCCCTTTCCATAGCACCTTGAGCGACTTTGAACGTGTGGACCAGCCGTACCGTAAGTGTAAACGTTAAAAAATAATAGTCAAATAAATAATATAGTCTATGGTTAAGTAATCTAGAAAGTATGAGATGGTATTAGAGAGGAAATGAATAATGAATTATTAGGAAAAAGGTGATTGCATCGACTTTCAGGTTGATATTTCACATCACACATCACATCAAGAGTTTTTAATAGTCAACTGCTGGACATAGGCCTCTCCTTAGAAAGGAGGTTTTGGCCTACTATACCACGCTGGCCAGACGGGTTGATATAGGGTTTGTGTCAAGTTTTCCTTCTTTTTGCAGTGCTGTTGTTCTGCATAGTTTTCTCCCTTAGCCGGCTCTTACGACACCCACGGGATGAATTGGGGTAGTGACATTCCGTATACATTAGTTGATATTTATGAAAATTTAATAAGAATGTAAACTAATTCAGTTCTTAATACTTCAAAACAATCGACAGTACAATTATCAATAAGCGTTATACTAATTCAAAGGCCATTGTCAACTTCTTCGGTAGCGTGTTGGTATTGTTTGTTTTTTTTTATAAACTGAAGCTATAGTCAATATAGGCATATTTGCTGACTTTTTAAAAAAAAGAAGAAGCGCTAGTCAAAGACATTTGTGGTTTTAACTTATAAATGATTAGCGGATCCAAGCAGGGGTAAAAAGCACCAAACTTAAAGTCTGGCAACTTTTACATAGCAGTTGTATTTACGATTTTATTTATTTCTTTTGAAACATGTGTACTAGAATGTGTACTTATAATACAGAGGCAGACTTAGTGCTTTAGGCAATTTTTCCCAGTCAACCTTCGGCTGACGCAAAGACAACGGAAAGGTGTATTACAGACATAAGAAAAAACTAAAATAAGCGCCATTGTGTATAATACACAATTAATAAAATACACATTGTGCACTAAGAACACAGACCCAAAAAACATGTACTCGTGTAGTTTGTGGGAGCAGCTAGTCATTTTAGTTAAATACAACAAAGAAAAGAAGAAAATCCTTAAAAAAGTTGAACCGACTTCAAACTTCATGTTATCGGCTGCGGTATTTCCGGACCGATACGACCTTAAAACGTTCAAGAAGAGAGCATACTTCTTCCTCTAAGGCTGGCAACGCGTGTGACTCCTGAGTTGCAGGCGTTCATGGGCGGCGGCAGGCGCTTTCTATCAGGTGACCGGCCTGCTCGTTAGCCTTCTATTCCATAAAAAATAAACAATACTAACAAGAGCACTAAAAACCTAGCAGAAATCGCGGTTGATTTGCTGTCATTTTTTGAAGAGTTCCGTTGTCTGTTCCTTTAATAAACAACTTCTGAACATTTTTTTTTTTAATCTGTCTATATGTATATTACAGAGTTATTTATAACATACTTAAAAAAAAAGATCCGAATCGAAAGCCTCCTCCACTTTGAAGTCCTTGGAAGGAATTTCCTTTTTTAACCGACTTCAAAATGGAATTTACATTTCAAATATTTCGTATCGCTAGATATTAAGCAGTTTGCAATAAAACATTCATTTATTCAATAGATACATAGAACAGATGAATGGAGTATAAAAGTTTCTGACCTTTCACATAACAGATTTCTCCTCTCGTCTGACCTGTAGGGGTAGAGCCTTTTTATCGCCGCGCGCTGCACTTTTGCCAGGTACACCTGCGTCAACCAAATATTTAACCTGATTAGTATATATGCATTGCATTTGCATCTAAATACACATCGTAAAAAAATCAACAAATTCAAGTACTACAGACGGATGTTTGCAATATTGGGTGCTACCGAACGTAGAAGTCGTGAAGATTTTTTTTTTGGTTTTATAAAAAGAGTTGGGAGTTGCCCAAACTAGGAATTTATCCTGTGTCGCGGGGGACTTTACAGATATACATGAAACGGACACAGAGAACACTCAGACTCAGAACAACAATTAGTGGATTACGCATAGTGTTGTCCCAAGTAAGGATCGAACCCACAACACTCAGCGCAGTTTAAATTGCAGACTATAAAGAAATATTGTTTTACCCATAGCTAATTTAGCAATTAACCAAATCGCCACCCGGTCACGTTCTCATGATATCTTTTAAAAACTTTTACTACGTTTTTTAGATAACATATCATATTTAATGGTGTCGTGGGTCAAGGAGCAGACTGGGCCCCTGATGGTAAGTGGCTACCACCGACCATGGATACCTTCAACTCAAGAGACACACGTGAATTGATGCCCCTCTAGTCCCCCCTCCCCCAATCACTAGGTGAAAAGTACCCAAAAAAATATTTATTTAATGTTTTATGCACAAAGGTAATGCCATAGGCATTCTCTGCGACTCTACCATGGGGTGGTGTAGAAATGAGTGATTAGTTGTGACTGACACTAAACGAGAATAAAAAGTTTTAATAACAATAACAAGGCTTAAACTAAGAAATACATTTACACGAATAAATAAGCGATAAATAGGAATAGAAATCCTTTTAAAAAAAAAGTTAAACCAACTTCAAACAATACTAACAAAGAACCTAGCAGCAATCGAATTGTCGTAATTTTTTGAAGAGTTTCTTTGTCTCTGTCTAAAACTCATAATCAGATCTATATGAAATTTAAATGAGACCATTTCGGTATAAGCCCATGTTTCAAGAAAAAAGAATTTTTAAAATCCGTCTATGTATGACGGAGTTATGCCCGAACAAACATAAAAAAAATATATAAACATCTGAATTGATCACCGCCGCCTTTTTGAAGTCGGATGATAAAGGAAAACAGAGAATTTGGCTTTATTTATATCACATATATTAATTTAAGATATAAATACTATAAAAAAAATTACATAAATTTATTTAAAGGTGCAAGAAAGTGAAAAATAAGACTAGATTTTTTAGATTTTTACTAGATTTTCCTCCCTAGTATAATATAGCAATAGTATTTATATTTGAAAAGGGATTTATTTATTTATTTATGTGTCCCGAAGCTTAGCTTACGGACACGCTTAGTCCACGGTTTCGATATGAAGGTGATCAACCAAGACACAAAATCATCAACTTTATTATATAAGCATTTATGAGAGTAGGAGGGTCATACTTTGAATAGTAATGTTGACCATGTCTTCTTAGTCTATTGTCTTAATATTAAATAATATTTTCACAAAGCTATTACGTATTTTACATAATGTTATTACGATAGATCTAGAATGTATAATATTGTATATACGAGTATTCTTCAATGAACAAGAATGATAAACAGGAACCGAGCGATTACATACAAAGGCCCCCAGTGAATGAACACCGCTTCATGAAAGGTCAAGCAATTTTGTCAAATTTAAAATACACTAAAACTACAAGACAAAGATGTGTCACGGGTCGAGTTATGAGTCCCTAATACGTTCTACAATAATTTATAATCAAATTATATTTCATTCTTCTCGTTGCAACTGATTTATATAATAAACTGGCTTTTGCCCGCGTTGTTATCGATTGTCTTTCCTCAAGAATCAATGTATCTTCATACCAAATTTCATCTAAACCGGTTCAGCGGTTATTGATTCACCATACAAACTTCCGCCCCCTTTTCACCACCTTAAAGGATGTTTTCTGGGATAAAAACTATCATATGTCCTTTCCCGGGACTCGAACGATCTCTGAACCAAATTTCATATACATCGGTTCAGCGATTTAAGCGTGAAGAGGTAACACACAGACAGTCAAACAGAAAGACGGACAGACATATACACTTTCGCATTTATAATATTAGTATGGATATATTTCGATTCGTGTAAAAATATGCACAAACATATCCATACTTAAGCGACATCTAGTGAAGTCAGTGTAAACTACGTAGTAACTACTAAAACTGCATTGCGCAATTAAAACTATCTCTATATACAAGTACCTAGCATCATCTGCATTTATTTGTAGGAGAGTCATGCTTCAGCGTATATAGGCCAGACTCGACCGGAGTGTACCAGGGCCTAACAGAAAAGCGATGTTAAGCAGTAGGCATGCGGCAAAATCACGATCTACTATGAATAATCATATGATTTTCATCTTAACTGTGACTCATCTACATTATTATTACGCCAGCGCCAGACTCGCGAAAGGTGTACATCTAAAAAAAGCGTCGGTTTGCTTGATTTTGACTGCATTTATCAGATCAATCATTTCATCAGATGAATATGATTAAAAGTAGCAGTAATTGCCCTATCAATTAAGCCGATTATCATCATGGAAATTTATTTCATATCAACTCGCTCTCGACAGTGAGTGCGTTTGGCATTGTGATTGGTGGAGACTTCAGTGCGGTCCAATCTCAACGCCGAACGTGGTCACCGTGACGAGTAAGAGTATGTGAAATAAACTCGCACTCAGGGCCACAGTTCTATCGGTGCTTTTCACCGAGTGAGTGAGGTTACCGAAGCTTAAACCTCTCCCTCTGATTCTGGACTGAGAGGCGGGAACGCACTTATTTGACTCTTGACTTGCAAGTCTCCATGGTCGGGCTCACTTGCCATCAGCTCATCCATCTGCGTGTTTGCCGCTCTATGCCATAAAAAAAAATCAACCGCTGAATCATTGACCCCAAGGGATCTTCACGTGGTTACTGTTTCGCGTGTCAAAAAACAAGCTTTTAGGAAAAATCTTACCTTGGATCCCTCGAACAGCAAGGCCACAAAGAACAGCGCTATCCAGGTTAGCGCGAAGGCCCACCTCGAAGTGATCTCTAGTCCTGGGAACAGGAACTCTCCGAGCTCGTACCCGAACCACATCCACATGTGCATCGACATGGCTGCAACCAGATCTGTGCTGCCGCCTACAACAAATTTCACAGATTAATTTCTTGTTTAATATCATTTTATCACTTTAGCTGATCAGAAGGCTAATTCTCGTAATAAAAGTTCGGTTACGAGAATAGGCCTTCTTCGCAAATTCGGTTACTTCTCTCGAAAGGAATAATTTTCATCGCTTTTGCAACATTTTTCATTGATACATAGCCCTTCCACGCTAAATGGGCTATCCAACACTAAAGTAATTTTTCAATTCGAGATTGTAAGTTCCTGGGATTAGCGCGTTTAACCAAACAAACAAACTCTTCATAAAATGTCATCTCACTTTGTCTTTCACTTTGTAGATATAAAGTAGCGAAATTATTAGTATCACATTCATGCTTAAAGGTATTCAACCTTTAAGATGTTCATATGGTGATGGCAGAATCTAGATATTAAAACAATTGTAGATGTATTTTAGAGGAGTAATATACGTCAGTGTGGTGATGGATTAACAATACGGAGTGATAAGACCCCTATTCATCCAATGGGTGTCGTACGACCCGGCTAAGGGAGCAAACTAAGCAGAACAACAGCAAAGAGCCCTGGCACTGGCAAAAATTGCCAGTGCGGGAGTGTCTTTAAAAAAGTCCTACATTTTCTTTAAAAAAAAATTGCGAGTTTTGCATTTCTACCAATACACAACGTACAATATTTAGTTTTTAACGCCTGCTCGACTAATTTGATAATAATATAATCGATATTTTACATCAGTATTAAACACTGCTATTTAAAAAAAAATTGACAGCAACACTAGTTTTTAAAATTCTAAAAACGAACGCCAGTGAAAGTCAAAGACATGTTGACACAGTATAATCAAGATATACGAACTACTTTGAAATGTTTAAGAAATCTCGTTGGAAGTTATTTAATACAGAAACAGATAATATACGTCATATGGCTATAGTATGCTATAAATATAGGAAAATAATGCGTCCTATCTACATCAAAATAAGCATTACTTAAATTTAGATAAACTACGGCGTACATGACATATATAGGATGTTATAGAAAAGTGATTTCAAACTTTTAAAGTGTCATGTGTAGTCGAAAAATTGATATATTAGATGTAAAAATGATTTTGACAATTGACATTATACATTTAATGGCTATCCTAGTGTGGTGTGTTATAAAATTGCCAATATTTCTCAACAACATTATTCTAAGTTTTAATATAAGTTGCAACGATTTCGGCGTTTTGTTATATCGGTCAATTTTAACATTTAAAATTGACCGATATAACAAAACAATAAAACAAAACATTTCTGTATTAAAAATACCAGAATTTTCCTAAAAACATTAACGCGTTTACGTTTATTATGTGTTTCGTATGTATGTATATTTTAATAAAATAAAACCAAAAGTAACATCCTGTACATTCCATGATAGCGTTAACTATTGGCCAATTTAATATAATGTTCTGCAAATTTGGCGTAGTAAACAGATTTGACACCGCGATTACTCTGTGTTGACCTAAATAGATGTAATTAGTGCGATAAGTGTATTGTACTGCTATAGTATAGACAGAATTCTGTAACGAAATCATGGTGCAGTCTAGTATATTTTTTTTCTGACCAAGGTGACTAGCTCCTTAAAGCAAAAGTATATTTAAATTAATTGATATTTATTAAATTTTGTTTATCACGTATGTATTTTGGCGACCCCCGATTAGTTTTGGAACTGCAGTGCTATTCTCTAAGGAAACAGCCTTGCGTATAGCGCTACCATAGCGTCGAATTTCAAACTAAGTTCGTTTGTTGGAAATTGGAAATAGCGTCGAATTTCAAACTAAGTTCGTTTGTTGGAAATTCGACGCTGTAGCAGCGCTGGATTGGGGCAGCAGTGATGGGGGCCTTTTCGACCGCGGGAGAGCCATGCTTTAGCACTAATGGGCCGGCAAGAGTGCTACTACGTGCTCACAGAAGATCTGTGCTTCTGTGAGCCCGTGGTATCACTCCGGTCGAGCCGCAGCAGTTCTTTCGTTGCTTTCCGTACCGTCAATGAGGAACCTTGGATATTAAAGATTGCAAAATTTGAAGTATTTTGAAGGGAAATGTATGTGTAAATAGGTAATAACGGAACGTAATAAAAAGAAAAGGATATTGCTTAGAAGATTGTATTATAGGGAGTATGCAATAACTCGAACAGATCAAGGTCGTCACAAGTACATAATTCGAATAGAATATATTTTATTTTGCAAATATTGGTAATACATGGTAGGTGTTACAGTACAGTGTAAAGCTCAGCCATTTTGGCATGCAAACATTTTTTGTATTAGGCTAAGTAAACATTAGGTAATAAAAATCAATAAGATTGAGACGACGAGAGAGAGACATAGACATTAAGATAATACAACCATAATCATAGCACTTACATAAAAATTTAAGTCGAGCTGACTGGATATGCGGAAGGCGGAGAGCAGTATACTATGGTACACATTGGAGCAGGCCTATATTTAGCAGTTGAATTCTATATAAGTACTAGCGGACCCGATAGACGTTGTCCTGTCAAATTTGACACTGCGATGGTAGCGCCGTCTGTCGGATCCAATGTAAAACATTCCAAAATCAACAACTACTAATAAATTAAAAATTAATTAAAAAAACATTGTCCAGCGGACAAAATTGTGAATCTAAACCATTCCCAGATCCCCTTGAACACACACAAAAAATTTCATCAAAATCGGTCCAGTCGTTTGAGAGAAGTTCAGTGACATACACACTCACAGAAGAATTATATATATAAAGATATGCTTATAGATTCATCATCATCATCAACAGCTTTTAATAGTCCACTGCTGGACATAGGCCTCTTCTTACAAAGGAGGTTTATAGATAAATTGATAATATTCATTAAGCATCATCTGTCATAATCAACAAGCCTTTAAAGTCGACTGCTGGACATAGGGCTCTCCTTAGCGCGCCACGCTCGTCAGACAAGTTGGTAAGGGTTTATTTCAAGTTTACCTACTATTTGCAGTGCTGATGTTCCGCAGAGTTTGCTCCTTTAGTCGACTCTTACGATACCCACGGGATGAATAGGGGTGGTGACACTCCTTAGTCGGAACAACGGTAAACACGGACAAGGGTGATAATATTCAGTAGAGAAAAAAGTAATAGGGACTACAAAGATGAGAGACAGGAAAACCTACCTACCTACCGGTGGAAACTATGTAAGAGCCGTGAAAAGGGAGACAAAAGGAATTTAAGTCTTCTAGAAGTTAGATGCTTTGGCGACGTTCATAGCGAGTGATTAGTACCTAAGTATGTGCCACTGGTTAAAGTTTGACCTGCAAGGTGGTGAATGTTTAGGTGTCGCTAAAGGAGGTGGTCATTTAAACCAAAATGGGAGATAAATTTAAAGCAGCTGGAGCTGGAAGAAAAACAAAAACTGAAGAATTTAACTAGAAAGCGCAGTAAGAATGTTTAGTTTAGTTTACAAGGACAGCCAGCCAGGATAAAATAACTCTTTTTTGCAAACTATACCAAACTATATCCTTTTCCCTTGGAGGAACGGTATATATATATATTAGCCTGTATAGTTAATAGCGAATTTAGAAAAATCGCATAATTTTTATTTTTATTTTTATTTTAAAGACTAGCTGACCCGCGCAACTTCGTCTGCGTCTCTCAATAGTCATAAATTTTCTCCGTTTTTGAAATATTCTTCATTGGTGCTCCGCTCCTATTGGTCTTAGCGTGATGATATATAGCCTATAGCCTTCCTCGATAAATGGGCTATCTAACACTGAAGGAATTTTTCAAATCGGACCAGTAGTTCCTGAGATTAGCGCGTTCAAACAAACAAACAAACAAACAAACAAACAAACTCTTCAGCTTTATAATATTAGTATAGATTACCGTTGGCAAGACATTTCGGACAGCGGATGTGACATGTTTAGATATTGTAATGCAGTTACACATACACACTCATATATAGTTCATTAACAATCGTCTTTGGACGTAGATTAACAAAATATTCACACGGTATCGTTTGAGATTCTAACATAAGCGATACATTACACAAATCTGTGGGGAGCGCGAATATCATTGTTTTTAATATGGCTTATATTTCAGCGTAATGTATTTCAACGAAAGCACCATTAGTACCTTATCCGACTATCTGAATGAAACTGAATTTAAAAAATATTAGTTTGTTTTTTTATTGTGTATTGAAGACGTATTATGCACATATTCCATATCGTTTGCACCGCACACGACATACGGCGCACATAAAACATAATACATACACCGCAATTGCCGATACTGATAATATTTTATTTACATATTTGCAATGGAGGCAGAAGATTAGGTATGGAGTACACATTACAGATACAACTGTTACAAGTCCTATTTACAAAAGGTTTATGGTCATTGAAACTCATGCGTTATTGAGACAATTTAAAACATCACATCAACAGCCTTTAATAGTCCAATGCTGGACATAGGCCTCTCCTTAGAAAGGAGGTTTTGGCCTACTATACCACGCTGGTCAAAACATACAATTAACGAATAGTAGACGGAACGTTCTGTCAACTATGATCAACCAAAAATGCGTGTTATGTGATTTGTCTTATGTAACTATCGATTATAGCTAGAGATGAAGTTTATCATTCATAGACACAGAAGAAGTGAATTGAAAGTAAAAGTACTATGATTTAATATCGTTTGGTAGATCCATTGAGATGGAAACATCTTAATTTGTAGAGGAAGTACACATATACATACACTTTTAAATCCTCAAGTCCTCAATCCTCAGTTTTAGAGTTGTAATGTGGTAGAAAGTAATGGAACGTTTGCACCGCATCCAAAGGTCTTCCGAGCCAATCCAATACAATGTAACTTTTAAAAACGACTTTGGGCTTTAAAAGCTTTGTTACAGTTTTATACCATGTTAAAACCTTAATTTCAATACAATACAGTATTTTTTAGATTATTGTCTCTTCTATAATACACTTTAGA